TGATCGTGTAAACGGGTAGATCGGTCAGTCAAAACTGACGAAAAAATCTGTGGAGTTAAAACTGATCAGTAAAAACTGATCGTGTATTTCAGCCTTAACAGTCCCACTAGAAGGCCATGCCTCTTTTGCAAAGCAAAAATATTTTTAAATAAAAATAAAAACAAGTAAGTGTAACACACTGTAGGTTGTTGTGCACAGTTGGCCCCTAGTTTATCATCCGTAATGTAATTTTAAAAACTTAGAGAATTGCTACCATATTCTCTATACCAGAAATAGAGAAATATAAAGCTGTCATTATATGAATAGAGAAAGATTTTGAATCAAACCCCTGCGAGATGCTTGTCAAAACTTAAATGTGGTTGTCTTGCAAAATATGGATGTACACATTAGAGTTTAGTGTTAAAAATAATGACATAATAACTTTTAGTAAACGAAATTGACTGTTGTGGGTCGATCGTCGAAAAAGGAGCATGAATTATAATCTTATGTAATGCGCGCTGCTAGCCTTTTGTTTGTGAGTTCTGTAACTTCTCAAACGCTTTGCACTTGAGAAAGATCCTTGCATTGCTCATGGATTTACATTTATCATTTACAGAAATTGAATTGATTTAAAGAGGTCCGAGGCTGTTCATAAGCAACAAATCGGCGAGGCGAATTTCCAGAGAAAAGTAAAACTCGAAGAGATGATCTGAAGTTCTAATGAGATGTTCTCTTTTAACGATGGGAACAGCTAAGCTTTAAGAAATTTCTACTTAAAAAAGTTAACGGTTGAGAAAACAGAAAAAAGTTAACCGAAAAAACTTGGGCCTAATAGCAGTGCCGTTTTTCCACGGAGACGTGGTTCAGTTGATTTTCAGCTCATCAAGTTTTACTTTTTTATATTTTTTTAACTGCTTCCATGCTAATGGCTGAAAAGTAAAAGGGTGCAAAAGTTGACGATTGCAAAAGTAGGGGGTGCGGGAAGTAAGGTGCGTCAAATATAATGAATGTGGAAGATCGGAACGCGGAAAGTAGGGGCGCTAAAGATCATGGTCGCGAAGTGCAAGGAGAGCAAAAAGTAAGGAGTGCGAAAGTAAACAGCACTTAAAATTAGAAGCTCAAAAAGACAGGACTTTCGAAAGCAAGGAGTGCGTAAAGCTAGAACTATGAAAAGCTAAGGATCGCAAAATTTTGGGTTTTGGGAATGTAGACCGCATGTACACCGCATGTGTACGTGACAAAAGTACACTAATATACAACCCCGGCGGGTTCACTTCCATATGACCCTATACACCATGTGAGTTCCAAAATTCTCTGAGAAAGGGTCATAAATTTGACACACATCTGGGACAAAGATTTTCAGAAAAGGGGTTCTTTCTCAAAAATATATTCAGAGATTTTGGTACAAAGGGTAAAAAATCTTGAGTACATCGAAGCAGTGTTTTAATGTGTTCCAGTCAAACGAATGTCAAATTTCATTCAAACAAGTCTTTAAAGAACTCTTACCATGCAAGATAAAGCCAAAGCATAATGTGGTATGCTTACATAAAGGATATATTGTATGTTTCAACATCATTTTAATTGTTTTAAATACCTTAGTGCTATTATAGGGGATTACCTGGATGGTTCAAAGACACTTGACTTGCAAGAATATTATTTGAAATAGGGTCCTGTTGCTATGATATAGCTTTTGTTTGTTACCTTTGCTTTAAAAACACACAAGAAGTTATAATATGCCTTATAACTTTGCTCCTTAGTCTATAAAACCATAGAGCATTCAAGTCAGGGAAGGATTTATGCTTGCAGAAAAATTTTATGCATAGTTAAAAGATTAAAACTTAAGGACTCAGGATTGAAAAACTTGCTAGTTTTTGTTGCAAATAAGGAAATCAACATAGTGTCATAGCTCCAGCTGCAGTAGACAGTCAACCAGTAAAATGAACAAATAACTGTCTATATCAACTTACTTCCAATCAATATTGCAACATAAAACTTGGGCGAGAACAAGTCTGCAGAGTATGGCTGGTGCATGCACAAGAACAGTATAGTGCTGCATGCCAGAATCTGAAATTGGTAGTTGTGCAACTGTGCAGAAACAGTGTACTATCTTGTGTACGAGTATGGGAAACTCTGCATAACAACTTCCACAACCTTGAAATGTGCCAGGTTTTCAGCTTGACTTGTTGATAAACATTGATTTTTTAACAGGCTACTATTGTTTGTGCCTTTTGGTATTCTAAGCACTAGGCTTCATTGATTAAGATCTTTGGCTCAGACTTTTTCTTCTTTTCATTATCCCAGCATGCCATGACACAGTTCTGACTTGACCTTGACATCTTTAGCATGAGTTTCACATTGGGTGCACATTAGCATCAAAACTGAAAATAGGTTTTTGCAGCACCAAAATCAACATCTTTAATTCTTATAATTATATTTTTCTAATTATTGGAATCAGTTATTGAGGCAATTTACATTTTACTTTAATATCAAATCTATTGCCAAGGTTGAAGAGGCTGATTTAATTTAACATTTCTTTTGTGTCAGAGGAAAGGGGTGTAGCATACCCAAATTTTCAGAGATGAGGGTGTGTTGCGATGCTGGTTATGTCAAAGATAAGGGGATAGAAATCCATTAATTGAACTCACATGGTATATAGATTCTTATAGAAGTGAACCCGCCGGGTATACAACTCATCACTCGCCACAGGTAATTTTCCAGATACCAGATATCTGGAAGATTGCAAGGGTAACCCCAATTTTTAATCAGGTGCAAGAGGTGACTTGAATAATTACAGGCCCATATCAGTTCTTTTGATATTTGCAAGGATTCTTGAAAAAAATTGTTCACGATCAGCCGATTGGCTATTTCAAAGAGAAACAACTGCTAAAAAAGAATCAGCATGCGTTTCGTAAGCTACAAGACATTAACAAGCTTATCCAAATGATGAATGAGAAACTAGAAAATATTTCTGAGCGGATGAGGATCAATAAATTAAGTGAAAATCCTAAGAAAACTGATGCTTATCGGCCATCCACGTAGAATAAAAATTGAAATAAAACGAGTGAAAAAACTAAATCTCTAGGTATTATTGTGGACGATAATCTCAACTGGAAGAAACAATTTAAATCTTTGAAAGGAAAGGTAGCAAGTGGTCTGTCTGCGTTAAAATAACTAAAGCACATTCTTCCACAATCTAAACCATGTGAGGTTTATCATGCGCTGGTTGAAATTCACCTCCGATACGGGAATGTTGTCTGGGGTAGCCTGCCAAACACGAAGCTACAAACGCTTCAGCGTCTACAGGATAGGGCATTTTCAATTATTGAAAATGCCAATGAAACGAAAGCACCCCTGGACTAGTGATTTGCCAAGCGTTGATCATATCATGTCTTTTGATAGATCTATCATGACACACAAAATAGTAAGCACTGCCCTGAGAGCCTCTGGAACAAGTATAATCACAGGATTGAAATTTCTATTTATAGCACAAGAAAGAATAGAAATCTCGATATCTCAAAATTTAAGCTTGAGAACGAAAATTGAAAGCTCGTTTGAAGAGCTCAGGAAACCCGAATTAAAACACGACTCCCAGGAAGATCAGACGTCAAATTGAATTCAATCATATTTTTAGATAATTTTTAAATTTTTGTCTTCTTTTTGTCTAATTAGTTTTTTTAACTTATCATAACTTGTGCTTAGGTTTCTGGTGGGATATCGTGTTGAAATAAGAATTTAGTAAAAAATAGAAAAAATAAATGGATGCTTGACTGGATAAGGTGCAGCAGAATCGTCTAGGATCAGCAAGCAGAATCAATTTGGAGCGACAGGGTCAGTCGCATATGCATCTCTGGCGTGACATCAAGTCAGACGTGGCTCTTCTTATGTTCAAATCTAATTATATAATTAATTTTCTAATATTTTCAAGGTATTTCTGTTTTAAAGCGAGAGAGCTAGAGCGCACTTTTCCTTCGTGTTAATCCGGCGCCAAAATTCGCTTCGTTTTGCTTCTGCATTCAACTCATTCCCCTTCGGTTGTTTGGCCCGTTTGCTCTACTTTCGAGAAGACAAAATGGTGGAAGCTACTGCAGTGAAGGAGAATCCCCTTCTCAATCCAGCCTTCTCATAGAAGAATGTTTGTTTTCGCTGATATGGTGATCATGAAATGAAGATTGAGGATAAAAATTAGGAGCGCCGGCTCAGCGTCGCTCCAATGAGAAGAGCGACGTTTGACTTTGGCCCAAGGAGTCTGGAACGCGAGGATTGCAAAAAGTAAGGAGGGCGGAAAATAAAGGACATTGAGTTATTATTATTGAAAGGATATCAATTTTAAGGGAATCTAGCAAAACTTACTGCATGATGAACGCACTGTCTCAACCAAATTCTGCTTCATTGCACCATTCCAGTGGCACTGCATGTTACGGTCGCCCTAATTACATCCCGGCTTATTGATCTATATTCTTCTCTTCCACAATGTCCTTTGCACTTGAGCGTCTAATTTATACATCCAACGGTCGTGTACCTGCCAACCCTTACTGGATACAATTTCTTTAAAATATAAATAATGTATAAATTTGGTTTTGGTGTTTTCAGAAATCCCTTAGTTTTTCCTTCGGTTGAGATGTTTTAGGTGCCTTGAAAATTTGCATAAACAAAGGCTTGTCTAATTTTATGTAGTTTGGCATATAGATTGAGCCTCATTGGCCCTGCAACCTACTGCTTCTTGGCGGGTATTTCCCTTAATAAAGATATGACAGAACAGCTGCGACAAAAATCAGTTCTTCTTTGAGATGTTTTCACCTGCGTTGTTCTTGTTCTTGGTAGTCAGAGATTGTCCAGCACGTCGCTTGCTTAACTATAGTATTCTGGGATATAACCTTGGCCCGAATTGGCGTCAATGCTCTGGCTTTTTGTAGAAGTATCAAAACGGGAGCACAAGCCCTGGGGTTAGACGTTAGAGCATCTTGGGCATGGCTTTCACTGATCGTAAGTGCACAATAACTGCAATTTAGTCACATTGTTTGTAATTTAATTATCACCTATATTGTACAGCATGTGTCACATCATCGACAACACTTCCCTCCTCCATTTGTTTTTTGAAAAAGGTCAGCTTCACTGATTACCGCAACGTCACCTAGATATTAATCGTTGTGTCCAATGAATGCTAGTTTGTGAATAATTGAAATTTAATGAGACAGGTACTTTCATATTGATGTTCGAAGTTTTCAATCTTGAACTTTTGGACAAATAATGCAATTTAGACTCATTTTGCGTAATTATTTATTGTAGTGACATATACATGTCTCGTTGCTATTTCTGAGAAGCATTTTTATCAACTTGTGTACGAAAAATATACTTATGGTTGATTGCATGTCTTGTAGTTGGTGATTGTCATGAGCGCATCCGCATCATAGCCATACCAACCTTTTTCATCCATTATTTCTTTGTGAAATTAATAGTTCTTATATATTTATATTTGACATTGCAAACAGAAGAATATGAAAATCCCTTTTTAAATCGAACCTGCTATCACTTGCTAACTAGGCATGAATTTTGGTAGTGGAATTGATTCGCAAAGACACTCTTTTTTTGTAAGAATCAGTAAATTTAAGTTCAGGTTGACTGTACTTAATTTTTTCGAAGAACTGAGGCTGGATTTTTCTTAATTTGTTTTCATATTAATAGGGGGTTAGTAATGCAACTGCTAGCTTTTTTGCTCTAGGGAGGTGTACAGGCCTCATTTTCTAACAAAGTGGCTGAGACAACCTTTATTTGCCTACAAGTTTGAAAATTCACCGAAAAAAGACTCACAAGTGGCAAAAAATCCTCGTTATTTAAAGAAAACGTTATTCAAAATTGCATTTTTCAGTAGCTCAGCCTCAGCTTGTTTATAATCTGTTCTTAGCTTTTGACCAATTTTGAGGCTCGTATTCTTATAAAGTTGTTCTTATAAAATAAGAATGTAATAAATCATTTTTGGAAGTGGCACAAATTTAAACGAGTTGATGCAGGGCGAAAAGACTAAGTGGCATTTAAATTTGTTAGGTGAAGGAATCAAATGAGCAGTACAGCCCTTTATCCTTTCAGACTTCTTACGCCTTTCAGGAATATTCAAAAGGCGGTACTCAAATCTTCCAGATTTCACTAATAAAAAACCATTTTTAGAGAAAAAGAACATCATTGTTAACAGTAAAATGAAGAAGGGCGTTAACTTGTAGGACAGTTGTATCCAAGAGACCTGCAAACATTTTAAAACGACATGATGAAGTCATCAGGTAACATGAGTCTGATAATGTAGCATTATAGGCATAGTGGATGATAAACCCTTAAAGGGCTGGGGCTTAGTATGGGTTTTGCCTTGATATTATTGCTTCATTGAGATAGAGCTGCCCCAATGGGGCCTGAAATGCGATAGATTGTTCCTCATTTTGAAGAGGGGCTACAACCCTACAAGCCCCTATGTCTTCTATTCTCGTGGTAACGAAAACACAGTATAAAATACTTTGTATGTTTAGAAGATCCATCTAGGAGGGTAACTCATGATAGATTTGCATCGAGGGCTTTTTATTCAAAAAACAAACATTTACTTAGTATAAGGATTTAGTATTAGGGTAAGAAGTTCGTATAATTTATGAGGCATTTTATTTTTGCGTTGATTCATTGGATATCAACAATATTTACATAGCAGAATATGTGGTTATTTGCTTATATGGTTTTTTTTTCTTAATAGGGTTCTAAATTGTGACGTCACCAAAAACCTAAGTCAAAAAACAGCCTTTTTCGTTTCAAAGGCCTACCTGCATGATAATTATTGAATAATTGGATCATTCATCTGCTATTAGTTGAAGTTTCTCAATGAGGGGTAAGGTAAACTGGCATGATCGAGGTACTTCTAGTTTAGAATCGGTGTTGTCACCAACCATTTTTTAAATGACCATAAAGACATAAAGTTATCAAGTACTCCCCGTGTCCCTGACAACCTACTTGCGCATTAAACCGTGGCGGTATTCACCCGCATTAAAAAAAACTAGACATGGGCTCCGAAGAAAGTTAAAAAGAAGGGGGCCAGGGGAAATTAAAGATCCATTATAAAATATCTCACATAAACTCTATGGTTTAACAAAAATATACGTATTTTTTTATAAGAAACTAAGGTCCGATGCTGGTAGGCAGTTTCTTAAATTTCTGGCCATGTGGCTATCAAAAGTTTCTTACATTTTTCTTAAATTTCTTAGGTAATAAATTTTTTAAACGTGCTTCCAAGGTAAAGAAAATAGTTCCTTCACATTCAGAGATAAAATATTCAGTAGGCAGTTTCTTAAATTTCTGGCCATGTGGCTATCAAAAGTTTCTTACATGTTTCTTAAATTTCTTAGGAAATAAATTTTTTAAACGTGCTTCCAAGGTAAAGAAAATAGATTCCTTCACATTCAGGAATTTTTTCTCTAGAATGACTAACTCTGTTGAAATCTATAAACAGTAAAACTCAATGAACTTCATCAATGTCAAGTTGAAGTCAAAGCAAATTTTTAAATAGAAATTTCTTGAGTGTGCATTTTACTGAGAATGAATGCAAACTGTCTGTCAATTGTAGTGTTGCAATATACAGTGATGTTCAATGTCAAGACTGTTTCGAGTGTCAACTCGGAAAATTAAAACTGCAAATTATAAATGTTTCTTATCTTTTTTCAATTTGGGTAGGGTTGTTTCTTAACTTTCGAAAAATTGAGCCTATCGTTTCTTTTAACCTGTTTCTTATAAAAAAATGAATGTACGGAGGCACTGCTAGATGTATGGATGTCAATGCATTAGAATTTACTTATAATTTACACTAGTTAAATTGAGGATGCAATTAAATGCAGACGTCTGGAGCGAAATTTCCCCTCAAGACTTCCAAAGTTTTTATGGTTCGTGCATAGTTCAGCATCATCATGTCCTGGAATGCAACCCTTTTTCAGGTTGCCTTTAGCGGAAGTCGATTCCTATTATTCTGCAAACAATACTTGACGTCACATCCTCCGCCTTGGTTAGGTCGTTTTGATGTTCAGAGTGACTCCATAATGGCGTCTGTGAGTAATTCTGCTCGAAAGTCACCGGCCGCAGCTACTAAGCCACCTCAGTTGAATGCAATGAAGGTGTGTTTGCAGAATGCCACTCTGCTATTTTTCTATGCTGGGCATTCGATTCCCTCGATTTTTTCTTTCAACGGTATCCACTCTCAATATTTTGTTTGCTCGATTAGGGCTTGTCCTTCAACGAAAGCATGTCAAGAAGGCCTCCAAGACTGCGTCGCCGCTCTATTTCTGTGTCTTCTACTGATAGTTACAGCTCAGGTGAACATTAAAGTGTTAAATGCATCTTCTATAAATGTTTGCATTTAATTGGCAGTCCGTTTTAGATTCGTTTTCCGCGTTAACCCCACGGCTGTTGATTTCAATATTTTTTCTGAAAGAGGGCAGTACTAGTACTCCTGGTCAGGACTTTATGCATATGCCATAGAAAACGAAGGTTCCGCGATACTTGATCCTCTCGTACATATTTCAAAACATGTTTTTTTACGACGAACAACGATGGTACGCAAATTCCTTGATATTTTTTGAAGATGCGTTTTCTTTTCTCATAGATATGTTAATTTTTGACTTAAAAAGTTTAATAAAGAATGCACAAATATACAGCTTCTGTGTACTTCTTTAAATGTACAGCTGTGCCTATCCGGTATCGAAAACTTAATTGCAGATTGGTAAAACAGTAATCTCTTGTATTTAAATTTAAAAATATCGGTGAAGTGATACATGTTTAGACAGTCTAGGAAACTATTATAATATTAGTTTTGTAGTCTTTGTGTTTTTTGTACCAATAAAAGGGTAAATAAACAAAAAGGTTTTATCTAATAACTCGGACAAATCTTTTTCATTGTTTTATTAAATCTAATTGCTAGGTTTTTCAGTTTGGATAAACCATATAAAGGGAGAGGTTTTTTTCCTAAAATATCCAGAATTAGATATACAAAAAGCTGTGACTCAGTAAATGTGAAGAGAGGAGAATGTGATAAACTAGGATACCTGGTGTACGAGAACATCTTGACATTCCTATGTTTCAGTGCAAATGATCTTTTTGGGGTGTAAGATTAATAGAACACCAGAGATCTGACCTATCAGCATTTTTTAGCATTTTGTAGTCAAATTTTCAGCAGTGACAAAGAAAGATAAATTGTTATTACAAGATACTGAATTCATTGCTAAAAGTGTTAGATAGCATGAGCTTTGTTTTCTTTCATTATTGGCTGTTTCAGTTATATATGATGTCAAAAATGAACTCACAATGAGATGAAATTTCTGTTCTTATTGTCAGCTCTCAAGAAGGCATAAGGAAACACTTTGTTTAATTGATTAAAGGCAAGAAATATTGCTGTACAGGAGCTCAGGAAATCTTATAATTTATTGAAAAACAATTTTTATTTATAATGGAAAATCAGATATTTGACTTTGTAGGTGAATAAATCATTGAATTATGATTTTATCTAACAGCATAGTGTTCACTACTTAAACTTCTATAGGAGACAATTTATCAATAAATATTCTTGTACAAAAATCTTTATTTCTGTCTCATTGATGTTTATGGTTATGGTGCAATAATAGAAAATTGCAAATTTTTATAACATTGAATTAATAAGTAGAAAATCATAACAGTGCCCCTTTTGCATTGAAAATTTTCAGGTTGTTTTTGTCATGAAAGTGCTGTAGTTTGATTTTGCACATTGATGCATCATTCCTATGACAAATCTTCTCTAAATGCCACTGATACTAGGTATTTTGCTGCATCCATATGATAAAGAGGATACGTTGTCGCCATTACTCATTTGTTTTTAGTTTCACTTTTTATTTTTTAAGTATATGCACCAATACATTTTTTTAACAGTGGGTAGACATACAGGGTTGTGGTGAGAATGTGAGCAAAGGTGACAAGTGCCTACTTAGCATGCTCTTCATAAACCAAACATTGATTTACTTGTATTTTGTTGTTTTTTATATGTAGGGTAAGAAAATAATTCAGCCCAGCTAAACAAGTACCTTGGGGCCATGATGCCAAGAATAAATTGCCTTTTCACAATCTTTTTAAAACAATTCCTAACCTACACCATCTTTTGTTGAAATTTGTAATTAGGTCTGCCCCATCTATGGGACTGAAGTTGCTAGACACACAGCCAAAGTACTCTTTCTATGTTATCAGCATATATCAGATTCATTTTCTTGTTACAAAGAAATAACAATTTTGAATCAATAATCAGAATATAAAATATTTAAAACCCAGAGAACTTAAGTCTGATCATAGCTTCAGATCAATATGTCAATGTTAACATTTTTTAGTAGATCAAATTATTGAAATAGAAGTTTTGATATTTTTGAAGATGAAATCATCTAATTATCAAGCTCATAAATTACCCCTTTTTCTTATATATTTATTTCCTCCTTGAAAAATAGATGTATGCATGAGATTTGGTTAAGGACAAGTATATATGAATAACAAAGCATGTTTAGTTCTAAATTGAACAAAAAGTTTGTGAATGTAGCAGATGTTAGTTTGTATCCATGTCTATGTGCAACAGGTGAATTTCTTTTTCAATACTGTTCCTTGTACTGTCATTAGCAAAGCTCAAAAACCCTCAAGTCTTCATTATCCTAAGTAAGACTGGCCATAATTGTTTACTGCTAGGTTGAACGTAACTATTCTAAAACTTTCATAGTATTTATTTTATCAACAAGTTTTGTGCTTTGTCATAACCTCTGGTTTTTAGCTACAACCAAATGGAAGGATTTATCACCTCTTATTCTTCATTCTTAATTTCAGCAAGCTACTCAGATGCTAGTTATTCTTCAGATGAGGAAGATGGTGGACTAAACCCAAGAGAAACCCAACAGGTATGATGTTTTATCACAATTCCTCAGCATTTCCTAATAAAGGAATTTTGGGGGCAGTTTTGGTATTTCATTCAAATGGTCATTCCTGACACACATCTACAGAACATCCCAGCCGCCAGACTGGAAGCATAACCAGTCTGATTACATTTCCAAATTAATAGCATCTAAGTCAAGCAAAATATAAAGTAAACAATTTTGTGCATGTCTGCTTTAAGATGAGTAATATGTTGCAAAAGTGATGGGCATATATATAGAAAGAATATACAAGAGAGCACTACAATTAAGACACACTGTGGATAAATAGACATATGTTACTGTGGATACATAGGCAATGGAAGTTATCAGATCAGATACTTTGGAGGACACAATCACAATTCAAGAATGGTCATAACAGATCAAACAGCCAACTGAGGAGAGCCATCCACATTGAATCAATGAAAATCTAATCACACGAAGTTTGCTAAACAATTTAAATCATTTTTTCACGAAGAACTTATTTTGCAAAAACTAATAAACTCAAAACTTTCTCATTTGAAATACCTGCCAAAAATTTTATCACTTAGTTTTTAAGGTCTGAAAACCTGGAACAGATTTGCTGAAGAAATTTGAATGAAAAAGCAGCCCAGAATACTCTTACTTAACAATTCAATACTTTGATTTGAAACTTGGTTTCATGAAGCTTTTTGGAGTAAAGTAACCATTTTTATGTAACACAATACAACAATATCATATAATTATTAAGTTATAGATAACATCTATTTGATTACAAGCCATCTATTTCTATAAGTGGCCCTAAATTGTAAATTGCAGCATATAGGGCTCATAAAAAATATAAACTGCACCCACAAAATCAAGTAGAGACACCTGGCTTGAAATGACAGATGCAATAATTGATAAAAACCTGATTTTATTCTTAAACCGGATCATCTCCTACATGTTCAAAAACTACTTGCTAGCAAAAATAGACATTCTTAAGGGCAGCTGTTCAACTAATGAAAATATCATCAACATAGGATCATCAACCTTTTTTTAAAAGTATTTATTCTTCATCTTCCCCATTATTACCCTCAGCTTTAAGGTAGGAGGAAAGCTTGGCAGCATAAAACAATGCAAGTCACCCTTGTTTAAAGCTGCCCTTGTTTATAAGCAGCCTTGATTATAAACTGCAGTGAAATGTACCAAAAAATAATTATAAGCTACAACTTGATATAAAGTATTAATAGCTAGATAAATACAGAACATGATCTTTCTTCAGTAGAGGCAATCCACTACCCTTACAAATATTTTGTATGTTCTGATATAAAAGGACAACTGATATCGAAGCATTTTTACCAAGCTAAAAATGTTTTTGTTGGTGGAAATTTTTTTTGTATCACTTGCTGACTGAATTTAAGCACAATTTCCTTGACTTAAGATAATATAGTCACGGCGGGTAATTCTTACGCACAGCAACATGTCGGGTAATTTTTACGCAGGCAGTTTATTGCGTAATTCAATTGTTGTTTCCTACAAAAACTTTTTATTCATCCAAAGCAGTCCTTTCTCTTTCTGTTGACATAAAACTTGGCAGTTGGTTTGCGCGACAGCCTTTGTGAAAGCGATTCGCAGACATGAATCGCAATTTACCTAGGTACAAAGTTATCAACACTACTCATCAATTTTATTGTCCTGGCATCATGCGGACAATAACTAATCCTTTTAAGCATTCAAATGACTCTTTTGTGGCTCACCTTTGACCTATTCAAGTACTGCTGAGAAATATGCTTCCGTTCCTCGGAAAACACGTGCGTAAATATTACCCGACATTCATTGATTAGGAGGTTAATTTTTACGCACTTTTTATAAAACTGCATCGGGGTTTGAAAAGACGGCGCAACATTTATTTAGTTCCCTATATGAAAAAGAGGAAAGCTAAATGTTTGGTTCCAAATTCCCAAGGTTAACAGAAAAATCCCCCAAAAATAAGCAAAGAAAAGGTTATGTCCAAGCTCTAGGTGACATTCATAGCGGACGATCGACAAGAAGCACTGCGTAAATACGGGATGGCTGAAGGAACACTATATGTTATCATTCTAAAATGGTAGAAAATGATGGACCCCTCAAAGGGGGGTGGGGGAGGGGGCGTCTCCGAAGGGATTCCATCAAATTTTGGATGTAGACGTTTCTGACATTGAGAATATTTTTGCGAAATCGCGTGTTCGAAATTTTTATAATATTGACCAAAAGTATGAGTATTCCTCGACTATTTATCCTTAGAATTACCCTCAAAAATAATAAAAATGGAACTCTTTTTAGTGCGATGTTGAAACGCTAAATGTTTTGTCGACATTTCAAACTTTTTGTTGCTCTCAAAAGCAAAATTTTTTCTATAAAATTCTGGCATTTCAGCTTTTATATCGCATCCCTTCAACATAAATTTCCTACCAGTAGGTCTGTGATGAAGGCTTGTGGACTGTTTGAATTTGTAGGTAGCCACAAAGATTCGTAATAATTCTGTTCTATTCAGAAATTGATGTGCGTAAAATATTGCCGACGCCGCGTAAGAATTTGACGGAAGGGTCGGCTAATCTTTACGCAATTAAATTTGATTATATAATTAGTAAGCAGTTTCGATTTCATCACCTATTGTTGTCTGCTAATTAAGTATTGGCTATGAGTTCACCTGGTATATTCAGGTCATCAAATTACTTTGTTATTGTCCGTAAATTTCAAAGTTTATAAAAAATGCGTAAAATTTGCCCTCCATGACTATACCAGTCTAGCTTTCTTGAAAAATAATAAGCTTTGATTTGTAGAAGGAATGTTTCAAGCTATTGTAAAGACATTTACAAACTATTTCATACTATTCTTCAAACTTTCCCAGCATTATATTGTTAAGTTGATAATCTCTTATTGTAACTAGTTTGTGAAGCAATATTTGTCTGCTTACTACTTGTAATAAAGGCAAACTTAATTTTGCACTTTGCAGCCAAAAAGTTGACCAGTGTGATTTTATAATAATGTATATAGTTTAGTAGCTCCTTAATGCTTTAGATCAAGAGCTGAGGCTTTTGTTTATTTCAATAATTTAGACAAATACCAGTGGGAAGAGTGACTTCTGCGTTAAGAATATCAAACTTGCTGATTTTGGCAGAAGAGAGATTGAAATAGCCGAGCAAGGTAATACTTTAATTATCTACACTGCTTTGAAAATATTTTGGGCTCCTTCTATTCGTTGTTCTAAGCCATAGATAAAAGATCTAAAAAGCATGCACAATGATTCCGCAAGTTTAAAAGATTCATTTTATCAGACATCCAATGGACTTTTGTGTCTTTTATCAGACATCCAAACATTTGTTTATTTTACTAGTTTAATGCTCCTGCTTTTTGATAGGAAAAACAGTACTGATCGTGATCTGTCTGAAATTCGAAGTTTTCAGATGATTTACCAATTTAATTTAATTGCCCCTAAAACTTGCATGAGTTTCGTCGTCTGTGCGATAATACACTTTTGTGTCGTACCAAAAACTTAGCACACCTGCAACCGTAGCACACCATTTTGGATCCTGCGTTGGATCCTTAAAATCACTTTTTCTAATAAAAATTGGTGTATTCGAATGCAACACTTTTCTTGTGTATATAGTATACTTCTTTTTTGTAAGAACCAGTACATTAAAATTCAGGCTGACTGTTATTAAATTTTTTAGAAAATATGGGGCAAGATTGATCTTAATTTGTTTATAAATTATTAGAAGTAAGAATTGCAATTGCTAGCTATTGTGCTCTAAGGAGGTGTTCAGGCCTCATTTGCCAAAAAAGTGAGTGGGACATCCTCTCTTTGGTGACAAGTTTGGAAATTAACCGAAATAGCAGCAATATGTTTTTAATTTGGTCTTACCTTTTGACCGTTTGTGTAAAGTTGTTCCTATAGAAAAAAAATGTAAATCTGGTTTGGTTGATTCTTTCACGAAAACCTACTGGGGTTCTTTATTCACGTGAGCTTTGAGCATGTGAGCTGATAAAGTTTCGTTATTAAAGAGTTTTAACAGGACTTTCCACAAAAGATTTAGAAAAATAGAGAAAGTAGTAAAGGAATAGCCTCAGTCCTTCTGAGATCATTGCATTTCCAATAGAAAATTGGCTTTTTCTTGTCAAGGATAGGCAAGGTTATGTCACTTCGCTTTCGAACAGACACTCTTTCTCATTCACAGGCCAAAAGGAAATGAGTTTTTTGTGTAAATGGACTGGGAAGCTCGTATATTTGTTGTAATGGACGCTGCCTTGAGGCAAAACAAACACAGTCAATGCGATTTTATTAGCGCGGCTTAGCTTTAAAAGATCCTAAAACCATTTTTTATTGCATTTCGTTGGAGTTATGCCAGTATAAAGATAAACGCGTTAATCTTAGTGCCTCAAGCTAATATAAACCCATCTGCATTCTAAAACATGATTAACGACCGCCTGTGATGTTTAAGCGTTAACATTCCAGACTTTCCCCTAAGGTGCCTGCATTAGAAAACTGGCTATCTGTACCAACTGCTTTCTTCCAAACATCTCAGTATTAAATAAAGAGTCATTTATTCTTTTAGAATTCTTAATCTAACAATTATTCTGAAATAAGTAAGCTTTCCGTTCGGCAAGTTGAATTATAAAGCCGCCTGCATAGCTTGTATCAATTTTTGCCAGTGAATTTTATTTTAAAGCCATCCAAACGGTAACATTCACGGAGAAAGGATGTTCCCTGTCTATTTTGCCATTCAGAAGCCGTTTACATGAGATTTAGCCGGAGCTGAGACGCCTGCTTTCACTGTAAACGGAGTTGAAACTCAGGCCGTTTTGAACTCGGCCGTGGCTGAAATTATCATTTAAATGATCCTTTAGAAATGGTCCGGTGTTGAAGTCATCTCAGGGTCTCTAAGAGAAGTTATGGCCTCCTGAAAAACGGCAAATGACCCTATTTGCAGTGTTTGAAGGCCAAAATCTTTGACTGGGCTCGAATACCGTCATAGGATACAACAGGGAACATTCTCTATTAATGGGTCCGGGTTGAAGAATTGAAGGGTCCGGTCAAAGGCCCGGTCATTGACATTCTTTCTACCCATGCGATTTCACCTGAAAAAACTTTTGATGCGCTACGTGCTTTATGTAATTCTCATCCCTCACAAACATGGAGAGAAAATATTTTTATCATTTTCAACACAGTCAGTGCTGAAAAATTTTCATGTGACTGAAAAAAGCATCCTACGAAAGCTTAATGCCCTGTTTATTTTGCTGCATTGTTACTTGTATCAATCTGCATGATCAAATTAGCAAATAGCCTAGTAACCAAATATTTATCTTTGATAGAAAAATCAAATGGCTAATTGTATAGCCTATTTTGGGGGCTGGTGGCCCTTATATTGCTCATATGAAATTACTTTGGTATAATTAAACCATTTGATACTTGAAGGCACTCCTTTTTGTTGCATTGCAAAATAGGCTATTGTTATTTTCCAATAAAGTTCTGAAGTGATGACGTCAAAAAAATATATATTTTTAGAATTTTCGAATTTGGATCCGATAACCTGAAAGGGCATCATAAAATACCACTAAATGTGCAAAATCAGTCAAATGTGTTCTGAATTGACTGAGAAATGGCCACATGTGTATTGGATTGGCTCTTTCCCCATCAAACCTCTGTATTTTGGTCGCTGTTCATAACTTTATGAACAGAGCCAAAATAACAGTGATTCGTTAGTAAACTTTAAAGTTTACATTGGCAATTTCTCAACCGATTTGAGACGTATTTGACTAATTTTGCATGTTTGGAAGTATTTCATTGTGATCTTTAATGTTTTGTGGTTAAAATTCAAAAGTTTAAAAATAGGTTTTTGGTGACGTCACATTTTAGAACTCTAAGGGAAGGTCGCAGTAGCATGCTTCTCGACGGGCTCCGCTCGATGGAATTCTCGCAGCGAAAATTCGATAGAGAATGTTGCAAATAAGGAACACCACAACGCGCCGAAAACAGACAACTATAAACACACGTAAATTCACTGTGGCTAATAATTCTTAGTTTCGAATGTACTGCAGTATTATTGTTTATAATGAACGGTTGAGTGATGGGAAATAGTGCCTTGAATTCTTCTTCTTTCACCAATCTGCCGTCACTTTCTTTTTTGTAAATAAAACATAGTGAGGTAATGGAATAGGAAAACGGCTTTGGTATGCTTTGAGCAAATGTCCTATGTGAATTAGATGTTAAGAACATTGATCTGCTTGCCAGGTTTTTGCCCGTCATCACTGTTGTCTAAATCACTGTTCGACTTTGCTCTCATGGCAACACGTAAATATTTATTCGTTTCCATGTAATTAAAACCATCAGATGCTAGAAGCAAGAACCAATGTATGTTTCCCTTATTTGAATTCCTTTCATAACACACAGCTGCATAGTATTGTTGCGGTAAGTTTTATTTAGCAGGTAACCTTGAAATACATTCAAACAACTAGAAAAATCAACTTGAGATTTGTAATAAATATCGTCCTTATTGCTAATCCCCACTTCAGCTAACCACTCTAGTTTTTTTCCTAAGCTACCCCTGTTACAGCTACCCCGCATCATTTGCCCTTGCAACAGCTACCATCTCTTCATACACCCCACATCAACTATTCTGATATCTGTTCCCCAACATCATCTACGACTTCTACAGGACAAATGATGTTGGCCACCCCTAAATCAACTACCCTTACATCAACTACCACTTCATCAGCTACCCATATATCAGCTACCCTCTTCATCAACTACCCCTACATCAGCTACCCCTTCATCAACTACCCCTACATCAGCTACCCCTATATCAACTACCCCTACATCAGCTACTCCTACATCAACTACCCCTACATCAGCTACCCCTTCATCAACTACCCCTACATCAGCTACCCCTATATCAACTACCCCTACATCAGTTACTCCTACATCAACTACCCCTACATCAACTACCCCTACATCAGTTACTCCTACATCAACTACCCCTACATCAACTACCCCTACATCAGTTACTCCTACATCAACTACCCCTACATCAACTACCCCTACATCAATTACCCCTACATCAACTACCCCTACATCAGTTACTCCTACATCAACTACCCCTACATCAATTACCCCCACATCAACTACCCATACATCAGCTACTCCTACATCAACTACCCCTACATCAGCTACTCCTACATCAACTACCCCTATATCAACTACCCCTTCATCAGCTACCTCTACATCAACTACCCCTACATCAGCTACCTCTACATCAACTACCCCTACATCAACTACCCCCTACATCAGCTACCCTCGCACCAGCTCCTCTTGCGCCAGCTACCCTCAAATTAACTACACTCACTTCAACTGCCCAAAAAACTACCCACAAACCAGCCACCTACATTTTATCTCCCCTCACATCGGTTATGCCCGTTTCTCAGCCACTTCCACCCGCTACTTAGACTGACCAAGATACCCAAAGGCAAATTTACTTTTTCGTTAAGCTGCCAACATTTGCCTTCTTATCCCTCTCCACAATACGCTTATACTTGGGATTTTCCTTTTATTGTAATTTGACCTTTTTCACAGAAATGCCTGGTTTGATGCTTCTTAGAAAACGCAACATGAACGAAAAACCATTGGAAGGGGCAAAAATCGTTGGATGTACGCACATAACTGCACAAGCTGCTGTGAGTACCTTTTACTCAGTCAATATTTTGTAGATAATTCTTATGTTTTCTAATTTTTCTTGCAAGCGCTCCATTTTCCAACTAAGTTGTTAGATGCTTAATTTATATAAAATAATGTTGCCTGTATTTATAGAATCTACTTAATTCACTTAATTTGTAGAATCTACTTTCACAGTTTAAAAATTGTGTAGTTATATTTTAATGCCCCCATCACAGTATAGCCACTCCTTACAATCAAATTAATACTTCAGATTACAAAGTAGCCATCGCCAAAACTGTATAGAATTTTTGATTCGCTTTTTCTACTTTCGGGAAAAAGAACTCGATTTCAAGCGAGAAGGCGTTTTGATGTCACAAAGTACACCTGATAAAACTTGTAACAAACATCTGGCACTCCAAACATCAAAATAACTTATGTTTTTGTTTCTACCTAGCATCCGAAGGTATTTTTATGAAAATTAGAAGCTATGCTAATTATTCCTCTCGGTGTGACCAAACCACGGGATTCCAACGAATCGAATTGCAAAGAGATAGCAACTCCTTTCACTTTGAATAAGTTTGGTCATGTCAGGGACTCGAAATACAGACCCTTGGATTTGTAGTCCGCGACCCTCACTACTGAGCCATCTTCAAAAAACATTGTCAAAATTGTCCTACTGAATAATGAAACTTGTAAACAAGCGCAGAACAGGTGATCAAACTAATGAAGTCAGAATCTTCTAGCTACCCATAATTGTTTTCAAGCATCGATGATTTTAATAAAGAAGTATGAATATATGAATATTGACACTTTATAACAGGTTCTTTTGGAAACCCTGTCGGCATTAGGCGCTCAAGTGAGATGGTGTGCTTGCAATATATATTCCACACAGGTATGACGCTGTGACGCTATACTTTTTTTTCCTTACCCATTCTTCCTTGCCCATTTATCCTTGCCCATTCTTCCTTACCCATTCTTCCTTGCCCATTCTTCCTTGCCCATTCTTCCTTGCCCATTCTTCCTTGCCCATTCTTCCTTGCCCATTTTTCCTTACCCATTCTTCCTTGCCCATTCTTCCTTACCCATTCTTCCTTAACCCATTCTTCTCTAGCCAGACTTAACACACATTGCCCATCATACAAACGTTTGTTGAGCAATTACATTATTGGTAACTTAACTCTTTAAAATTTACAAGAAAATCATACTTTTCATTTTTGTCATGGGTTGCCAACCATTTTTGTCACTAGTTGCTAATCATTTTGTCACTGGTTGCCAATCATTTTGTCATTGGTTGCCAATCATTTTGTCACTGGTTGCCAATCATTTTGTCACTGGTTGCCAATCATTTTGTCACTGGTTGCCAATCATTTTGTCACTGGTTGCCAATCATTTTGTCACTGGTTGCTAATCATTTTGTCACTGGTTGTTAATCATTTTGTCATTGGTTGCTAATCATTTTGTCATTGGTTGCCAATCATTTTGTCACTGGTTGCTAATCATTTTGTCACTGGTTGCCAATCATTTTGTCACTGGTTGCTAATCATTTGTCATTGGTTGCCAATCATCTTGTCATTTGTTGCCAATCATTTTGTCACTGGTTGCCAATCATTTTGTCACTCATAAAGCACTGATAATATTTTTCTAGAATGAAGTGGCGGCAGCATTAGCTGAGGCAGGTCAGTTGTACATTTTTTTATTTCTTGAACAACCTTTACTGTGAATTGCTTGCTAAGAAACAATTCCTTCTGAATTTTGGCCCATTTGTACTACCAAAATGGCCCTTTCTTCCATGTCCCAATACTTTTTACCATGTTGGCCTATATTTTATCATTTATGATTATCTTCTTTTACCCATGCATCCTGTTCAAGCACTTATGGCAAAAGTGCTACTAACATGATCTCTTGTTGTAATTTGTAAATAAAGGCCGTGTGATTTATTTGGGTTTATCAACTTGATGGCAACAAGCTTATTGTAACTTACAATTATCTTTATGCTTTAATTTATTCTCCATGTGATTTTTCTGTAGGTTATCCAGTTTTCGCATGGAAAGGAGAGACAGAGGATGACTTTTGGTGGTGCATAGAAAAATGCATGCAGGCACCTAGCTGGACACCAAACTTGGTATTTATCGTAATTTGTATGCAGAAGCTCGTAAAAGCATTACCCCGTTCCCAATAGCCGTGTTTCTACAAAGGCGAATGAGAATTTAATCGTTCTTTGTTAAAAATGTTTTATGAAAATGAGTTTATCAAAAAAACTCTCGCTTTGTAACGGGAACGAAAATTAAAAGTTGGGGTTTTTAAAAATGTTACCGTTAAGTGCTTAGGCCAAGGTGTTCCTTAACCTAGTTAAAATTTGTTTCCAAATGTATCTTAAAAAATTGTATACAAAACTTCACAAAATCATGAATTATATGCAAAACTGATTACAAAACAAGACTGAGTTACGGCGTTTATATAAACTAATCAACAATTCAATACGTTAATTTATCGTTTCTGAATGTGCAAAGGTCCTCCGCAACAGAAACGAACTAACAGCAAATATCATGCAAAGGGCAGAAAGCATGGAATTATATTTTGAGATGCCTTGTTTTTCAAGATTCTTGACGATGGTGGTGATTCAACCCATTTAATGCTTAAGAAGTTTCCTCAAGCTTTTAACCATTTGAAAGGAATTGTGGAAGAAAGTGTCACTGGAGTTCATAGGTTTGTTTTTGCACATTTCACCCTTACATTTTTCGTTTACTAGGTATTATTAAGCATCATTAATATTGAATCCTGATGAATGTTCATCAGAAGTACTTTCAAGCGTGATAATATCAAACAGTTTTAATACTTTAACATATTCCTCTGCGTCAACTATTTAACGAGACTGGTTTCTGAAAAATTTATTAGCTATTTATTATTTGTCAATCTTGCACGAGCCTTTCAGTTGATTAGTATTACTTCCCTTCCAGTTGTTTTGATGTAATTCTGTTGTTTTTACGCTACTCTTTTAAGCAGCTTTTTTACACTGTTCTGTGTTTAGGTTATATCAACTGTCAAAAGCTGGAAAGCTGACTGTTCCTGCCATGAACGTAAATGACTCCGTTACCAAAGTGAGTTTTATTAATCTGCACTCTACTACATACAGTCTTACTTTTGCAATATATTTTGTATGATTTTTTCAATTTAGATTTTTCGGAATTACTCAAATTTGATTTTGAATTTTTTCAAATTAAATAGCTAAGTTTTATTGAAATTTGATTTAATTTCCGCATTATGTTTATGGATTCTTTTAATGTCTTTGTTCAAAACTTTTGTAAAAGCATTAATTAATAGCTAAGTTTTGATCTGCTTGTAAATGGATTTATTTTTATGCAAAGTGTATGTTGACTTTTAGTTCGTTATTTTTTAAGCCATCGTGATATGTTGTGTTAGATTGAGGGAAATTTCGGTTATAGATCTATATATTATAAATATTTAATTAACAATAAGAGACATGTCAACATTACGTAGCTTAAGCCTGTAAATGTATAATTGAATTTCCATTAATCGGTCGTACCCTCAAATCAAACAACTTAAAATAATCTATTCTTTTCAAAATTCGTCGATATTTTTAGGCGATAAACATTTAGCGAACATAAAAACATCTCCCATTATCATCTCCCATTTTTGCCCCTAGCTTATTAAGGGTATTACTGTAGCTTGACTCTGTTATATAATTTTCTTGCAGACCAAATTTGATAATCTGTATTGCTGTAGAGAGTCAATTTTAGATAGGTAGGTGTCCTTTGTCTTCTCGAATCTGTTTTCGAATCCCTTTTGTATAAATTGGCATGCACTTGCTTATAGCAGTAACAATTATCTAAATTTAAGACTTCTCGTTGTACCGTTTACGCTGAAATCTAATCAAATTTAAATGTTCCCTTAATTTATGCCAACTCAATTTAGACAGACCGTGCTTCATTAAAGAAAAATTTTGAGTTTTTATCTAGAGAATGATCAATTTTTTTCTTTAGAAAAATTAATACTTTGTATTTTTTTGTAGTTTAAAACGAACAACAGACATCATGTTTGGTGGGAAACAAGTCCTTGTTTGCGGGTTTGGCGAAGTAAGCCTTAAATATTCTTCCTCGCCTTACTTTCTCCGTGTGTTGACTGCTTGCATATATTTCTTTTCAGACTCTTATGTTTACGAATTGCGATGTTACTCGCATGTCAGGCCTCACTTGGTCTTTTGAGTCATGCCACAAACTTCCAGATTAAATTTCTTTTAAACCCCTTCTTTTTTGCTTTTTCAAAAGTACAATTTCTATTAGGATTTGAGATAACTGACATAATTACGTTAATCGTAGGTTGGTAAAGGTTGTTGTCAAGCTTTGAAGGGTCTTGGTGCTATCGTTTTTGTTGCAGAAATCGATCCAATTTGTGCCCTACAGGCTTGGTGAGTGGAAATTTAAATTATTTAAGCTCATATTCGTCTCTTATTACTGGTATTATTTGTTTACTCCATATTGGCCTTGTATTAGTTGTATCATTTCTGTGGTGAATCTTTGCAGCATGGATGGGTTTCGTGTCGTCAGAATGGAAGAAGTCATCAAGCAGGTTGATATTTTGGTCACGTGCACAGGTAGATTTTTGTTGTCTTTTTTTCCATTTATCTTACGGTGATAGATGTTATATTCCTCACCACATTGACTTTTTTTCAGAAACAGATGATGAGTGTCATATTTGTAAACAATACAGCTCGGTACTCTTTTTGCGATGATTGCTTTGTGAATTGAGGGGCACCCTGGTTTCTTTCCACCGAATCTTTCCATTTCTTTCTTGAAATTCCTGCCAGGCATAGTTGCGTTTTATTTTTTCATTTTAAACGGTGTTCTTTTTCAAGATAGCAATTAAGCCCTCGAATTAATTTCAGGCAACAAACACGTGGTAAGGAAGGAGCATCTAGATAGATTAAAAAATGGATGTATCGTCTGCAACATGGGGCATTCAAACACAGAGATTGATGTTGTAAGTATTCAAGCTAATTGGTCAAAGTTTTACTGCATCTTCTTTACCAAATGCACTGCCTTGATGCAAAGTTGTAGCATTTGTTGCTTACAAGGGTAGCCTTATTGTAACTGAGTCAACTCTGGAATTTTTGGGACTAGCTTCAAAATAGACTTTGAAATAAAAATTGCGTCATAGGATAAGCAAAACGAAAATCCCTTTCCGCGTAATTGAATTCGATTGCCGTAATGAGTAAAGTTAAAAAAAGAGTTTTGACTGGAGAGGCTCTTATCCTCTGTCGCTATATTTTTGAACTCAACTCGTTTCAATTTATTTCCTTTCCTGAATCTGACAAAAATATGAGATAGTTCTTGAAATTCACTAATAGATGATACACAACAATATCATAATTACAAGAAACAAAATAGCACAGAATCATATTTTGAATATCACAATCACTATTAAAATATTAATTTTGGTAAAAATTGAAATCGTATTTTAATTTTAAAACAATGCCAACTTGACTTTGGTCCTTGACGTCATTTTTGAAATTTTGTTTAGTTGTATTTATTTCTGGCCTTAGTGAACCCAGTCTAGCTGGCTTGAAAAGAATTTAGAGAGTGATGTGACAAAAAATGCCGCAGGGTTGCAGTATAAAATTGAAAGCGATTACACTAGAGACAAAATGAAGTAATTTCAACCAAAATGAAATATAATTTATTTTCATCAGTTTAATGGTTCAAGATATGACCTTTAGCAAAATCCCAGCAGTTTTTTGTTGTTTCATTCTGTTCCTTTGTCGTTATTATGGTTGCTGAGGTCTTTGCAAATTGCAAATTGGATCAAAGTATTAAAACTGGCTGAAAAATTCTACTTAAGATATTAGATCAATTGGAGTTCTCAGCTTTCAAAAGTATTAGAAATAGCCACATAATCTTGCATTAGTGTTTGTTCTTTCATTCAGTTTTTCCGCCTTAGGCAAGTCTAAGGTCGCCTGATTTAACCTGGGAGAAGGTGAGATCACAAGTAGACCACATAATCTGGCCTGATGGCAAACGGATCACTCTGCTGGCAGAGGTTTGGCACCTTCGGTTTTACACGCCCAAAACTTTTGTTTTGTTTTAATCTTCATATGCTTCAGATCACTTCCGCAATGATGGTCTTCTTGCATGTTTAATGAAAATTGCTTTCATTTAGTTTATATGATGAATAATCAGCATTCTTTGGCTGAGATATTCAAACATGTACAATGGCAATTGTATTTTTTTTGCAAATTACGTAGACAATTTTGTTTATTGTCATATGTCGACGCTCTTGGTTTTCTTTTTTGTAGGGTCGACTAGTAAATTTAAGCTGTTCCAGTGTTCCATCGTTTGTTGTCTCAATAACAGCAACAACACAAGCCATTGCTCTAATCGAGCTATTCAGGGCGCCTCCAGGGCGGTACCAAAATGATGTTTATTTGCTGCCAAAGAAAATGGGTAAGCAGTTTACAGATTGATAGTGTGTCTTTAAATGCCCTGTTCATTCAACCGAACTAGTCTAGGCTCGACCAAGGCTAAATTAGCCCAGGAATTCCCCAGTTGTAGAAAGCGGTAGTGTCGGCATAAACCCGGGCTGGACCCTAGTCTTTTGTTTTTGAGCAGACTCAATGAAGGTTTTGGTTATCTTTCCATCGAAAAAAAATTTATAATAATGGTTTTAGAGTACTTTTCAGAACGAAATTTTGCAGTTAAGCGGGCATAATTTTCTGAAACGATAAAAACGTTAAAGGAAGCTTTGTTTTGGAAGAAATATTCAAAATCATCCTAACCAAGGCTCTTCGATCGGTTGTGAAGAATTGTTGAATCTTTGATCAGTCTTTTTTAGAATACTTCCAGTTGTATATTCGAGTTTTGACAATTTTCTATGAAAGCAAACAAAACACGGCGCGCAGTTTCACTGTTTTTACGAATTGGCTCTAGAGAAATTGAGTCCTGGCCCAATTTTCTATCCACACTGCCTAGGCTCGGCCTGGGCCTGGTCTCCCTCAGAACCCGGGCCATCTAACCTGGGCTAGGCTCAGAGCCCAGGTTTTCCATGTTATCATTAGCTTGGGCCAAGCTGGGCCCAAGTAACAGTTAAAATAGCCAAGACCAAGGTAGTCTGCTTTATGTGCACAGCTTTAATACCCTATGGAATTGTTTGGAGAATGAATAAGAAATGCATCGATACACTGCTTCATAAAACGAAGTTTATTAAGCAGATGGGAATTCTTTCCTCAGATGAATATGTGGCAAATCTTCACTTGCCCGCATTTGATGCCCATCTCACCGAACTTAGCGAAGACCAAGCCAAGTATATGGGAGTTTCGAAGACAGGGCCGTTCAAACCGCATTACTACAGGTTCGAATTTTCGCAGTCTTCATTTGCAAGTCTTCTAAATGTTATGCCATGTGATAATTTTTCATTTTGATTCCAGTCTTTCAAAACGGATAGCCATGTAAAGTTTAGAACTAGACTATCATTGCTACTTCTGCCACTCATGTTTTTCTCTCATTACTCGGAAACATTGCTTGCTGACTCAAAAATTACGCTTTGAACCATCTGAATGTTTGGACTTCTAAAATGCATCAACATCTCACTCTTGCTTTGATATCACTCGCTTGGTTTTGCATAGCTTAACTGTTTTTATCAGAATGCGTCATAGCTATGGAAGTAATCTTTGGAAGTAATGAAACAGGTTGATGCCTAAATTAATCAACAATTCGTTAATGCTCTGATCACTGCAACCCAGCCGCTTTCATTGCTTGAAATTCGTATTTTCTTTTCTAATCTGCTGTCGTTTCTTTTTCATAGGTATTGACACAGTATCAATATGGCAAACAGCCTCTCAATGGAACTGCAAAAACAAATTGCATTAGTGCTGAAAATTTTTATCATTAAATTATTTTTCAGCTCATTTCATATCGAGTGAGTTTTGCCATTGAAATCAGTTCCCCTGTGAGGAGACACCTGAAAGTCAAATTGTATTTTGGGTCTAGTAAGCAAAATTGGATTTTTGAAACTATAAAGAAAATATGTAGTATTTAGTAATAGGCCCCAGCAATTTTTCAACATTTTAAGGCACCTTGCATCAAAAGGGAAAATGTGTATTGAAAACTGAATTGACCCTTTTGTAAATGAATCAGATATGTTTTGACAGGGGGGAGGGGGGGCTAAGAAAAAATCTAGCTATCTGTTTTTAATTGCCTTTTTGAAATATTATACACGTAGATTTTTTGCTAAATTTCGTACACTCATATCAAAATTTGGACGAGCTCTTATCCTTGTTCTCTTCATTAAATAGAGGTTTGGATCACATTTCCAAAGACCTTTAGGTGGCTGGATATTTGTTATGTTTGAATTAAGATTGCAACTCTTGTTGAAAAAGCCACACAGTGCCTTGCAAGTTAACCTTATCAGAAAAGTAGCATTGTTTGAAAATATATTAAACTTGGGCTCTCTACCAAGTGTGACAGGAACTTCATAGACAGCACATTGGTATCTTTTCCTGTGGCCTGACCCAACTGCAGACAAAAAAGACCGTCTGTTTATGTCACTCGATCAAAATGAGATGAGCAACCAGATGTAATTTCTTCACGTTTTTAATCGTCTTGTAAACAGTACAGCGTGTTTGCCAATCCTTGAGGAGCAGTGTTTTCATGATATATTAAAATGTTGATCATACACAGGCCAGTTGGAACAAGCGTGATTATGCAAAATCTTCACATTTAGCCATAGGTATACAGAAGCAAAGTAATGTTATCCCGTTAGAACTAGCAGTTTAATTATTTTGCTTAGGGTTATAAGTGCACCATTTATTTGTGCAGGGTTTCGAACGCCTTTTTGTCTCGTTTTACTTTATACGAGTTGATTTAATAGGGTTTTGCATTAGTAAGGAAATGTCAGCCAAACATAGCATAAGTAAGAACAGACTTTGTAGTGAGTGCGTTGAACTACTTCTGATACTGTGATATCGTTTTTATTTAGAAGGTGCTTGTTAAAACAAATCCCCACCAATTACTATCAAGTTAGAGCCCTAGCTTAGATTTGTTCCTTCTCCAGGTTGTCTCCCTTGATAAGAAAGAGCCGTTTTCCCATCAAAGCCTCTATTAAGCCAGTCAGCTGGCTTCGTTATGTTCTCATTTATTTTTGTATGGCCATTGCCATTCGTGAAACTATTTTAAAAATTCAATGAACTTTCATACAACAAAACATGAACATAAAGGTGCCCCAGCTAAAACCTTATCTTATGAAAACTATTTTGTTTCGTATGATTTAATGACCCTAAGAACGAATAATCTGTAACTCTGCAGACTATATTTATACATTTGCGAAACAACAAGGCCCAAAATATGAACACAGGAATTCTGCTTCACCTAAGAAGAGAACTTCTCTTTTGGTTGCCAGGACCAAAAGATTTCGTCTTAATTTTCTATGTTCAATATTTGATATATCTTCCTGCTGCATGTCCTTAGCTTATTTTTTGTTATTTATAAAAGTAAATAATCTGTTGTTCATGCATATTTATGATTTGGGTCTTTCAATAAATTTAATGCTTAGAAATTTTGATTTTATGATCAAGCTTACACTTTTTGATAAAGGCTCTGCTGTCACAATGTCCGCCCTACTACCTCTGAATCCCACAATGCAGTTTGTTTATTGCATCTCTTATTACAAATGATGGGAATTTCAATTGCTTATATTTCCAAACATTCCTCGTGCGAAAGTAAATTATACGCACATTGACGTTTAAAGTGGTAGTATGAGTTGGCATTGTGGCAGCGACTATTCTACTGCAGTGAGTTAAAAACTTACTTTCCTTGTTTCACTGGTGATCACTGATGTTTAAACGGTGTTCAACCACATAGCTGACATAGTTCATTTAAGTTACTTTCCCAAGAACCAGAATTGATGTGTGATAAAACTTATTCTAGACAGACTGGTATTTTCAGATGGAAACCACCTGCTGCCTTGTATCGTTAAATCAAAGTCACTAAGAAATATGGCTGTTTTATATTATTGATACATTTATATCCTTAGACAAATTGTATGAAGATAAAGTGTTTATGAAACAATATGATGCCTTTTTTAATGTCACCTGTAATGCTGCAGCCATTGATAGAGAATCTTAACATATACCAACCAATTATAGAAGTGTGTATGTGTATTGGCAAGAAAGAGCAACCAAAACATTGTCTATTCTTGTGGGTGAGTGCTGCAGAGTGTTGTTCTTTTAGGTTACATGGTAAAAACGTCAAAGCTCAAAGCATGCCGCACATTGACACTACACTTCCATACAAGAAGGCCCACCAAGAAGGGGGCAGCTGCCCTTGGGCCCATAGGCAGATTTTTTCTTTTGAATAAAATTGCAGTTGAAGGGGGGAGGGGATATTGATAATTGTGTTGCAAGTAGTACTTTTCTGTTTTTCTTTAATTCTTTACTTTGAGCTACCTCAAAAACATGGAATTCAGAATGAGCTGCTGCAATAGAATAGATAGAACTGAATAGTTTTAGGCATAGAGATGACAAATTTGTTATTGCCTTTTGATGACTTTTCTGGGAAGTCACGCCAAACTTTGCTTTCATGAAATGTTATTTCTGAAAACGTTTTTGCAGTGATTTATAATTGAAATGACACTTCCCTTTACAAAAGCCTGTATTCAACATTTCATGAAAGCAATGTTGCCTTTTGAAACTGATAAAATAGTTTTTCAACAATTTCTTCCTTGTAGTTTCAATGACTTGTTCTTATTCTGAGGTTTGTTAACATGGATAATCAACCTTCTATTAAAGAGATGTACTTTGTAAATATTTTGTTGAAATTTTTTATTCATATGAAATGAAACAATCATATAATTGTGAGCCCTTTTCAGGAAGGTTTAGTCAAATTGAAAGATCTGGTGGGGGGAAAGGGATGTTGAAACTTTTGCCAGTTTTTGCAGACTAAAAGCTTTTTCTCTAAATCTTTGTCAAGATACATCTGGTGCCAGACATTAAGGCCAATTTTCTTAGAAATTTCCCAGATTTGTCAAATAAACTTTTGTGACTCAGTGGTTCATAAAAGAATTCTTGAAGAAAAAAAACAATAATTTCAAAGTCTGTTTAACCTAATTTTACCAAATAATGAGACAAGTGTACTTCTTTAATAATTTGTTAAAAATCAAAGTGAAAACAGTAAGAATGACAAACAAGACAAAGGTTTTGCAGCAGTTGTTGCTACTAAATTTCTGACGATTTCTTATATTGCAATGTAAACATAGCTATGAATACAGGAAGTAAACGGTAAATTTCTAGTGCTCAGACATTCCACGATAATTATCAAGCAATATTTCAAAACAAAAAAGATAAATGTAACTGAGTTGATTGATCTTGCTGACTTGACTACAATCATTTACAACAATACTGAATCTTGTTAGCAATTATGGCCCAATATTTTGCTTCACACTACTACTTTAGTTGTATTTTGCTTTTATCCCTTTTGCTACCCTTTTCATTTGCCTTCCTTTTCTTTGTTGGTACCTCATCAGTTGCAACTGCCATTTGGTTCCAGAGCATGTCATTTTGTTCTCTTATGTCTTCACGGTCTTTTGTTTGAATTTTCTGTTTTTCTTCTTTTATGTCGCTTGCAGAAAGTTCTCCAGTATAGTTTTTCATTGACAAAAGAACTGAAGACAGTTGAGACTTCAGGTAATGCTTCTGTAACAAACTTCTAGTCTTTATGTTATATATCCTTAGAAATCTGTCTAAACCAACTGATGCTACTAAATCTTGCTGTATATGACAGTCAATAGAGGATATACTTCCAGCTGCCCCTTTGTATGTTCCACTTATTCTGTTATTCCTAATATCAATTGATGCCATACTGCCAAAGGTATTTCCCACTATGATATCATTGCTATTGGCTGCAACTGAAAGAGCAGTTATAGGATATGACTCCCATTCAACAACAGATATAGGTCTTCTTTGCTTTTTTGTGTCATATATCTTTATACTATGGTATCCTGTGGCAACAACAATCTTGGATTCGTCATTACCTAAGAAGCAGATGTCATTGATCCATACTGGCTGACGTAAATCCAAAGAATCGTTCTTTACATTTTTAGCTGCAAATATTGGCTTTCCAAACTTGTTTAAATCAAAAACCTTCAAATCATTTTCTTTGCCCCCAGTTGCAAATATACCTTGGTTTAAAGTAATTTGTTTTAACTTTCTAACATCGTTACCGACACATTTCTCCAAAATTATTTCGTTTCCATTCCAGCATTTGAAGTAACCTTTCTCCGTGCAAGCAAATACCTTTTCTTCAAAACACCCAATTCCTCTAATTGGGCTGCTTCCGCAGACCAGCTCTGGCAAACTATAAGTTAGTGACTTGCATGAAAAAATTTGAACTGTGCCGCTATCTTTACCAACAAACAGTTCTTGCTCCTGCGAGTCTTTCCATAGCAGTGAGCTAGGCGCATTCTTTCGTCCAAGCTCTCCCGCCTCACCATAATTCATCACAACCCCTGTATCAGCAGATATTGTTTTCAAGTATCCGAGTTCACTGCCAACCCATATTATGTCATTCCTTGTTTCCGTCATCGTTAATTTGTACTTCTTACAGATCATGCAACTTCACCATGTTCCTCCAGCATGTGTTGGTTACAGTCTGCCATTATGAATCTCTTGCTCGATCAGACTCCACATAGTCGAGGCTGATTCATAATGACTGCCACGTGGAAAATGACACCCATAACATCTTAAATTTTCAATGGATAGAAAAAGGCGTGGGTATACGGATAAAAAGTCCGCCGTCATGATTTCACTGCCATCGCCATTTTCAAAGGACGATTCGTCGTCGTATTTCAACATGAAAAACATCAACACAGTGTTTGGCGTCAAGCATGCTAGAGTTGCATTGATTTTTGTCGTTATACTGTTTCTTGCAGCTTGTGTCTATCTTAGTTTCAGTCCTTCCAATGATGACCGTTTTCGTATACCAAAAGGCAAGTGTCCAAAGCTTTCCTTCCGCCCAAGAGATGATGTGCAAGTGGAACCATTCAGAATTGATCTCAAAAGTCAGGTATTGTTTGAAGAAGAATCACTCTTAACATCTCAAAGGAAAATATTTTGCAGGAGGAAATAATGTTGATTTATAGGTATAGAATGAATTCATCACAATGGTGTATTAGCTAAAGATAATACCTTTTCACTTACAATTAAATATTTAGCATACTTATACAGTGGAACCTCCATATAACGGACACCAGTGGGACCAATGTTATTGTCCGTTGTAGAGAGGTGTCCGCTGTATGGAGGTGTCCGCTGTATGGAGGTGTCATCTTCTTTCAACACTGAACCAGTCTGAAGATCTTTGAAGAAACTCGTCTTGTTAAGAAAATAACAACACTGAGGAAGAAAGGAAAATTTTTAGCTCAAGATACTACAGTGTAATTAACGTGAAATGTTTTGCCAAATATGTTTTTGTGCAGTGAAATAGTGCCTAAATTTTTCTCCATCTATGTCTTCGTCAGTAAATTTCTTTATTGATGACCCTCCACTCCCTAGTCTGGAAGGTCATGCTCCGCCACTGATCACACTCAACTGGCACAGACAGTTTTCTACCGTTTAACAACCATATTGTGTCATGCGATTTCCTAAGTGGTGAATACTGGAATTGAAAAATGATTCCTGGAGCAACAAGATCTTGTTTCTGATAAAAAAGTATGTAATCTTTACAATATGCCAATGGCTGAGGCATGTGCTTTGCTACTTTTTGAGAACCAGTTCTGTCACGAAGCCCACACCTTGTCTCGCCTAGGTATGTGCTGAATGTTAGGAGCACAGAATGCTTGTCACGCAATCATATAGCTCAAACTGGGAGGCCTGGTTGAAAGCTGTTAACATGCCATTGAAATTCAATCTTAATCAATATACAATCTTAATCACTGAAAAAGTTAAGCCTATCCCAGTGCTTAGCACTGTTTAAATTATTTCAGAATTTGTCAGCCCCCTTAAAAGAATAATGGGAAAATTTTTATTTTTGACTGACATCAATAAAAAATCTTTCTTATTTATCAGCTATTATTCAGATTAAACATGTTAGTCGGTAAGGTTGGCCAGTGTGCAAATTATGGCAGTTCACAACCAGATATTGCATGTGAACAATCATTTCAGGCACATTTTTCTAGTGCAAACCTCATTTTTCTATCATATGGTGTGCAAACATAAATTTTCTATAATAATGCTATTGTAAATTTGGTGTGCAATTTTAGATTTTGGCATGTAGAGCTACTCTAACCTTTTGCCTGCCCCTTCCATACTCTAAAGACTTGGGGTTGGGGAACAAAATGAAAATGTTTGGTACAGGCCCTTATTACTGTCATAAACATCATTTACCAGCATATAATGCCAATTTTAAGTACACAGAATGTCTGTGACTAAGGTTTGGCTACATAAAGGCAGTTTTGAAATCATAGAGTCATACCACATTAGAATAATTTACCAAATTAGCACCCTTCCCCAAATTTTTTGATTCAATTTAGACAAATACAAAATCAATCCTGTTGAGAACTAGGGGTAAGTGATCCCCCCCATTTGTCCCCCTTTACTTCGTCATATCTTACAGAAAGAATAGAAAAGAAGTACCATGATCTGATATTGTTTTAAGTATGTGTGGCAGAGATGGCCAACTTTCATTACCCTGGGACATCTTGGTGATGTTTGGTATCCTTGCAAGTGTCAAGCTAATGTGATAGTAGGTTTATATGTTCAACCAGTTTTGGTCCAAAGGCAACTTAAAACCTTTTGATGGGCTGGATTAGTTCACCCCACCCCCCTCCCCCCTCTGTACAATATGTAATCTAGATGTAGTAATGAAACAATGCATTAATACTAAACAAACTTTTTCATTTGTACAGAAAAGTATTTTTAATCACAGAGAAATGTTGATATTCATCAAGAGTATTGTTCCATTTCAGGACTGGATAACTAAAGAGTGTTTTAATGGAAACCCTCCAACTGATGTTGACAATATTTTTAGCTCACTTCATATCTGGGCACAAAGTATGGACTCCATTTGTAGGTCAGTTATTGTATTCACTGCTGTTGTTATTTTTCATGATCTATCAAGTCAATATATCAAGTCATCTAACTGCAGTTGATTTGATACTTGAAGTTACAACTGGGAGATGTATAATCCTGCAACAACATTTAACATACTTTTGTGTTGAAGGTATTCAACACCAAATCACAAATCAATTATTATCCATTTTGAATATTGATTTATGAAAGATTTCTTTTTTATTAAATTTCTTGTTCTAAAGTTTAACCTACCTTTATCTCAGGAAACTATTTAATGATTTTGGTTCAGTGTATCAAGTGAGAGAAAAAACTGCTGAAGTCACATTGAGTGAAACATTCATGGTCAAGGTGTGTATCTGCCTGCTCTGCAGATTTTGTTTGAACATTATTTTGTGTCAAATGTGGCCTTTTGGTGATATTTGCTTACTCTTTCTGTTTGTTTCTCCTATGAAGTTTTGCCCATAAACTTTCTCCTATGATGTTCCTCCTATGAAGTAACAGTTGTCTGTCATGTATATAAGACAATATCAACCAAAGTTACAGAAAAATTTCTTTTCTCGAACAAAAACTTCTATTTTTCTATTTTTTTCTTTGTTTGAAACATCATGAAATGCATTGTATGGGTGAATGTAGAAAATGCATTCATATGGTCTATGTTTGATTTTTGGTTGTTGAGTTGTTATTATCTTTTAAAGGTTAAAGGTTGGCTAAAAGATAATGCAGAGCTGATTGAAAAAACAAAGAAACAGGTGCTTTTCATTTGTTAATTTTGTTTGGATGATGGTTATACCTTGTCAGTTGGTATATAATCTGACCTGGACTGCTGATACAACCCAATCTGCTATGCAGAGGCCTTGGAAATTCTGTATAGCTGACTATCACTGACTTGAAACAGAGTTAAAGATATAAAATGTTGACCAGAATTGTTGTCCTAGTGGGAAAGTGTCATGGAAAGTTTGGTTTAACACCGAAACTTTTTCAGAACTGCTAGATGCATGCAATGTAATGAATGACTTGATTCATAATAATTATTAATTTTTTACCTGCAATATTATTTCTTTAATTTAACCCTTAACTGAGATTAATCATCCTGTATTTTTAGACTCTGGTGTTCGTAGATAACCTGTACACACAGGAGTCAGTTGTTTTTAATTCTGTGAGATCAAGAAGACCAGGGGCTTCTGGTGGAGACAGCACAGACCTGTAAGTGTCGCAAGTATTGATAATCTCATACTGTCGATAGCATAATATTACTGGGGCAAGAACAAAGGGGATGGGAATGGGGCTCATTACCCTTTTTTATTAAGATGCATGTTAAGAATGGATTATGAAACATTTTCTTCTCTAAGGCCTTTTGAAGTTCAAATCATGACCATAGATTATTATACAATGTTAAGTCATTCGATTTTGCTTATGAATAGCTAATGAGGTCTTTCATCTATTTTGAGCTGCCATTTAATTTGAATTGCCATTTAATTTGAATTTTAGATTAAAAGACATGCTAGAAAAAAGTGCAAAAGATTGTGACTTTTGTAAATTCAAAGAGTAAGTTGTGGTCGAGTTACAATTCTCTACAAGATAAATCATTTTAGAAATGTTTAATGATTTTTTGTAAACTGTGTGTGTGTTCTTATGCACATCAAATAATTGGTATCACAAATTTGCATCTTGCTTGTATAAGGCATCATGAAATGTGATTTTTCATGAAAATTCAACCTTTTAATGCTACAAAGAATTCATTTGAAGTTTTTGAGTTATAAACGGCAGTGAATCAAATCTTGATGCATTTGTTAATTGTTTTTAAAACACTGATTCCATTTCTTTTGAAATCAAGAAAATTAAATTGATTAAAGGTTTTCAAAGATTGTCAACTATGCTTCACTGTTTGCAAGCCTGTTCCAATTATATCCACAAGTATGAAAAAAAAGTATATTTCCTAAAAGGTATGACTATTTCCCATATCTGTTTTCCATATTAATGTATGATTTGTTTTAATGCTAAGAACCTTTTTAGAATGACAGCTCAAGACAGTTTTGGTATCTTGGAGTCGAAGCATGCAGCAATTGGTAAAATTTACTTTTGTTTGAGTTGGCAATTCTCATTTTAATTTTCTTTATGCGTTTGTTAGCCCAAATGGAGCAATTTTGCAGGCACCGCGCACAATTCTAAAAGTGAGTGGGCTGATTAGAGCGTAACCAAGATTTTTTTAGGCCACGACCTTGGAACGCCGGAAAACGCCTCTAATAGAAAATACTTGCTTCTTTCTACTTATTTTTTATCAACAGTTTGATTCAGAGAAGATATCAATTACTATAAGAATATATTTAACAAGATAGGACACCAAGGAAATTAACAAAAAAGGGTTCCCAGCCAAGACGAACTGCTACTACTTAGAATCCGTTTGAGCAAACTTTCCAATGTTTCGTTAAAGTAAACTTTCGCAAAATATTTCTAACCTATTATTGCAAAAAATTGGGGGAGGTGGGGCAATAGCCCCTGCTAGCCCAATGACTGCGCGGTGCCTGCAATCTTGATGAGATCATGGTATGTAGCTTGAAATATTACTTTACCTGAATTTGAAATGTTATGCAAATTGCTGTTTACCAGTCCGTCATAAAGTGCTCGATGCCTTATAGGCAGACCTGCAGACGCTGAGAACATCTGCCCGATGATCGCATTAAGCGAGAAAGTAGGAGTAGCAACTTAGAAATGACCTGTCTACACACAAAAAGCGAATTTAAAGTATAAACTCATTTGTGAGTTTTTATGCAACCAGCATCATTACTATTTGTTTTTTTGTTCAGTCTTTGTCTTTTTGTGTTTGTATTTGTTTCTACCTAGCATCCGAAGGTAGTTTTTAGGACACTGAGAAGCTTATGCTTATCGAGCAGTGTCCTGATCCTTCCTCTCGATGTGACCACACCTCGTGATTCCTACGCCTGGAATTACAGAGAGCTGGCAAATCTCCTCGCTCTGGGTCTTTTTCTTTTGAAGCATGCTACCGGTTCCTTATCTGCGTGGTTGATGATATCATTTTTATTGAGCGATTATGCGTTTTATCGTAATATTCATGGCTATACGTTTTATAAAATCGCAGTCTTCGTATATTTTATTTAATCCCCGTAATAGATGTAAGCTGCATGGAGAAACAACGAGAATATTAATTAAACATTGTTTCATATGCGTTTAATCTTCATTGCGAAATTATACTGGTTATGTTGCAACCCCTGCTCAGTGTTGTAGCGCAGTTCAGAACACCTTAGTTCGATTACTAACAACGGCTCCTTAGCAAAAGGGGCCCCAAATGATTTTTATATACCTTTCGTTTTATATCAATCTATTCAACCTTTTTATATCTTTTTTTTGTATCGAGACTTTCCTCAAGATAATTATATTTTCAAAAACTTCAAGAGTTCTTTAATTGCAGATTCTATAGCTGAGGTCCCTTCTTAACTAAGTTAATAAGAAAATTATAATTTTCGACTTCGCTACTGTGTTTGACATGTATTGACTGAATTGGATGTTCTTGCGGTCCGTAAATAGGACCCCTATCTTTGTTTTTTCCTTAATGCCTCGTATACCTCAGTCTACCCCAGCTCTTGACGGCTTATTTTCTGACATCTTTCACAGTTTCCAATGCATTCAAAATTGAAAAGTTTCATGGAATGATTCTTCTAAAGCAACATGACCCTTCTCAATTTACCTTGACACAGGTAAGACAATTTTTTCAATGTTTAAAAATAATCTTTTATGTAACTTGCAGATGACATGAAATAGCAGAAACACAGCATACTGAAACACTTTTTATCCAATACTTTAGGGAGTAGAGATGTATTTGTATTTGTTTATACCTAGCATGCGAAGGTAGTTTTTAGGAACCTGAAAAGCTTATGCTTATCGAGCAGTGTCCTGGTCCTTCCTCTCGATGTGACCACACCTCATGATTCCTACGCCTGGAATTACAGAGAGCTGGCGACTCTTCTCACCCTGGGTTAAAGTTTGGTCATGCCAGGGACTTGAACCACAGACCCTTGGGTCTGTTGTCAGCGCCTCGTAGAAATGAGCCATCCTCGCGAGTATAAATGTCAGATAATGACCGAAAGTAAGCAGGCAATTTATACCCATTTGTATATCAAAAGCAACGTTCAAGGAGGAAATTACATTTTTATATTCAGGTTTTTTCACCTCTTATCGTGTCCTATTTTTCTCCAGTTTCTAGATGCCATGAGCCTGGCCTCCAAGTGGTAATTATTTCTAATTTTCTGATGCAAGTTTTACCGTTTATGCTGAATTTGCTACCCCTGCTGCAGTTGTATGGTGGTGGCTGCAAGGGGGTGAGAATCCCCCTCCTTTGGCATGGCACCTGTTAGCAAAAATAGTGCCAGCGTAGATGTTGTTGGATTTCAAGCACATCACTTGCATAGTAACGTTCTATTCTGAGTTCATTTTAGTTTTATTTCAATAGATTGAGATTCCGGAAATCGCAGCTTGTTAATAAACTTGATAATAAGTATCACGACCAATAGAAAATACATTGTTTGGTAAAACATCTCGTAATCTCACGATTCGTTGTAAAGAGCATCTAGGAATCGAAAAACCTGGGCAGGGTTTTCATGGACTTGTCTATTTAATGGAATTGTCAACAATGTCATTATGAATACCTGATTTGTTTACTTATAGCAAGTTGTCGACTGTTTCAAACAATGTCTTTTTTATTGGCCGTGATACTTATTATCAAATTTTATTTCAATGTTACAAAAGTAGCTATCATTGGGTATCTTACTTTAACGTGATTTTCAACATCTACAGCCTCTTAAGAGCCACACTCATGCAACACTCAACAGTAGTAACAACTCTCCCCAAATGTGTCATACGTTGAGTGCCATACATTTCTCTGCTCAATTACCTCACAAGATGAGGAAAAATCTGGTATGTCCAATTTCAGGGTTTGTCCCCACCATGACAAAGGGTTTGTGTTGACTCATTTCAGATTCTTGTCTATGCTATTATAACCTTTCTTGTGGATCCCAACTAAAATGTAAACGTTTGGCTCTTTGTTTGTAGGTACGATAAAGTGCACAGCCTTGTTCCTGACTATAATTTCCGCCACATGTATTGGGATGTTTATCCCCGTGCAAGTGCCAGCCAGGTTCATCCGCATTTGCACATCTTGCTGGGAAATGGAGAATATTATGGTAAGAAAGCTTTCATTCTTGTAGTGAAACTTTGTTCTCAGTGCGATGCCAGACAGACAGTTAACAAATGTATTCTAGTGTGAATCTGATACCTAGTTTACACCATACTCGCTCATACAGTTTTCTACACTTACTGGCCTTCTTTCAAATTTCCGAATTTCTCTATATTTCTGTAATTTTTAGATAATTATGTTGATGATTGGAGTTTTTGCGAATTTTTTGCAGCAAAATGGAATCACCTTCACATTTCTGCTTTGCGATACCCTCACCGTAATTACGGTGCAAATTATTGGCAAGTCATGGTAGAGGTACGTGCTTTGTGAATTATGCCTGCTGTATCCCTTGAATTCTATTCAAAATCATACATGGAAACGACTACGTGAAATGTTTTGCAAAAGAAAAAAATCAGAATTGAAATGAGCCTATAGAAAAGAACGTAGTCCTCATTGGTAATCTTTCGACCAATCATTGCCTTTTAATCAGTGCTGTCTTTAATCAAATAAATGCTGTCTTTATCAGTCTGGCACAATGTGTAGATGTTTAGAGCATCGGTTGTAATATTCCTTGTCACTGTTTAGATCACTTTAGTTAATTGCAAAACATAAAGGAAAATGTTCGTAAGGCAACGTAATGAGCTTGAAAGAGGATTTGCTTAGGATCGACTGAATTTGTTAAGAATGTACAACAGAAGCAGGTAGAACCTTTCATGGCAGTGTGCTTTGAGTTCTTCAAAACCTCTTGATATTGACATCTATCAGCTGACGTCACTGACGTAATGACTCTATTGCAATGTTTACATCTCAAATATCCGTTGTATTTTAGGCACACCATTCCATTGGCCTAGCTGTTCAATTTGGTGATGCTGTCGCCTTGGGATATATTGTGAGTTTTGCCATTCAGTAATAGTTGTTTGTGAAATGTTTTTGCGCGACAAGAATTATTTCATGATTCAACGATGCTCTTTTAAATGAAACACTCAATGGCGGTTCTTCTAAGAGAATGTCAGCCAAAGTGTTTTGCTTGGCTGGAAACTGTGAAGAAATGCTCGTAGAAACTGTGAAGAAATGCTCGTAGAAACTGTGAAGAAATGCTCGTAGAAAATATAAAGGAAATAATCAAATCTCCTGTCCTTTAAAAAGTCCTTTAAAAAGTCCAGATCTCTTGAACTTTGGAAAATCACTATTATTCTCTCAGTTGCTATTGAAAAAAATGTGATTAAATAGCAAATGGCAGTCAAGTGAATGTATTACCATTTTGACTGGAAATTGGTGAGTATTGGGCATGAAAATGGGCATGAAAATGAGATAACAAAAAAAATCCAAAAATTAATCGGAAATACAGTAATAAAGAAAGTACAGATCTTTCAACTGAAATTTATTTGTATAATCTAGTAACTACATCATTGCTTAAAAAATAGAAAAAGTCAACTCTCGTGTCTGAATTATATCCATTCGTTGGAAAATTTTGTATTTCCTTCTTCTTAATTCTTTCCCCCGCTTTTTATAGTCATTTGCCACATGAGCCATGTTTTGCTTTCCTTCTCCGCAGACGCCGCAAAAGGACTATTGCACTTTTGTCATTAGTCGAAAGCCTGGGTTGGACTTTTTTAAAATGGTTTATTTTGTATATAAAGGTTGGTAACAGTGTGTCATATGCGCTGAGATATTTTTAGAGCTGCTTAAAGGAAAATTCTGTAGCCAAGTAAAACCTCGGAAGGATGAACTAATCCTGATGGCTTTAGGTTAATCTTGACCTCTAGATGTTGTAAGAAGATACTCCATTTTGGAAAGTAAATATTGAACACATTGGAACTTAAGCATTTCTTTTTTGAATAGGTTGTTTTTAAAACGTGGGGAATCGATTATCCTAAATGTCCGTCTTCTACTGATACACAATACACGTTGCCATCAATCTTTAAATGCTTTGATTGAAATTGTTCAACAAATATTTTTTGCAGCGTTCATTGAAGATCTAAAGTTGTATGCATATAGTTCGGGTTTTGTTTTCCCAAAGATGGTAGGTTTCATTTGTGACACTAAACTGTAGCTACATTTACTAAAAAGTGAATCAAAAGTTAACAAAAAGACACTAAATTGTCCTTGTTACCGTTCTTTGAACACAGCTGATGGACTCCGTGGCTTTCGCAGTCTGTGAACATTTTCGATTTTTTTCAACAAAATCTTGTGATTTGTATTTAGGGATCTGATTTTAACTTTCCTCTGAAGAAATTGGAGAGTTCATCAAAAAGGATGAACCATGATAGGGTTTTTAAAAACTTTTGCTAAACATTTGTTCTTGTACCAAGGATTTTCTCCCAAACGAAAGCATTTTATCGGTTTCCTTGAATTTTAAAGTAATTGTTCTGTAATTTAATATATTTCAAAACTGCCAGCCTGGTCTTGAAATGATGATTTGGGAAAAACCTTGCTTTAGAAGCCCATATATGAAATTACCCCTCATTATATGGGCATCCTATAGCCAGTGTATCTTAGAATCGTGCAGTAAAAGCGTATGATAGGGAAGATCTTCTAAGAAACAAACCCATTCTATGGCATGCCCAATCCTAAACTGCGATGCCACTGGCTCAAGCAAATATTTTGTCAGTTTTGAGTGTTTCTGGTTTTGTTGAATGTTTGTTGTAATGTTGCTAATTTTTTTCCAATTTTAGAAAACTAAACCAGAAAATGAAGACAAAGAGCTTCCAGCATTATTTTCGATCGTTTATAGGGGATCCCTCGCGGGGTTTGTTTTCTATATGTTTTATACCCCTAATTTTTGGGTTTTCTTTTGATTTGGGAATTTTCAAAAGTATGTATTTTCTAATAAATTAACCAGAGTAAGCTTTTTGCCTGTCCAGTTTGATGTGCTAGCAAGATGTTACTATATCAAAAGGGTGTACCACGAGACGAGAGCCATACACTTGATTCTATCAAAAGAGCCATACACTTGATTCTATCAAGAGAGCCATACCCTTGTTTAAATCAAGAGAGCCATACACTTGATTCAATCAAGAGAGCCATACACTTGTTTCAATCAAGAGAGCCATACACTTGATTCTATCAAGAGAGCCATACACTTGATTCTATCAAGAGGGCCATACAGTTGATTCTATCAAGAGAGCCATACACTTGACTCTATCAAGAGAGCCATACACTTGATTCTATAAAGAGAGCCATACACTTGATTCTATTAAGAGAGCCATACACTTTATTCTATCAAGAGAGCCATACACTTGACTCTATCAAGAGAGCCATACACTTGACTCTATCAAGAGAGCCATACACTTGACTCTATCAAGAGAGCCATACACTTGATTCTATAAAGAGAGTCATACACTTGATTCAATCAAGAGAGCCATACACTTGATTCTATCAAGAGAGCCATACACTTGATTCTAACAAGAGAGCCATACACTTGACTCTATCAAGAGAGCCATACACTTGATTCTATCAAGAGGGCCATACAGTTGATTCAATCAAGAGAGCCATACACTTGATTCAATCAAGAGAGCCATACACTTAATTCTATCAAGACAGCCATACACTTGATTCTATCAAGAGAGCCATACACTTGACTCTATCAAGAGAGCCATACACTTGATTCAATCAAGAGAGCCATACACTTGATTCAATCAAGAGAGCCATACACTTGATTCTATCAAGAGAGCCATTCACTTTATTCAATCAAGAGAGCCATACACTTGATTCTATCAAGAGGGCCATACAGTTGATTCTATCAAGAGAGCCATACACTTGATTCAATCAAGAGAGCCATACACTTGATTCTATCAAGAGAGCCATACACTTGACTCTAACAAGAGAGCCATACACTTGATTCTATCAAGAGAGCCATACACTTGATTCTATCAAGAGGGCCATACAGTTGATTCTATCAAGAGAGCCATACACTTGATTCAATCAAGAGAGCCATACACTTGATTCAATCAAGAGAGCCATACACTTGATTCAATCAAGAGAGCCATACACTTGATTCAATCAAGAGAGCCATACACTTGATTCTATCAAGAGAGCCATACACTTGATTCAATCAAGAGGGCCATACAGTTGATTCTATCAAGAGAGCCATACACTTCATTGTCAATGCTGTCGATGATGAGCCTCATACCAAAGCTTTCGCTGTCCTGAAGCGATGAATATATCTAATGACATATTCATACTATCCTTGTTTAAAAACTATGACTATTCGAATAGCATTCAATTAAAATCAATGTTTACCTGTCAAAAGTGCTCGATTCCGTATAGGCAGAGCTGGACAGTTGCCTGATGATTGCATTGAGCGTGAAACTTGGAATAGCAACATATAACTGTCCTTACACCTACAAATAGCAAATACAATAAATTCCAAAATATCCTAATTACAACCAAACACAAGCCTCTTTCATAATTCATGATATCTGATTGGCACTACCTGTCGCTATTCATTACGTTGTAAACATTATTTTCTATGCCATATCTGGTTTCCTCTTCCGGTATAGATTTTGTGATTCATTTAGCTTGTGGACCAATCAGTATTCGTAAATTGCTATTCTCAATTAAACACACACAGAAACACGCAGTTCATTTATAGTTCACTGCTTAAAGGTTGAGAGTTCAATAAAGTTACAGGCTGAACAATGTGTTTCCCCAGCCGGATATTCAACACCTAAAAGATAATAGCAATTATCTTGTACGCTCCTCTCGATTCGTGTTTTTTCATTTCTTTTGAATTGTTTTCGTCAAGAGTTTTCCTGTGCTTGCTTAGAAACTCATTTTGATTCTTTCAGGTCAAGATCGGACATAAGTTCCTTTGACCTTTTTGGGGTTTGTCCATTTTTAATTTTTTTGCATAAAAAGGTTTTTTTAATATGCTCTAACTTTCGAATACAGTAAAACCCCGCAAACAAGAACCTACTTTTCTAAAGGACAGACTGACTATGTTATTATAAATGTGTTACTCATGATATGTTCAGGGTGTGGCTCTTATCGCAAGGACACTAACAACTATGATGCACAAGATAAAATTAACTAGATATAAGAATGGCCTGACTGAATTTCAAATTGTAGAGGATATGGTATCTTGTTGAGGAGAAACAAATTTCAATCCCAATATGAAAAAATGAAAATAAAATGACATGGATCTGAATATCAATTAATCAAACCACAATGACAACTTGAAAACTATACTTTCAGACTTTGAGAATTTCGTGTTTTATTTAACATGATGTACAATCTCATAAGAACATGGAAAGAAATCAGTCTGTTTTTGGTTCTTATCTTTGGGTGTTATTTCCACAAAATCAGTCTGTAAGTTCTTATTTTCCTATGTTATTGTTTGCGGGGCTTTACTGTATTGTGGAGATGTTTAATTTTTATTCGCCAATATCTTGGGTTAAAAATATGTTTGGTTTTTTTAACGATTTCACTGTACCCATTTGATCATAGTCCTAGGATCATAGTCGAAAATTTGCCGAGAACTTGTTATGTTGTACATTTTTAGCAGCTGTTTTTTAAATTAAATATTGCCTATAATTTTGAAGCTCGGCATCCATTTTTGCATGATAAAATAACACCGTTTTACACTTCACAGATTCTGAGTAATCACAAGATTCTGAAAATGCCAAGAGTCACCGTTTGCAGTTACATCTTTTGTCAATTTATCTTGGCTGGGTTTTTTACTTAGCAAGAATGAATCTCTAAAAACCAGATTTTTTGTCTTTTTCTCTTTTTAACCAACTTTTTGTCTATTTGGCTAATGCTGCTCTCTGCTTTGAATTTTTATGCTTAACCAAAGAAGATTATAATCTGTTTATTTTCGAAAATATCCTGCCTAAAAAATTAAGCTGCTCTTTCTTTTCAGACTGCAAATGTGAACTCCAGCCCCTACAAAGTTATCGCAGCGATCCGATCTTCAGTAGAGAAGCGAAAAGATGAAAAATATGAAATAGATGAATTAGGATTTCAATAGCGGAATATTGCCAAAGGTAATTGATATCTTATATTTGAAGACTTTCTAATCAATTTGATGTGAGGAGCGTTTGATCTTTTATAATATAACAGATTCGCTTGTTAAATACCGAGCTTCTTTGTGAGGTATTAGAAAAAGTTAAAGCGGAACACATCTTTGATGAAAATGGCCTATACATTGGTGTATGCGATTATCGAAAATTGCATTGCACAGACTCAATACCCTGAATAATACAAGACCTACCCTTTCAGCATTAGTGTCGATTGATACTGACCCGTTCTCGATACTTGTCAATTTAAAAGTCTCCTTAATGCAACACGGTACATTATTGGTCAGATTGTTTGTCTAAGTCACGCGGCTGTTAGGTTAAACCCGTTTCAACGCTCGAATCAAAGGTGTGTGATAATTATACCTGCAATTTGTAACTTGTTTGCAACCTCTGTTTGTAAATTGTTTGAAAAAAGAAAAAAAATGTAGTAAGATAGCAATTCATTATTTTTGTTAATATTATTTTGGGCATTAACGACTTGAATATAATGAATTTCGAACTGGAAGATCGAAGATTTGCTTTCGTGCCTCCTAGTGGCATGCTGGTGTTACTTGCCTCCTTAGATAACCATTTTCATTGCAATGATGAATTATAAATTGGAATGAGAACATAGAAATTGGATGGTAGGAGCGCAATCATTTTGAATGAATGGAAGGGCCTTTTTGTACTGTAAACAATGCGCGGATTTACAGCAATGAAACATGCCTGTTTAATTTGACTCAAATCGAATGTAAATTTTACTGATCCATCATAATTTTAGATAAACCAGGCACTTTTGCGGACCACATTCTATATCAGCCGAAAAACTTACGATTTTCTACTTAATGTAAATCTCCATCTTTTGGATAGCCCTTTTCAAGAAAGACCTTTTCAAGTTGTTCAAGCTCCTAAACGAGTTTAGACTGGGAATAAATTACCAGTGCCTTATGGGTGCGTTGATTTTCCTTTTTTCTGGGCAAAACGAATTCCATCGAGTGTATAACCCCGAAAAGGCAGGTTTACAATAAACACTGGTGATAAATCCAGTGTAAGACTTTTCAACCAAATTATCCAGAAATGGCAAGGAGCTGAATGCTCATATTTTGCGACATACTCTTCGATACGGGTACTTCAAGTTGTGTCACAAGTTCCGTCTTGTAAAAATGCAAAGGAGAAGGAAAGTGACAGAAAAATAAAAGTGATGTTAATCCTTTTTGCTTTTGATGAAAGCTGTCATTATATCTTAGAATTTACGAAAATGATCTTAGGACTTCTGCAAGACTCGATATATTGATGCTGTTAAAGTACCTCGTTTTTTCAGCTGTGAGTGAACTTTCAAGTAACTCGTATTTGTCAGAAATCTACACGTGAACTTTCAGGCTTTTCGTTTTGATATCATTAGTAACTATGCGTCTAGTACTAGAAAGTGCAACTTTTTTTCTGGGTGCAAAAGTAGTCTTTTACTATTATCACAGTTCTGCTACAAGTGATGAGTAGCTTGCCAACTCAACGCAAGTAGAGCTCCCATGAGTCACCTTCATTCACTGTCCTAGCCTGGCTCATTGAAGCAGCGTCTGCCTCTTTTCTTCCATCGCACGAGAAAATGCCTTCCTCCGGTGAATTGTACCGGTATGCCCATTATATCTTATGCTTAAATGGGTGAAGAAAATCTTCATTGATGGTTAAATCTGATCAGTCTTCAACAAGATCGGGTGCATCACCAGGTAAGTTAATAAATGCGTTACAAGTAAGCGAACTTTGGGCAGATGAAGTCCATTTACCAATGAATTTCTCTTCTAGGCAGTAGTAAGACGTTTGGAAATGCAGTGATTGGTTCCGTTTTGGTGACAGACACCGGAACTTTAGTTGATCGTACCTCAGTAATACATCAAAGTAAGCTTTCACCTTTTTGTTTTGATAATAATTTGTTTCCGCTGCGGCATCGAACCCAGTCAACCCAAATGCACATCCATAGCTTTTAATGGATGTGTTGAACTTTTCAAAGTCGTTGGTGGTTACTTTTATGCTAAGTAATTTGGTCCATCCACCTTGAAGATTTTTATAGCGATTAGTTTTCAAGAAAATATTGTATAACAATTTCATATTTTGGCAACCAATTTAAGCAATAGCATTCATGGTGTGTCATATTTTCCCTGTTGTAGTTGTAGCACCATATTGCGTTTAAGTACATTATACTCAAGGTCGTTAGATAGCATCATCTAATCAAATGGATTAATACATACCCTGGTTCGTTAAATCTGCCATGCCACAGCAGAACAAAACCTTGCCTGAAGTAGCAGAAGAATCTCTCAGTCTGTAGTAACCGCTTGGAGATAAAGGATTTCTTATTCGTACCCATAAACAGCTTGTCTGTACAGCTATAGAGGAGAAAGCTGCCAGATTTATAGTAATGATTGCCTTTACAATGGGCTGTCTCTGAAAGGAAATGAATTATTGTTTCTTAGCAATTATACGTTGCCCTCTTTTCTCGTGGATTTAAACTTGATTTTGGCAGTAATTGTTCAAAAATCCCTTTCAAATACCTCGTAAACAAGTTCTATATGATTTACACATTTATACCTAACACCATTAATGGTTGTAAAAACTTTGTATAGTACTTTTTAGTAGACCTCTTCTATGAGCAAAAACAAATATTTCAGGTAGTAACGACAACACTTCGAAGTATTAAACGTACATTTACAGTGTAAAATTGGCTATCTTGAAAACATGGAATGTGGAATGTTGGAATTTCGGAAAGCTGGAATGTTGGAATATGAATACAAGAAATTTAGCTTTTGCATGGTAGTACCTTCCTATACGATAAGCTACCAATGTACCCAAACTAATACAAATAATCTTGTAAGAATGTAGAAATAAAGGTTTTAGAAAATACATTCCAGCATTCCAACATTCCATATTTTTAAGATAGCCGTGTAAAATTGCTAGCTGTCGACTTTGAATATGTCATAGTACGTGATTTTAAGAACTGGTATCTTCTGGATGTCCCACGTTTTGTAGTATCGGGATACTGCCGAGTGATACCTTATTTTGATACCAAGACAGCTGATTCCTGTCACTAGAAATGCAAGATTTATTACCAGATTGTCAGATGCTCCTCGCTAAAAAACAATTAACATGATACTTGGAATTTTAAGTTCACCTTCCTAAGGTCTTGTCAAGTATCCAAAGATTTGTCTGCAGAATAAAGCTGTTGTGGATATCTATTTTAGAAATTCATTAGATAACTCGACTTGATTTCTTGTCATTTTCGCAAATTCTTCCTTTTACCGCGACTAAATGTTCTTTCATCTACTTGTAATACTGTGAGCAAAAATAATTTCAGCAGAAAGCGCAGATCCTTAGCTACCAGAGTGTGTCTCAGATTTTTCAAATTACTCCTCCCCTTGAAACTGTACCCTGTCAAAAATTGGCAAACAATTTTTCTTCCCTCTCATAGCTGTATTGGGCTATAAAAGACGGATCAGAGCAAATACAAAAATTTTCAGACACTCTTTGCTTACCCGACATCTGTCCTGGCCGTGTGCAAATTTTTGAGTCATTCGATTGTTTCCTTGGGTACAAAATAGCTTTTTCGTACCTATATGTAGATGAATTTTGAGTCTGGAGAAAACGGGATTTTACTGATCGCATTTGCAAGGTACACTCGTAAACCACAGTGTAATCCGGATCAAGTCACTTGTAGCTTTAAGATCAATAAGCCTTTTAAATAAACACAGATGGGATACATGGATGTGCCATGCGATGTTAAAAATGAGACATGCCAACACAACCGCAAAGCAACAACAATAATGGCTTAACAGGTCAAAAGATTTTCAGACCTTAACTAAAAGTTTTGATAAAGAAATTATGGAAACCTCGTTTACATGAGATTTTTTCCATTTTCAAAATTTCTGTTAGTTTCAAATTTGGTATCATTGTGCGTGAAAAAATCGAAAAGTGTATGATTTAATCCAGAAAACGTTTACCGTAACCTTAACTAAAAGAGGATCTCAAACTGAACTAGTATCGTAATAAGTGATAAAATAAGCTCGAAACTAACAGTGATAAATTGAGTTAACACAATCACCAGAATTCTATGCTAAGGAGGTTCTTAGGTGAAGAAATTGTTTGATCACTGAATTATCATTCTAATGATCTTAAAACAAAGATTCATCATGTTTCTGGCAATGAAATTTGGTAAAGTGTAATCAAAGTTGTGAAATGTTTCATATGCTGGTACAAAAACCTTTTTTAAAGTAAAGTATATATAAATGGTGCTTAAACTAGTACAAAAGTTTTTACCACAGTAAGGTAGTTTGATGAGAAAAATAGATGTAAGCTGTTGTAGAATGTTTTCTGAAGAGATCTGTTTGTAGTGCCAAGTATCCAGTTTATGGTTTGAAATCTACATATGTTTTTCTTTTATTGGATGCATATTGGCACAGTCTAGGAGGCATATTGCAAGGCACATACTGCCAAAAGAGTGCTATAAGAAAGCATAAGAGAGAAAAGCATATTATATGAATTAAACCATGAAAGTTTTGAAAGTTTTCCAGTCCGTAGCCTCAGGTGTAAGGGCTGAAAGCTATTAGCAAAACCTTTCTCCAGATCTCAAGAAATCAAGCTATTTTTTCAACAAAGCACTGGTCTGGCAGTCATCTTCCGATCTATTTCATGGTCTACTTGCCCACTCCTTCTTTATCATTAGCAAATAATTGTCATTTTCACAGATGGCTCTTATTCATTCTAAAAAAATGCTCCAAACAAACTTTGAGGTATTTTCTGCATGCATTCTAGCAAATTGGCTGCCCAATTTAGGTCACGAGTACACTGCATTTGAAGCTATTTGCTCAGTCCAGGAAGACATTTCTTCCTTAACTTTCTTCCCTTCTACCGCCATTTCAGTGACTCACATCAGTGCTCACATGGCAGGTAATTTTTTTTGGCGCTACTCGAATACCAACGCAGAGGTCCCGAAACAAAAGGCTGCACTCCACAGTGCGGAGTAACTACTGTCGTGTAAACAGGGGCCCTATCTGGTATTAAACCAATCCGATAAGGTGCAGCGAATCCGATATAAAATGAAAGCGTGTACATAATTTATAGGCTTGATAGGCTGCATTTTCACGATACTGTATCGTGTAAACGCAGCCTAAATGTAGAATGAATTGATAGAAGTTCAGCCACTTACCTTCTTCATTGCATCTAATTCCTTGGAAGTTGTAGGCACATTGGCACTCAAAATGAGGGAGAATGTCGAGATTTTTACAAGTAGAATTGCCTTTGCATGGATTAGTGTTACAGGGTTGCTGCAAAAGAAGGATTGTTTTGTCAAGCTTAACAGTTCTGGCTTGGCTGCAACTGCTGCGTACAGTATATATCTGAGCACAATGCAATTCTATGGAGAAAGATAAAATGAGCCATGTTCAGACGCTCTCAAAACCTTTTTTGATTAATGCTGGATGTTATCATTCAATAGAGTTTTGTAAGCGTTTAAGCATGGCTTTAGAACTTTAGGACTCAAAGACCGAAATTATGTTTACCTTGAGTTGACAAGTCGGCAGCTAAATTGCGCAAAGGAAAGATGTGAGCTCAGTTGTATTGCAAATGTAATATTTTGAGAATGAAATGGATATAGTTATGTAAACTATAGGTAAACTATAGAGTAGCTTTTTTAAATGAAAATTTTGTTTAATTAAGAGACCATATACTTTACCATCAAACTTGAAACAGCGGCTGTAGTACTATCGTCTTTCTCCATCGCCAACTCTTCAATGGCAAGTCCAGCTAGAGGCTTTCCATAAGCTTGACATTGGTTGTCCGCTATGTAGAATACACTGCCGATGCAGCCTTGAGTCTGTAGGCAGACACAATGACACTTCATGATGTTGTTTGCATGTTTTTGCCTGATCAGACGCGTTCGTGGATCGAGCACTTTCTTGTGTGAATAGTACACAGCGAGTACCTCTGATCCGGCACAAGACTGGCTTGAAAGTATTAAGCAGACAAGCACCGGCCAATTTTGCTAAGTTAATAGACAACCTCACTGCAGAAAGTGATAGGCCTAGAAATGAACATAAAGGAGTGAATGTCGTTCCGTTTTCTTCCTTTTTATCAGATGGTTGCATTTTAGATTAGTTGAAATAGAAAAGCATGGTTCATAGATAGTTTTTTTGTAGCTAAACGTAACTGATTTTTATCAGTTGCGTCTTCGTCAAGCCGAATGTTTTCTATTAAAAGTGAGTTTTCTGCTGGAGCCACGAGAGTCTATCATGCGCCGTAGAACATCTCCTGGCACCCCAGAAACATTTCCAATAAAGTTATTACTTTTTTGGCAGAACATCGGCAGAGCTGTCTCCTTACAATGCGTTTTTCGTAAAGGCTTTATTTGAAATCCTTTTGCTAATTAAGAGAGAAAACAGGGGATAATTTTTTAGAAACCTCTTAGTAAATAAAGCCTCTCTTCAATTTTACAGTCTCGTAAAGGTTTTTACAGACAAATACTGAAATATTGAAGAACTTCATGAAGAGCTTTTTTGCGCCTATTAAGAAGAGTTTTCAAATTGTATATATGTTGTAGAAAGGCAGGCGTTCGTGGAGGTTCATTGAGATGCTATGTGTATTCCACAATTTGAATTCTGACTACTTTTGGTATATCGAACGCACCACACCTAAATCCCCAGCAGATAACACAGCAAGAAACAACACAGGTTCTGAGGTGATGTGTTAAACGTGGTTCGCTAAAGAAAAATGTTAGCAATTAACATACATGAAGATTATAAGTTGAGAATACGACAAGAAGCTTAATATTTCAATATAATGAAAAAGAATAATTATAAAAGGTTAATTAATGTTAGCAGAAGATAGAACTACGTAGAAACCCAACTAGACTACAAAATGTTAAGTATGAGCTACTTATAAATAAAGTGAAAGATAACTACATAATAATACATACAACTTACAATCTATTAGTCCTTGTAGCCATAAAAATTTTGCACGACGGCCAAACACAGCATGTAGAAACTACCAGGCCAAAAACTGCATGTAAACGATAGAAAACTGCCCCCAACACAGCGCAATGCAAGGTTAGTCAATAACCACCCAAAACGTGGGGTGGAAATCCTTTATAGCTACCGGAAGTAAACGAGGAAAAGCAAGAACACGCAAAAATGGAAATACCAAATATGGGCTAATGAAACGTATACTAAGAGGCGTAAAGAAAACAATGCAATGTAAAAACGAGGCTAGATGAAAATAGCTTAACTACAACGACCAAGGGCTATTCGCACTAACACTATGTATCAAATTTAGTATGGACATCTTTAACACATCAATTGATCGTCTAAAGCATAGCTCAGGTATCAGGTACTTTGATCAAAATGAACATAAAAGGATCACACAAACTTATCTACTTTGACGATTTTCTTTTGTCGCATTCGACTTTTTTCCGGAAAGCCCAATAGAGGTTTTCAGTTGCTTAAAAAGATGAGCTTGGTTGAAACTCGCGATGTAGTCACGCCCATTTCTTCGGCTGTATTTATTTCTCGCAAACACAACGAAACGAATCCTCAAGAAAAACATTTTCGGATACTGTAAAGGACCTGTTTGCTGAAAGCAACAGGAAAGGAAGGGTACTTCAAGACAGACCCAAAATTTGCAGGGTTTAAAGTAAATTTTTTTGCAAGGCTATTGTCAGTGACTTTGATGATTATGTGTTTGATTGCTGATTTTCTCTATTGATTATATGATTAGCAACGATTAATGCTGTGATTAATAGTTTAACTCTTGGAGGTTACATTATTGAAGACAATTGCTGGAAAATGATTGATTGGAATGTTCCAAAATATGACTTTGGATCTCAAGCTTTGGATCTTATTTGAATAAACACTGAGCTTATCAGTTCAGTCTGGCTTGTTGGAGAGCTGACTGGTCTTTTTGTCGAAAAAATGGCTGACAATGAAGAGCCCCAAGAGATTCAAAACCACATGGAGCCACTGAGGGAAACTGAAGACATGGGAATGCTTTTGTACAAGAGGGGGAAAGAGCAAGAAAAGCAATTAGCTGAAACGGTGAGAAGAGAGAAGGAAACGAGGAAGCAATTGGGGAAAGCGAGAGAGAGATACCAAGCGGCAATGGCGAAGGTCAGTCACATATTGCCCAAGAAATCTGCACTGACGGAGCAAATATTTCACAGAGAGGAAAAACTGAAGCAGATGAATGATAAAATACTGAAAATTGATAGATTTATCGATAACTGCAAATTGTTTTTAGCAAAGGGAAATGTTTATGAGAATAAAGTGAGAGAAACACAAGACAAAATAAATGAGGTAAGACAAAATCTATCCTGAATATTTGTTTCTGTTTTTCATTTCCTTTTTCATTTCATGGTAGCAAGAGAAGACGTCTTTTCATGTGGTTTTTCTGGTTTCAGCAGCCTGCCTCTTCAATCAAAAAGAAACTTTCTATCTATCTTAATCTTAAATTGAAATTATTTTGACTTGTTTCCCTTATTTCAAACCAATCGTGGAAAGCAGTGGTATAGCATTTCTTCGGTAATCATCTTAATGCCTGTTCAGTTTTCTAAGCTTTGGCCTAAAAACTCTCGGTTGCTATTTGCCTGGCCTTTTCATTCGCAGACTTGCTTTAGCTCCAGTAATTAGCAACAGGATAAAGCTGTATTGGTACACGCATTTAGGAGCTGTCAAATATCAACGCTGTTCGTGGTGATTTCTGAGTAATTAAAGACCTGGTCCGGAAACCTTGTGCCGTCGGGAAGGATTTACATCTGCCAATTGATAACTGGGATAATTGTTACTTTTCAGGTTATTGTGAAGGAGCGCGATAACGAGCAAAAGCTTGTCGTTGTTTATCGCCGGAAAGATAACCTGGAGCGGCTGATTTCGCGTCTGCGCGAGAAACACAACGACGCAAAGGCAAGGTACACAAGCAAATTAGCGCAGCATCGTGAGGCAATTGCGTTTCAGCAAGAAGTGCGCAACAATATAAAGGCAAGTATCGACAGAGCGAAACAGGCCTACGAGAAGTCAATCGAAATTGCACCGAAAATATTGGAACTGCAAAAGAAAGTTCGGCTCTTTGGGGCATCTGTACACGGTCTAGAATTTAAAATCAACATTAAGGAAGATGAATTGAAGAAGATTAGAAAAGAGACGGAGCTGAAGAAACAAGAGCACGAGCGATTGAAGTTGGAGCAGATGGCACGTTTGGACCGAAAGATGCGTAAACTGAAATTCAAGTAAATTGCTGGATTTGGTCAACTAGCAATTTTTGGTTACGCCTAAAAGTTGGTTATTTATAATGGCAAATAATTCATTCAAACAGAACAATAAAAAAGCTAGAGCTCGTTAAAACTTTGATAACATTGATGTTTCGAGTGAATTTACTTTTGTAGACTATAAAAAGGCATAAAAAATTGCACCCCAACACTTATATTGCCAAATATTCATATTGTGATGTCACTGGCCAATTTGTGATGAATATTTAGATAGGGGTGACAATTCGAAGTTAATTTTGCTGGATTTTTTGGCTCCGTAAATCCCCATACATTTTTTGGCTCCGTAATTTTTTGGCCCTACCTTAAGTAAGTTAACATATGCTCAATTTTGAAGCAATTTCTTTATCTTTATTTATTTGAAATACATAAGAGGTTTTTCCCAAAAGACTGCCTACGTTGTCAAATATTCCCGGATCTTGAGAGAGCCAACCTAATTTGATGCAATGCATTGAAGAAGAAAAAAGAAAATCTACATGCAAATGAAAAATAAAAAAAAAGTCAAAGTAAGTTTTTTTTCTCCAGATTAGAAATACTTTGCCGAAAGCAAATACCATGATAAAACTACTGTAAGTCTTAACGTGTCAAACTGTAGTGAAATCAGTTGAGCGGGTTCAGATGGTGGGCCATTTTTTTTAAAAAACACAATTGGCCTGTTTTGCTAAGTTAATTCATAACTTTTATTCTACAGATTTAGCGTGCGAAGTCACGACGAAGTTAAAAAGCACTGTATGTTGATGATCTAATGCCTACTTAGATGTATTCTAAAAACATTCTTTCATTGTATATTTCAATCCACAGTTAATGTCATCTTGACCTGCAAAATATATTATTAAGTCAATTATCTGCGATACTCAACAGTTTTCAGAGAATGAGTCTTTCCCAAAGGACTTTTCATTGCACATAATTTTATGCTGTGCAAAATTAACTGCTTCTTATCTATTTTATTACAGAGTTGAACCCGCAGTATGCTTGATAAGAATTCCCATCTTTGGAAAGCATCCGTGTTGTAAATGTTTCCAAAAGCCTCGACTTCATATCTTTTCACATCTTCTTTATTACTCTTTCCCTTTTTCTTTCTTGCTATCTCAGACTGTTACATCTGATGAAATTGGTAATATAGTCAATAAAATCCAGAGCTAATGGTTTGGACTACGCATATGGCAGAAGTCCGTTTATGACATCCCTTATAAGTTGATAAGCGATTCTAGATTTTGCATGTAGATTTTAATTTTAAATTTCTTACCAAATCATTTGTGGTGTGTGGTGTATAATCATGCTGCCATTACATTTCTTCTCCGTGAAGAAAGTAGGCCTTTTCACCAATGACAGCTTAAAGGAATTATGTCCCGGTGCATTTAGCTAGCCTTCTATATTTCCCATTGGTTAGACTACACAATCGACCTAGTGCTTCATATCCAATCTGCAACGTAAGGTTAAATCTCAATGTTTTCTCGATGATAAACGCGCTGCAAAGCCTATTTTTAATTCTGAACAGACTGACGGTCACATAGTCCCTTCACAACCTATGGCTCAAAATACGACACCTTCATGTATTCCTCCCCATTCGCTGACATATCCCTAGTCTGTTTGGTGTACACGTGGGAAGAGTATGAATAGGGATGAAGTGGTATAGGACACTAGAGAGATGTTGTCATAATAACCATATGTTACCCAATGGATAGAAGTTAGTTGCTTTGCGGCAACCTGAAAGTTACTGTTTACCGCTCTATCATAAATTTTCCTCTTAATTTTCCCGTCATCCCGTAACTATTCAAAATTCAATGTTTCACTAAAGAACTCCAGAGCTATTTCATTTGCTGGTTACTCGTCTGCAGATCTCAGTAGCAGACAACAGCAACAAGATACCACGTAGCAATAGGCCATTATGCTTCTAGGAAGAAAAAGATAAAGAAGAAAAAGAATTTTTCATCAAGTACATAACAACCTAGTAGAATAATTTTTGCAATGAAATATTAAGATACGCAACTTGCACAATGCATCAGTAACCAAAAGTTCCCTTTTTAGTCGACATGCATATATGGGCTTAGATTTTTTAGCGATCGCATATCATTGACTTTTCCTATCCGACTGTTCTGCACTACGAATTCTTGCATAATAATTTTACAGATCAGGTGACCTCCGTCAATTGCAGGTCGAATAATCTTTTCTGATCTTCATGATCGGAAAGAAGAGCTTGGTGCTTATCAGCTGATCTTCAAAAGCAATAAATCTTGACCTGTCGGATCTTAAGGTGCATCGGCCTGTCGGATCTTAAGGTGCATCGACCTTTAATTTAATTTGCATCATACGTACGTTTGGTGTTGGTTGTCTTGTGTTCTTGTTGTGTTTATTGCGTCATCAAATTTCAGATGAAACTTCATGATTTCTTGTTCTGGTCCTTTGCTAATTTGTATTAAGCCATTGCTAATTCTTCAACATTGGGCCAACCTCATGAACTTGATTTGTCAGTGTATGAATGAAATTATGATATTAGTAATGAATTAATAAAATGGACCAAAACTGATACTTAATATAGTTCTCCTCAGTCATTTATTGAAAAGATCAATCTCTGTTTCCGCATAGATAGCATGCTTTCATAAGCACCATTCAGTACAACTAAATGAATTTTCAAAAGAATAAATGAACACCTAAATATTTTGAATGAATTTTCATATTTGTTTGATTTCTCTTCTCAAAATCATGCCCAGACAAGAAGATTTTTCAACAAGACAAAAGCTTGGACGCCATACAAAGGTAGGCAAGACTCGCGCTAATGATGTCAGTGGCAAATGTTTAGACTTATTATTGTCAAACGTTTGTCTCTAAAGAATCGACGAAATTCACTTCTTACTACTAAATATGCTTTAATCTAAATATGCTACTAAAGATTTTTCGGATGATTCCTTTGAAACTAAGCTTACGCGAAGCTATCTTTGCGAATTCATTGTAGGATTATTGCGCTAAGTCAGTACAAAGGTTCATACAAGATTCAATAGGTAATTTACATAGATTCTGATGCATTCGACTTGCTAATAACAGTTTCTTTACAAAATATTTATTGTTAGGCTGTGGCAGTTGTTTTCTTGTTAGCGGAAAGCGCTGCACCTGCCCACCTCAGTTACAGGAGCACTTGTAAATACAATTCTAGACAAAGGCCTGAACTTTGCAAAACTTTCGTTTTGTTTCCTGTATCACTGCCTCGGGCGTTGTCAACAAGTTGATGCCGTTCTGCAATCGGGTTGTTTACTGTCCTTATTATGGAGATATCTGCTGAAGGGCCAGGTGGATTGGACATCCAGACCGACACAGGTGAAGGTCAACCAGAGCTTGCAGAGCAGAGAAATTGTGAAGTTGTTGATGATGTTCCGTCTGCATCTGTTGAGGATGGTTTACAGATGCCTGATACCGGCACAGAAAGGTTAATAAAGTATGAAGATAAAATAGCACAAGACGAGTGCAGCAGCAGCGATTTGCGGCAGACTTTAAAAATATCCAATGACACAGAAGGCCACAAGGATGAATTCAAGGAAGCTGTAAATTCAAATAGAGGTGAGACAGCAGCTGTAAACGAGGCTTTGGATGAAATATCAGAAAAGAGTGAAGATATTTATTATTTGGAAAGTTCGACAGTTAAAGGCAACAATATTGAAAATAATGAAATGAACGATAAGACAGAAAGTTTAGATGAGAAGACAATGCCTGGAGAGATAATGGATACGTTAATTGAAGAGATATCAGACACAAAACACCATGGCAAATATTGTGCTGAAGAAACAAATCAAAAAGCAGAAGGATTTGAAGAAGATGAAGAATATTATGGAATGGCTGCTGTAAGTCGTGACAATAATATAGAAAGTTTAAATGAAGACAGTTATGAGCATAAAACAGCTGAAGGGATGCTGATGGAGATGGATGACTGTCAATCTCTAAAAAGTAAAGAGGCGAGTTTGCTGATTGATAATGAACATGGACTTTCTAGTGAAGCAACTCAGCTTGATCAACAGCACGAAGCATTTGAAGAGGAGGAGAGTGATTACTTTAGTGTTGCATCAGCAAAATATGGCAGTTCTGAATCTCTAGGAGATGGCCGATTGGCGGCATCGAACATTCCAGCATCTATTGAGGGAAGCTCCAGCAATTACGGTGGATGGACTCCATTCCAAAGCGAGGCTGCTATGAGCGAAATCGAGGATAGCCTGGAGAGAAGAGAACTTCCAAGTGAAACAGACCACACGGAAGATGACTACGTAACGGCTGACGAACGGTCGGAAATAGACTGTGATGGCGACAATGTACCTGTGTATGATGATGATGTTTTTCGAGAAATAAGAAATCGTGACGGAGAAATTGCCGATAAATTTTCAAACCTTGACGTGGATGAGAAGTCTGAGGCAGCCACTTTGTCTGACCAACTAGGCTACGAAACACAGGATTATCTCACTGCAGATGATAACTCTGAATTTGGGGGAAGTCGGGAAAATCTCTCAAAGATTGACAAAGATGGCATCTTGTGCATTGAGAGCGGCGATACAATAAGAAATTCACCGAAAAGTGTCTCTGAAGCATGCTTAGCCCCGGCGGGGATTCCCTCCTCAGAGCGAAACACTGATGTTGAAGATTACATCACTGCGGATGAGATGGCCGAAGACGATGATGATAGAAAAACAGTCGTTGGTTCTGATAAGGAAGATGATTTAGCGAGTAAAGACAAGTTAGAAGAAAGTAATGGAAATGCGCCGCGTGAGTCATCACCAATAGCAACAGAAGAAACAAATGAGGAGGCTAGCTATGTTGAAGCAAGGTTTAGCATTGTTGATGAGAACAGCATTATTGATGAGAACAGCATTGTTGATGAGAACAGCATTGCTGATGATAACAAAAAGGAAGAAGAAGTTAGGAAGAATTCTCATGATGTAATCAGCTCCAAAGATGATATGATCCCCAATGAGGAAAACCGTTGTGACAAGGTTGGTAACGTACGTTTGATGAAATTTTCTCACACGTATCAACAAGAAATGTTGTGTAAACACTGTAAATAGAGACTCTTCTGCCTTGCATATACAAAAATATCCCCTCTTCTCTCAAAACTTTAGTGTGACGGCCGGGAGTCTCCAGGGGTTTTGGTATTGATCCCCTTCCGGAAAATTAATGCTGGTGCCGGTACAGCTTGGTTTTTGCAAACATTCCCCTAGGAATAGATCTCATATATAAAATGGTCTGAAGATGCTGGTTGGACGACTGGGATCAAGGTTAAGGCAAACGCCCGCCCCTGTTACAAGAACTATATTCCTTAAATTAGACTTCTGCATACAGAATTGATGTTAAAACAGTGTTTGCAGGTATTTTTTCTAGAGGTTAAACCAAAGATGAAAGAATGTGTAAAATCAATTCTCTACAAAACCAGGCATTTGCTTCTTTCTATTTCCGCAACTCAACTGCATTCTTGAGTTCTTGTTAGCGGTTTTGCGTACGTGGTTTCAAATTTGCATTCGTACAGCTGCTAGGTGTAAATAGCCCGGCACTTAACCTATGAAAGACAGAGCTCGGGTGGACGCATGCATGCTTAAAATTATCCTTGAAATCACGTTTGCTAGAAGTTTTGAAAAGTATCCTCTTTTCTTGCCAATATGTCTCTTAAAACCAAAGGGCGGAGTTGTTGGTGGCAGGGGGCTACAGCCCCAATGGAGAATTAGATTTGTCGGAAAATTTCTGAGCATTCGTATGAACTTTTAGAAAAATATTCCTTTGAACCCTCAAACAAAAATTCAACTGCCACTGCACCCCTCTTCCTACCAAATTTCACCAAATTTGAAATTCTTTGAGTCCCTGCTTTAACCGTCTGGTATTGAAATCTTATAGAGCCCTTATGACTGCTATATTTCTTCATCATTTGATAAATATCACAGCTGATAGCTCAGTCGAATATTGTCCTTGGCTTTGGCAAATCAATTTAGGAGACTAAAGTAGCAGCTTTTCTTCTTAAAAACCTGAGCTGTGGTAAAAAGTACAAGACACCGGTGAATATTTTAAAAAGTGCTTTGAAGCATCGATACTTAAAGGCAGGTTTCAATTTCTGAGTAGGGGACAAAAATGCAAGGAATATTTTGCTAGAGAATTATTTAAAGGCAAGGAATTATTCTGCTAGAGAAATTTGCGAGTTGTTCTTTCAAAAATGTTTGGGGGGTCAGATCTTTTGAATTGTAGGGTAGCCGAGAGTAGTCTCTGTTTGAGAGCGTCCGATCAAGGAAGTGGGAAGTATAATTGAAAAAAAAATCAAAACGATAAGCAGAGATATTATATCGACTGAGCCTGGTCTAAAAGGAAGCAGAATCACACAGTTAACAAAAATAATAAAGCTAGCTGGAATGTAAGTACGTAAAAAAACATTGTTTTATTTTGAAAGCTTAAAGGTGAGTCTAATTTCAATCGCTCTGAGGAACGATTTACAAAGTAAAGCAAGCTCTAGAGTACTGGTTAAGCTTTAAGTTTTTGTGAAAATGGCTGGAGATCTTTGGTGGCAGGTCTCAGGCCATTTAGGCAAATTGAGCTGGTTATTGAAGCCTGAGATTGTCGTGAAAATTGTCAAATTTTTACAATGAGCCATTCAAACCATTGTTGAAGACATTTTAGAAAAGAACCTCTGTTTAGGGGGCTAACCATTCTCCTATTTTAGATTCTATTTTTCTGTGCTTTCTCTCTGAGTTGATGGAAAGTAAAAATATTTTTGAAAAAAACGTCACTTGAAAAACTCTCTCTGTCTGATATATGAATAATAATTCTTTAGGTGTATTTGTTGGTTTCTAGCAATTGGTTTGTAATGGAGCCATGCCATTATGTAAATTCTAAAGGCGCCTGAAATTGTGTGAATATTATTATTTTTAAACGATGGATACCCCTAGTTTAGTTACTGTTTATAGAAATAAATTTGCTACATTTTTATTTCTAAATGCACTAAATAACTGCAAATTTTTATGGTGTCTAGTAGCAGTTACGCACCAAAAGATTTTAAGTTTTTGAAAGGTTCTCTGTAAGGGGCAAGTGCTTTGTAGCAGAGAATTGATGAATTCAAGTTGACGTCATCAATTTTGTATCTCGCTATATACGGATCTTTATCAAAAATGGACTTCAGAATTGAAATCTTCATCTTTAAATTAGTTTATACTGAAAAATTCATGTTGTTTGGACCGTTCGGTCGCATGTTACTTTGTTTCGAATATTTAGATATTTCTTTAGAGTTGACCAGAACTTGCTGCTGCAGTGAAAAAATTTCACTACAGCAACAAATTCTATTGAAATGTATAGTAAAGGCTAAACTTTGAAAATGGGGTAATTCGCAGCCTGACGGCCCAAACAATTTGAAATAGTTGGCACAGACTAATTTCAACATGAAGGTTCCAATTCTGTTATCCATTTTTGCCAAATGTGAAGATACAAATAGCTCGAATCCGAGAATAGAAGAACGCAACAAATGGCCCCTTCATAAATGCTTTCTTCGAATCATCTCCCATCCTGAAACTAACAATTGTTTATTATCTCCCCCTCGAATGAGCTCCCAACCTACTATACTAGTTTTTATATCGATAAACTCCACTGGAGGCTCAATCGGGTTTTCCGCAGGAAATTTCACATAATATTAATCAAACAGACACGCCTATTCAAAGAACAATTTTTCTCGATGTTTTTCTCATTTCAAAATCGAATTTTCACAATAAAAAGCCCCCTAGGCCAAATTGTTAATTTAATAATTGGCGAAAACAGCACAAGTGCCCCCCTTATTTTTTTTAAACTCAACTCGAGTCTTACTATCAAATTAGTTAAATAAACAATTGAAAAAAACACCTAATTGGGGCTCAGATTGGCGGTCATTGGAAACTGAGGATTGCACTGGGATCGTTTTAAAAAATTTCTTTTAAAAACGTTTGATGTCATTAACACAATGAATTTTAATTTACCTGGAAAGACAAAGGGCTTCTGACATTTAAAGTGAAATAAATGTTTCAGGAGAATAGGCAATATCTATAAAAACCTTAAAAGGTTAAAAGTCATGCACTGAATAGGTTAAAAGATTGAAAATATTGGTCAAAAAAGTCAACCCAGGAATGATGAAAAAGATCTGTCTTTTGCCAAAAATGTTTCATCCGGAAGCTCGTAAATGCCATTTTAGCCTTCTTTGTTGAATTTTTTAAAGCTATTATAATAAGCTTTTATTGTCATAAATTTATTTCAGATCACTGACAATGAAAATGACAAAGAAGTGAGAGCAGATGAGGTGCAATCAAAACCAGTGTTAAAAAGGAAAAAAAGCTTATTTACGTCAATAATGGCGAAGAAAGAAGCAAAAATTGCAGAAAGAATTATGGTTCAAAATTTAAAGTATGAAGCTGCAAAAGAAAAGACTGCCGATGCCAATGCAAGGTTGGCAGCAGCCAAGTCTTCGTTTCCTTTGATGATTGTTGAAAGACGCATTCCGAAACTAGAGATACTTGAGAGAAAGAATTTGAAACTGCAGGAAATCAAAGCAAGGCTGGATTCATATAACATCTATAATAGGAAAGCAAATGAATATATAGAGGAATGGAGAACCAAAGAAGGTTTGTTCAATGCTTGCTTCTTTGACAATTACATAATTAAGCCCCGTCTCAAGCTGACTGGCATAATAGTTATAGCCCCCGTCAGATGACGCATTCTAACCTGGGTTTGATAAGAGCTGAGCCCAACCCTGGTTGATCAGCGCATGCGTTTGCACATTTATTTGCGTTGAGAATTAAAAATTGGTGTATTATATACAAAACATTTCGTCTTTTCAAATAGTTTCTTTGGTCTTTGCATTTACTTCTGATTCACATCGAGCTCGATTTACCAAACACTCAGTTTAGGTTTAGGCTGGATTTTCTTAACTCAAGTTGAACCGAACTTGAACCGAACTTGAACCGAACTTGAACCGAACTTGAACCGAACTTGAACCGAACTTGAACCGAACTTGAACCGCATATGAACCGAACTAGAACCAATCTTTACGGGTTAGGTTAAGCCTGGTTTTAGCCCAGGTTACAAAATGTAGTGTAAGGAGAGCCTGAGAATATACCACTTGTCAATTTGTTTACAAAGAATATCAAAGTATTTTAAGTAAGCTTGGAAGGCAAGACTTTCTGAAGATGATGAATGATGTATTCTTTCTTACAAGTTTAGGGCTCTTTGAGAACAAAAAATTTTCGAGAAGGATATTTTGAGTTAAAAAATTTCTTTGACAGTACTTTGCGGACAATAGCAGAAAAGATATGCTGTATGTCCGATAATCTGAAAGGAAGACTACTTTTAAGTAAATAAGTATGACTCAGTCCAATTGCTTGGTGAAATCTCGCACATTTGTTTATTTGTCACTATGATATAACTGGTATTAGAGAAAGCTTGGAAAATGGTAGCCCTTTTCTCCAGCCTTTGAATATTCATGGGAAGAAGTTGCTACTAATGCATCTTATACAAGTGGACTTCCAAAAAAGGCTTTTACCATTTCTTCTTTGCCTACTCGGAAAGGTACAAGAAGGACGGTGGCCCCCTTGACCCTCTTCATCCAGCATCACTTTTAGTAGCTAAATCAACAACTGTTTGGATCCTCATATTCCTTTGCTATTTCTCAAGCATTGGGTATGGCACCGCGTTTAAATGCTTGCGTTGTCTGTGATGCATTTGATAAAAAGCTTTGATAAAAAACCACTACTCGCAAATCTAACTTTTAAGACTAATAAAAACTTATATACTTCATTTATCTTAATGAATTCCTATGTTAACATAATCAAATCACCGTCTCTTTGCAACAGGTGAAATCCAGCAGAAAAGGCTCGAAGTTGAACAGTTTCGTCGAAAGACAGTAGAGAAACAGAAGCTGCTAATGGCCTGCAAGAAGCGACAAGGGTATTTGCATAGTGAAATAACCCATCAGAATGACCGACAGCTGCATTTATTGCGGCGAACTAAGCAGCTAGAAGACAGAATCGACATGCTGAAGTTACGACAAACAGAGCAACGAAACATCGTCAATCGGCGAATCGAGGCAGCGAAGGTTAGTTGCGAGCTGAGTGTTCGCGAAGCTGCGAAGGTCGTTGTAGCAGCAAAGAGGATCGAAATGCTAAAAGCAGGCGTAAAAGGATTAGAAGACAAAATTTTCGATAAAAGAAAAGAAATAAAAAAACTGAAGCAAAGCACAAAGGAAAAAGAATTTGATTTAGAAAGAGCGAAAATACAGAGGTCAGTGAAAACAATGAAGAAAGAGCGAGATTGGCATTTCAAATAATGTTTTAAAAGGGTCATTTAAATCCTGAAGAATGGTGAAGAATGATTTAACTATCTTCAAAACTATATGTTTAATTTCTCTTCCTTAAAATCTTCTAAAGAGCTGTCCTTAGATTTTGTTTACCAACCGAAGAATTTATGTTTTTCTGTGAGTGATACAAAAGCATCTAAGTTGCCCTTGTAGTTGACAATATTCCCAAGTAGCTTCAAAATTTTAAGAAATTTTTGCGATAGTGATATTTTACTGAAAATTATATCAAAACGCTTAACACGTACGTAAAATGTTTGCTGTATACATAATTAAGGTGATGAAATCATTGATAAACAAAAAAGTATTGCAAGAGTGATAACTAAATTATGCGTGAAGCTATGAAATGGTATCTGATAATTGTGGAGCTATTTCATACAATTTTGAAAGTCTTTTCTTGAAATGCGTTAAATTATCGTAACTACAATCAAATTATAAGCCCTATGACCCTTAGATACTTTTGTAAGTTGCATTTAGTGTTAGTAGTGAAATATGACTAAGATTGATTGGTACATGATAATAATACTTAATCAAGCTTCTCAAGGATAATTTGAAAACGTTGTTTCATTGTACAGATCCTTACATATCGTCTCACCAGCATCATTGTGTAAGCAAAGAACCTCCTTTTAATCATATTACACACCATAATTATTAAATATCAGTGCAAAAATTACAAATAAAAGCAAAATCAAGTTTGTGTGCGTTATTTAATTATCAAAATCGACATCGTGATATTATCAGATATTAGCTGTATATCAGAAATATTTCACGAGATTTATATAAGTGATTTCTATTTCCAAATTGTTTAAAAGGCTGAAAGCAAACGTTTGTGACTGCAAATCGTTTCAGTTCATCAATCAGGTGATTGTCAACTGAAACCTTTTGAAGTCTTTATCAGCATTTGGTGACGGTCTGTTTAATAATGTTTCATTTGCTAATGTGGTGCACAAAATGCAAATGGCAGCTATGATTGCAAGTCAAAAGTTGTAGAATAAAGTTATTTTCTTCATTTTACTTTTTTGTTGTATTCCATGTATAGTGGCTAGATTGTCCATACTTTATAAACCCACAGATTCATATTTGGTAGAATTGTTTGGCTCGTTTATCTTCATTGCTGAAAATTTTTAACATATAAACACAGCTTAATTTCTAAAACCATAAAACTTGAATTGGATAACTTCTACTAAAAGAAATCGATCTTTTACATGAAACTTTTGCTAATTACAGCAACCAAAATTTCATCATGGAATATCATATTACTTCTAGGTATTTTCTGCCGGCTAGGCAGATATTGGCAAAGAATTTGAAATGTATCCTTTAAAAAAAGGTCTAGTCGTTTTAGATTATTTTGCATATGAAGAAGTAATGTCGATCTTCTGCTCACCCTCTTGTTTTCTTGTCTAAAAACGCGGATAAGAATTTTGAATCAAAAGATGGCTCTCTAAATTTCAAGTCAAGATAACACAACTTACAACTGATTAGCAACAGCGTCCTTGACAAGCCTGCAAGTCGCTTCAAATTTATCCAACCCAAGCCCTCGTTGCTTGATAACTGCTTGTTCATTAAAGGAAAAAGAAACATGTAAGAAAATATGAGACATTAAAGGTAAAAATGGTTATATTTGATGTCTGAAAAACGTTTGAATGGAGTATCACAAACCTAAAAAACATTTAATCGAAAATTAAATTAAAAATCGGAAAAAAACCCCAATAAAGACCTCACAAATGTAAAACCCACACCTTCCATTTACAAACGTGAGTGGCAAGAAAATTTAGACACTAAAAACTTTAGAAATTGTTTATTCTATGGAATTAAACATACAGTAAATCCCCGCATATAAGAACCTACTTTTTCGAGGTTCAGGCTGAAGTGGGTTCTTATTGGAAAGGTACTTGGATGAATTTCAGGGTATGAAGGTTCTTATTCGAAGGATCCCTTATTTAAAATTTTAGGATTCATTATCAAGAGATGCATTCAACACTGTTTTTTTCATTTTGGCAATGTTATTTATGCAACATTACAAAGATATTTACAGGAAGACATTTGAGCGCACTGGCTGCCTATTTTTGTAGGTTCTTATGTGCGAGGATTTACTGTATGTTTCATGCATAGATATGGTTCCAGGCTATCATATACGACACGAAATGAGTTGACAATAGGATTTGAATGGTCCACAGAATAGTCGAACTTCTTTAATTACAACACTGTGAAAGGTGGTGTCTTCGCATTATTTGGATCATCTGTTTTAGGCTGTCAGTGTTCCAGTAACAAAGACGACCTCAAATTAAAGCCAATTGTGTCTGAGGATTGGGACGCATAATAGGTAGTCTTTGCCTGCCACACCTTGCCAAAGACTCATTCCATTTAAAAATAATGTTATCATGCTAATTAAATTTCCACTGCCAAGGATTGGTTGGTGGACGGGAATACAAAGGACTTTATGGCTCTGGTAAAAACTCATTATCATTAAGTCCACTTTTTCGGTTCCCGGAAAAAATTGTTTTCAAACAACATTCCCGCCATCAGCAACAAGAGCCCAGAACGAGGCATTCTAAAGATTTCTCAAATAGGCCCAAGTGAATCGGCCTGCCACATCCAAGCTGCTTGCTACAAGGTTGATCCAGGTTTTAAAAATCTGTCAGAGTATGCCTGCACCAAGATCGTACAACGATGAGCTATCGTACATCGAAAGAATATCACCGAATGCATTTCGCATAAAAAAGGGCTTTGTCCCGAATATGAAGGTAAACAACACAACGGTTTGTTTTGATGTTTGAACAAAACACTAACTCGTCTTTTGCTCTAATTCCATTTCAGCCGCCATTTATCTGAAGCCTGACTACTATATTGTGTTGTTGAATTCAAATATTGGTTTACTGTTGCTCTGAAGAGCGTTGGGAAAGAATCCTTATCAAGATATATGTATGGTCTTTTACCGGCCTGTCAACCTAAAATTTTCAAGACCTGGAGATTTTAGATTTTTTCCTAGAAAAGCAGGGAGATTTGGCCAAAAACAGGGAGATCCCGGGAATTTGTTGAATCGAGATGAAATAATAGAGCTATTACTAGGTTAAATTTATAAACAACATACCTGTTAAAGGTCTTGCTGGGCAAACAGTCCATGACAAAAGGTATATTAGGAAACTTCTTCATGGTTCTTTAGAGTTTTTCAATAATTCGCAAAACACTAACAAAAATATTGTCAAGAAGAACGCCATTGCAACCATTTTTGTTATAAGAATGATTCTGATGAAAGACATGGAAGAAACAGGGAGAAAATCTTAAATATTGGGAGACCAGAGAAAGCAACCAAATTCTTGGGACTCCCAGCGTAACCGGGAGAGGTCTCAATATTTTATACTTTTGCTGGAGGGGACTTTCAGCTGCAACCTCTTAATCACTGATTTCTCAAGGTCTTTTATAGTTTTTTGTTGAGTTCAGATTAATTCACCAACCCAGGAATGAAATACCAATACAAAATGAAGGGCAAATAGCTCCCTCAGAAAAACTGTCATAGACCTCAGAAGGTCAGTCACGAGGCTACGTTCCCACATCATGTAGAGTGAGTTTGGCCATTGGTGCACTCAACTTGCAAAGCTATACTGAAAAGGTATTTCTATAAAGAATTAAAATGAGGGAGGGAGGGCTGGGAACATCAACAGCTTACTTCTGTTGAGGCTTCACCAAGCAAGGAGAAACCCACATAACCTTAAATACCCCACAGATTAATCAAGGGAATGAAAACACCATGAACCACACATCTTACCCTAGTTTTACAAACCAAATCCTCAGGAGGTTGAATGACTAGTAGAGCAGATACAAAAAAATGTGAGGAAGCGTGGCACAAGAGACCTTAACAAACAGGAAATAATAGCAATCTCAAGCAAATTAGTCAAAGCTCAAAAGCCACTCGTGAAATAAGCTCTGATTAAATTTCATTTAATCATCATCAAGAAATCCCTTATATATATATATAATTTAATGTAGATGTTTTAAACAATTTCAGAATATTGGTGATATTGCAGAGAAATAGAACAGGTTTAGTTGTTTCCTTGAGGCATGTCACTAATAGCATTAGTAACATCCAAGTAGTCTGAGACAGATTAGTAACATCCTCACTGTTTACAGCTACTTTCAGGGCTCACTCTATAATATTTTCTTCTTCTAATTTGCATTCTTGTATTCAAGTTTAGCCTCGAAGTTTATTCCAGCTCCTTAAGCTAAAATTGACACTCTTATTCTACTGAAAGGAATTTTTTTTTTTCGCCAGTACATTGATGAATCAGGTAAATTTAATGAAAACAAAACTATGTTGACTATGATCACTTTTCCTCAATTGAGTGTTGATAGAACAGTCTTCTACCAGATGTTCTTTGTTTGTAATGTTCCCTCTTGCATATGTTGGTTCTTCAAGAAACTAAATCAGGTGTCAACATTTATTTTCATCATTTGGTTGACAACATTCAACTTCCCTTGCTTGCCCAAAAGAAAAAGGTTCAGATAGCTGTCCAAGCTTTTTAATGCAGATATATTGTAAACTATCCAGGATCGACATGGATATGTGAATTGGAATTATTCTAACATATGTATGTTTTAAATACCGACAGTTATTAAGGGCTTTCCTCATAGCAACTAGAAAACAACATTGATGCATAGGTTGGATAGTCATCAGTTGTTTTGGTTTGATGCCAATTAGTCAATAATTGCGAGGATTTCAATTTGACATCTAATGTAGTAACTATGACTAGAAATAATATATTTTTTCTAGGTTGAAGGAGTTTTCTTTGTAAATAACTCGCTAGAGAAGCTTATGTTTGATGAACTGAGACAATTTGCAAATTCTGGAGGTAGGTAGCCTTTACCAAGCTGTTATTTATTTCCTATTGATAAACTAAATTCCACTGAATTCAGTACCATTTAACTATACAGGAAGTTTATGTTCCAAATTGCTAAAAATATTTTGTAAACTGATATATGATATAAAACACCAGGCTATCTTAAAAACTCTTTTACAGAAATATTTTGCCTCAGGTTACACCATTACATTGGTACAGAACAGTTGTTACCCTTCTAGGAGTAAATAAGGTACATTATTTTCCTGGCATCTATGCCTTCAGACCACCTACTTCACATTGGCATAGGCCTGACCTTTGAATTCATTTGAGGGGGTAATTTACATTTCACAGCTACTTATCTTGGTGTTAAAATCAGTAAAATCAGCAACAAAATGAAAGTTAGTTGTTCATATTATGACAAAAGAAAGTTCTAAATAAGCAATTATAATTAAATTTACAAAAACATCCACTGATATAGAGGTGATTTTTATCATAGGGGTTGGAGGCTTTTTGCCTGGGACAAAGCAAATCGCTAATGTTGCTGCTCTACCTGGAATTGTGGGGGTCAGTATCAATATTGTTCATATATTAAAACCAGTATCCATTTTTCTTTCACTAACAAAAATTAAACCTTGAAAATCACTGCTCATATAAAAAATAAATTGAAAATTTTGACATTTGTGAAAACATTGTTTCTTTGGGTAAGACATTATCTGTTGCGAATGATCAGTTATTATTGTATTTTGTTGTGGAAGAGCTGGGATAAAGAGACATTCTAATTCCCATATAAGGCCAGAATGAATCTTTGAAATTATTATTCAGAATGTCAGTTAGGCTTTTTTAAGAACTTTTTAGTATTCATATCAACTGATGTTTTGATACAGACAGAAGATTTCCCATGTCTTTTCAAAGATTCAAGGCAACAGTATTTTACTGACTACATTGTATCTAAAGTATTTTATGTTTCCAAGAGATCGATTGGCCTACCTGACATACATGCTGGTTATGGATTTGCTATTGGTAAGCTTGCCATTTTTCCATGTATTTCCTTATATTTTAGCCTTGTGAAAAATCAGCACTTAAAGCTTATGAATTTTTGCAAGACAGCTCTGATTTTAGAATATGTTTATGCAACATTTGATATTGCTTCTGTTCCTTATCCTTAATTTTTTTGTTTTTACTGCAATGAAACAACTTTGATAATATTTTTTATTTCCAGGCAATATGGCGGCCTTTGACATGAGTGATCCACTTGCTGTTGTTTCGCCAGGTAAATTCATATTTTATTGATGTTTATCCCAAATATATGTTTTTGCTGAAAACATATTGCCACATAGGCCAAAATATCTGAGCCAAAAGCGTCTAAGAATTAAGCTCAAACAAAACCTTGAGATTGTGGATAGAACACCCCATATGATAACTAAAGGTAAGCATGAAACTATATCCAGATGTGGGTTGAAAGAAGCTTGAGTGAAAGAAGGTCGTATTTCATTGTTTCTTTTTTGCCAATCAGAGTGTCAGAAAAAGTGCTTCATAATCTTCACTTTTTGCAGCACTAAAGGCTTAATTAGTTTATTGTGATTTTGGCCTGACTCATCAGTTTTGGAAAATTAAGAAATAGGTGTTTTTGAAGTCATCTATTTTCCATCATGTGCTTGTATTTCTAATTCAAAACTGGGTACATATTTTTCCTAATGTCGTAGAGTTTTTTATCTATGTTCTGACATTTTATGCACTGAAGAGTGTCAAACAAAAAGCTTGAGTATACTCAAATGTTTGATTTTTTCAAAGCCACAATTCAATTATGACTGGTTCTATATAAACATTCATTTGTTGTATGTTTTATTAGTTGTTAGAGGAATTATGCGAGCTTAGAACTTTTTAGGTGGAGTTGGTTTTGACATTAATTGTGGCGTAAGACTGATTAGGACAAATCTCAACTTCAAGGACATACAGCCCGTCAAAGAACAACTTGCTCAGGTAAAGAAGTTTTCTCAAATGAATCCCTTATATCAACGTGAATTTTAATGTTGATAAAACACTACCCTGTCAATTGAACCAGCTTCTATCAATAATATGATTGCCACAAGACAATAGTGGTACGACAAGGCCAGTGAAAGACTATTCCTCTAGGATCCTAGCTCATCCTCCCTATTTTTTTTAAATGAAAAGTGATCTCTGGGCATTTTTTGCTGAAAACAGTCTTTCTTCCCTTTAGTCAATGTTTGATCACATTCCAGTTGGAGTTGGATCCAAAGGAATCATACCAATGGGAGCCAAGTAAGCCCACCTTGTTGTACAGTTTCATTCACATTCTATTCGTAGATCAAAAGAAATATTTTCTCAAAATATCTCAGTAGAATGTGCGGCAATGTTTGCTTCATTATATTGACATCTGATGTTCTGTTAGCTTGCTGAAGTTACCTCTTAAAGTATTCATTTCTGACACGATTAAATTGTAGTAGTCTATTAAGGGAAAATTATTAACAGTACGATAATTTTTTTGTCTGGTTTGAAGGGATTTGGAAGATGCTCTGGAGATGGGAATGGACTGGTCTTTAAGAGAAGGTGCATTTTCTAGCTACATTTTAACGACACAGTAACAAAATTCCATTAACTACACATCTTTAATTAGCCACTCTGTAATATTCCAATGTTGCAGATCAAACATTTTGAAACATTATTGTTAATGACAGAATAAGTAATTTAAAAATTTCTTGATTTCTTAGCAGTTCCTTAGCTGTACAATGTCACTTTGATATCGGATTTTGAAACAGTCACAATAAAGAGCTATATCTGCGACAATAATTCTCGAACTGCTTGTTGAGAAATCATGAAATTGATTCCGTCGCTTCCCCGAGTCTTTTGATGCCATTCATGTGAATTACTTTTTGTACTGATAGGAAATCATTTCTTTACTAGGATATGCATGGGCAGAAGACAAGGAACATTGCGAGGAGTATGGGCGAATGTTGCAGGCTGACCCTAGCAAAGTTAGTTTCAAAGCAAAGAAAAGAGGCTTGCCGCAGGTACCCATTATAATTGTATTACCGTCCTTACGTTTTGGAAGTTTCTTTGATTGCGAGAAAACACTTAACGATCAGACAAATGTAACGTTCTAACAAAAACTTTTTCGCCTGGAGCCGTAGGTATGCTCAGTTTGGTCACGGAATTGAAATGAGGTCATTTCTATTCTGTGGTTTGGTCGAATGATTCACCGTCTTTTTGGTCACAGTAAATTGGTACCCCCTGGTGAAGCAGGTATGAATTGGCAGATTTAGAAAGGCCACTGAAGAGTATGTTTTCCAGTTAGATGAAATTGATTTAAGGCTTTGTCTATTGGTTAGTTTACCGAAGGTAAACGATTTATTTCGTATCTTGACAGGATGTCCACAACTAAGGCCCAGTTTAAACAGCGAATTTCTGCTGTGTCGAATCAAATTTAATTAGAAAAGAGGTTAAGATAAAAAATTATCCAATCATTAGCTTGTCTTAAGCAAAATTTTACGGTATAATAAAGATAGCTAAAATGTCGTAAAATGTTTATATAAGTTTATCCCAATATACTTGACATTTCCTGCCGGGAGCAGTTCTGGTAAATGAATAACAGAAACGTCTTAACAAACTGAAAGAATCGGTAACCAAATGAAAAGAATAAAATTCTCTTAAAAATATTTTTGTGGATTTTCGTATGACAAGAGCTGCTCTTTAACCTTTGCCCTTTAGCATTTGCCCTTTAGCATTTGCCCTTTAGCATTTGCCCTTTAGCATTTGCCCTTTAGCATTTGCCCTTTAGCATTTGCCCTTTAGCATTTGCCCTTTAGCATTTGCCCTTTAGCATTTGCCCTTTAGCATTTGCCCTTTAGCATTTGCCCTTTAGCATTTGCCCTTTAGCAATTGCACTTGCAATGCGGATTTTTTGCGGGGAACTGGAACGAGGTCACTTGTTTGATTCTGGAAATTAGGGGTTCCTCCTTGACCAGAAAAAGTGGGGCTCAGCCGGGAATCGAACCCGGAGCCTCTCGCACCCAAAGCGAGAATCATACCATTAGACCACTGAGCCGATATATATGATAAAAATAAGGCTAGTTTTAACAGTTTCCTGGTACCCGCTCGTTATACGAAGCGTTAAGAAAGTGACCACGTGTTTCTGTAGCCACTAGCAACGCAACTCAACCGTTGTTAGGAACGCAATGCCATCAGTTTCAAAATTAAAAGGCTAATTATGCAATAAAAAGGTATGAATGTGCTTGGAATGACGAAATCTCTTTTAGGAGTATAATTTGATGAATTTTCTGTTATCACAGCTCCTAGATGTCATGTAAATTCAATTGGAACCAGTGACATAGCGTGACCTTCTCAACTGGGTATTCTCTTTTAAGGAAACGGGTGGGACTGGGTTGGATTTGTTTAAACTGACAGCAACAAAACATTTCGTAATGACCCGTTTAATCTGACTTTCAAATCGCAAGGAAGTGTTACCAATCCAAGGTAGTTTGAGATAGACTGAACACTTTTCTGGACCAACCTCTTGGCCAGCCGAAAAACTTGCAATCTTTTCCATGGTGCTAGAAGAAATGACATCTTCTGGATACCCATTGTCCAAAAAGTTCGTTTTTAGTTTATCAAGTTCTGCATAGAGTTTTTTTTGCTTTTCTTCTATCTTGTTCTTTTCGGCCCTTATTCTGACATTTTGTACTCTGAAGAGTGTCAGATAAAAAGCTTAAGTCATGTTGTAAAATGTATGATTTTTTCAAAGCCTTTTTCAAATCATAAAGATTCTGTTTAACACTTAGCAGGAAGTCATTGATAAGCAAGTTATGTTTTGTGACCAACAGAGCAGGAAGCAGTGACTGGAACTGAAATATTCAAGGAAGGTTGTACACAGTTGTTGAATCCTTGAGTGCCATGGGAGATTTCAAGACGTCCAGTATACTTGCCAACGAACTAAACATTATGCGAAAGCAAATGATGGATGCATACTTCAAAATGGTGAATTAAGGAATTCATCTTTCTGGAAGTTGACGTGTGTACTGGACAAATAAGAAGAAATCGCCATGGCCAAAGCAGATTCAAGCAACAGAAATTTGAGCCATCTCAACGAAAACCGCTGTAAAATCGAACAAAACGAGACATACCCTTTCAGGCCGTGGGTGTTGAACTGAAGCATTGCAACACAAAAAGGATGGAAAGTTGGTACGAAAGGCTTGTCATATTATTTTCGTGAAGCCGTACCAAAGTAAAGCACCAGTGCCTTTATGACTTGTGTCTTCTGCAACTATAATGATGCGCAAACCCATGTCTTCAAAACATCATACTTAACAAGGAGTTCTTGAAACGTTTGCTTCGTGACTTTAGCTTCTGCTTCGCTATCTTCATGTCATTTTGTTTCTCTTTTTTCTGGCTACTGCTCAGTAATCAAAAGCCGATTCGTTACAATCTACCATTATTCATTCAACTTTGTTGATGATACCTCTATGTTGAGTACACCGGCAGGATTCTCTGCTGTTTGCACGTGACGCCATTGGATGAATCCCCTTACCAAAATATTCCTGACTTTGATAACAACAAACTTCCTAAATTCACCATTGCCTCTGGTCCAGTGTATTGCGACTGTGCTTTGCTGTCAAGCCACCCGATTGCTAAGTGTACCGTAAAACGATCTACTGCATCCAAAAGTTTCTAGAAACTAGTTGCAGCCTGGGCACTTTCTGTCCTTTCTTACCAACTGTGATCTTGCTGCAACATTTTCTTGATAAAAATACCTGATCAACTTTAAATAAATTTTAGGTTCACTTACATCGAATGAACAAAATTCTGCAAAAGAAGCATTATTAACAATCTACGTTCGTGGTCTATAGAAATTTTATAGTTGATGTTTTGCGAATTGTTTGGCGTACATAAAAGGTATCGAAACATCGAAACATCAACAATGTCTCGTGAAAATTTCATGTAAATAGTTGCCATAATTTTTTAATGAAAAAGATTTTCAAAAAGTCTTTTCATATCTGTTGCGTAAAATTCGAAGTTTCGAAGTTTGTCCCAATACTTTTTGATCGTAAGTGTATTTACTGTACATAAATAGCTTTGCGTGTAAACCGTGGGCAGTGGAATTCATTTTAAATGAAATCTTAAAAATGTTTCATTATCGAGCCCATGCCACAGGGGTGAGGGGGGCATAAAGGGGGCAGAGAGGAGGGCAATGCTCCTTCTTTTATACTACTGAAAATATTCAAATCAGCCAAAGTTCTGATGTGACATTGAAATTATCGTCTCTATTTTCATATAGAAAGCTTTTGAAAAAATATAGGTAAGTGACTAGTGAATATCGTTGATAAACTCGGATATCCTTACTTTTGGCCTGGATGTCTAAAACTGTTATTTTCCTCACTATCATTGGAGGGTATGTTAAACGTGCTGCAAGGGTAGGGTATGTTAATGGCGGAGACCATCGATGGGTTGCGACATATCTCGGTTGAAATGTGAAGCCACAGAAAACTACAGAAGCTATAATTAGACTAAATTGTTGTTTCAATGGTATCTAAACGAAATCTAGAGACTGTGATCACAAAAGATTCATCAGATTATACCCCTAAAATATATTTCGTCTTTTCAAGCACACTCAAACCTAGCATGATAAGCAAGTTTGTTTCGAAACTGGTCTTGCGTTCCTAGCGAAGGTTGAGTTGCTAGTGGCTACAGAAACACGTGGTCGCTTTCTTAACGCTTCATGCAACGAGCGGGTACCAGGAAACTGTTAAAACTAGCCTTATTTTTATCATAAATATCGGCTCAGTGGTCTAATGGTATGATTCTCGCTTTGGGTGCGAGAGGCTCCGGGTTCGATTCCCGGCTGAGCCCCACTTTTTCTGATCAAGGAGGAACCCCTAATTTCCGGAACCAAACAATAGACCTCGTTCCCAGTTCCCCGAGAAGATATCCGCATCTGATAAGGCAGAAGCAAAGGAAAACATTTTCGAGAGCATTTTATTCTTTACTTTTGATTGACGATTCTTCAAGTTGAAAGCATGTTCCCGTACAACTTTATTTCGTGATAGAAAATTCCCTTTGCGCAGGCAACGTCAGGCTTAATTGCTCAGCCTGACTTGAAAGTTGTATTGGTTGTTTGAGAATGAATCACGAGTAGAAGTACGGTCTCAGAGATGAGCTTCTGATTAAGATTTTTCTTTTGGTGAAATCAACAACAGTAATCGCGATGATAATGATACTGGAAGCATAAAACGTCTTTAAATTGACTTCTATCCAGAGGTTGGAGTAATTTTGATCCAGCGTTTCCAAATGTTTATCTGATGTATCCAACGATAGCCCAGACTTTCCCTCTCCATATAATCCTCAACAATTACCGAATCTCTCAGAAAGATTAGAACTTAGAAAGCGTGGCTACATCCTATTTTCAATAACCTAGGCCTTAAGTTAACATACTGGTGCAATAGGTTTGCTAGAACTTGTACAATGTTAACATAATAATCTTTCCAAAATAGCGGTGGGTTGAATGTGGAGATGCCAGGGTATGGGAAATAATTATCTGGAATCTTCAAGAATTTTCACAAGAGATCTCCACAAATTCCCCCCTTTTTACGCTCGCCTGGTCTCCAAGTGAGCAATTTTAATAGATTTACATGGCTTCACAATCTTCTCCTGCTATCACCGGTGTAGTTTCTCTTGCGCCATTCCAGTAGGTACTGGTGCTGCTCGATTCAAGTAAAGTGCAAATTTTCTGCTCTTATCTTTGCTCCTTTGACAATCTTGTATTTTCCTTAAATAAGGTCTCCAACGATACCCAGTTTCCAGTTTCTTCTGTTTTTCGATGGCATAAGGTGGCCATTTAAGGTGGCAATGATGGAGACGACATTTCGAAAGATGGGTGGGGGTAGTGAAGCATGTTTTTATATACGCCAATGTGAGGAGTTGATTTCAAAGGGAACGACCAGAAGAAGATGTCGATGTCATTGATAAAACTGACATGGCATGAGAAAGTAAGCAAGATGTTTTAAGAGATGCAAGTCATCGTGGTCAAGGTGGACAGCAGAGTACCTCTAATCTATATTAGAATTCTCGGACTTCTCGAACTAAGGTCGCCTAAACTGCGTTACGCCACTGGCGCCATCCCAGTTTTGCATTCGTAGTTAAAGAAATTTGGAAAATTGTTAAAGATTTTGTAGAGGGAGGGGGAAGGGGAGGAAAAAGTTATGGCGATTATTCAATCATTACTTAAAAAACTGCCATAGCTGAATCACAAGTTCTGGAAAGTTCGTTTAGAGGCCAAAAGTCTTTTGCATTTCATCATTATCATTGTAATTATTGTTGCTATTTCAGTTCATCGCAAGGAAAGTCCTAATCGAAAGCTTATTTCTGAGACCGTACTTCTACATCGTCTGACGACTGAAGCAACCTTCCCGACAGGCTTTGCAATTAAGCCTGGTGTTGCTTACGCGAGAAACAATTTTCTATCATGAAATAAAGTCGTACAAAAACGTGCATTCAAGCTTGAAGAATCGTCAATGAAATATTTAGAACAAATTGCTATCGAAAGCGTTTTCATCGACTTCTGCACTATCAGATGCGGATATTTTCTCGGGGATCTGGGACCGAGGTCTGATGTTCGATTCTGGAAATTAGGGGTTCCTCCTTGATCAGAAAAAATGGGGCTCAGCCGGGAATCGAACCCGGAGCCTCTCGCACCCAAAGCGAGAATCATACCATTAGACCACTGAGCCGATATATATGATAAAAATAAGGCTAGTTTTAACAGTTTCCTGGTACCCGCTCGTTATACGAAGCGTTAAGAAAGCGACCACGTGTTTCTGTAGCCACTAGCAACGCAACTCAACCGTTGTTAGGAACAGAAGACCATCAGTTTCAAAATAAACAGTCTTATCATGCTTGGCGGAACGTATCTGGAATGACAAAATCTCTTTTTGGTGCATAATCTGATGAATTTCCTGTGATCATAGCTCCTAGATTTCATGTAAATTGAATCATGACCTCAAATTAATCCAATTATGGCCTCTGTAATCAAGGCCTGCAGATTCCCTGTCTTAGATACTTTTTTTAAATTACTGAAGAAGCACTGTTTTTAACAAAGTAATTTTATGCCTTCACAGCAGACCAACGTATCAGCTACGAAAACGATTCTTTCTTATCGAGCCTCACTTTTATGATTGCCTCACTTTATGGACTATGGACGGTTCCACTGTTCAACAAAGACCTAGCTTTAAGTGCTCAAACACTTGCACTCAGGACAAATTTTTGTCCTCCTAATAACATAGCAGCTTTTCAGGATGCGACTTTCTTGCTGGCTAGCATCTTCAGTTTGCTCATAACGAAGTAACTTTTTAGAAATATCCTTGCCCCCGCTTTTGTCCACATGATGTTAGCGGTACAGCTAAAAGTTATCATCATGGAGAAATAAGAGATAACTGTTGATAGAATCATAATTATAGCATATTGTGCTGAAGATTAAACTAAAGCACGATATTGTTTTAAAGGATTTTCCAAAGCGAAGTCTGCCACAAAACTTTCTATGGAAAGCACATGTTTTTGTTTGCGTCTACCGGATGTAGAAAGATCATGGCGGTTGCAATTCAAAATTTCCGAAAATACGACATCGATACAAGATTTAAGTTTAAAGAGTCAGCGAACCAATGGGCAAACCTATCGGTCATTACTGTCATTTATATATCAAATTTTATATTCCAGTTGGGAACCCTTGGAGCTGGCAACCACTACGCCGAGATTCAGGTTGTTGAAGAAATTTATAATGATTTTGCTGCACGTCGAATGGGAATTGACCACAAGGGACAAGTAAGTTCTCATTTTATCTTGGTTATTCGTTCTTAATTCACACGATGTTGGTTAGATATTCATCTCAAAGTCTTTGGAAATAATGAAGTTGATTTGCTATAATGTGGAATCCAGAATAAACCCGAGTTCATAAAAGATGCAGAGTTAGTAAATGAAAGTAAGCTAAAAGTCAGTTAAAGATTCCTGTGAATTGATCAGTTGCAATACTGGCTTACACTAGTCTATCTTTTAGACCTATAATGTTAGGTATTTCGAGCAATTTACACCAAGCCTTACCTTTAATGCCAATATTGCTATTTTAACCAATGCTGTTTCACCTTTTATAAAGTAAACAATTTTTTGGCGGTACAGAACTTGAAAATGGCTTTGAAAAAAGCAAACATTTTTCAACGTATTGGCTAAAAGCTTTTTCGTCTGACACTCCTCAGGGCATAAAATGTCCTTCAATTCTCTCAGATATTTGATTGAAAAAGCTGCTTTAATGATTTCTCTAGATAACGATATAAATAGATAACGAATCTTAGAACAAAGATATTGAAATTCAGTAATGAAATATTTAAGGTGATCTGAAGTATCCCGAAGTCATTGTTTTGCAGCATATACAATGTTGTTGATATTAGAGTTTGTCAGTTTCGCATATATCGTGATATTCTGCAGATTTGATTTAATATTTATGAATTTACAGGTTTGCGTTATGATTCACTGTGGAAGCAGAGGTCTGGGACACCAAGTTGCCACAGGTAATTCTGCTAAGGTTTAATCTTTGCAAGTTTACGAAGTGATGCTAGGTATGCAGCTGTCCCACCGTACGGTCTAACTGAGCCTGCTAGAAACCCTCTTTGTGGTTATTTGTGACCAACAAAGTGTAACGAAGAAGAGAAAAAAGAGGCGAAGAAGAGGAAGAATAAGAAGAAGAGAAAAAAGAGAAAGGAACAGGGAGAGGAAGAGGGTCTTGTAAGTTTCGATGCCACTTTCGCAGACTGCTCAAATATAAAGAAACACACACTAGCGCGTAGATTATGACTACTTGATTTAGCAAAAACACTGTAAAAAATCATCCCTGTTTATTTCAGATGCGCTGGTACAAATGGAAAGAGCCATGGGAAGGGATAAAATTGATGTGAATGATAGACAGGTCAGTTAAATCAGGAATAGTAACTTCCTTCTTATATTCTTAGGTTCTCTGGTTTAAAGAGATTATTAATATCCTTTGAGAAATTCTGTTAACAGTTGGTGTTGCTAAATAATGTGAACAAGGATACTTTTTCCTGCAAGTTTAGATTTCAAAGACGAGCTATTTTTCTAAGTCCATCATATCAAGCAGTCCTAGATTTCAAAATTGCCTTCACTTTTTATGAAAGTAATAAAATTTTTCTACCGGCTTTTTATTACATTTAGAATCACTTTCTGTTACTATATTCAATGCCTGTGCTTGATTAATTCAAAAAGCTCAGATTTTCAAAGGAATAGCCAAATGTCATGTGCTTGTTCCCTTTATAAGGGCCTTTTTCGACAAACTAGCTAGGGGAAAATAGCCCCTACAGCCCAAATGTCTTTTCTGTGTCTCTGAAAATAGAATATCGGCTCTTCCTAAAAAGCTTAACCTACCGTCCTCCTTTCAGCATTACGTACGTAAGATCTACTTTACGCACGAATTAATTAATTTTAATGTAGTTAACATAATCATTATAATGATAATTGTTGCAAAATGTTGACCCAGTTGTTAAATTCAAATAAATCTTTGATATTCATAAGCAATGATTTTTCATTCGACAGCTTGCCTGTGCAAGAATTTCCTCAACAGAAGGACAAGATTATTTGAAGGGAATGGCTGCTGCGGCAAATTATGCATGGGTTAACAGATCCAGCATGACATTTCTTTGTAGACAAGTATGAAGTTTGCTGTTTTACTTTGTCTGTAAAAGCTGCTAAGTTAGGTTATGCCAGCTGTGATAATGTAATTATTGTTTTCTCTTTCGAGTTGTCATTTCACTCATAAAACTCATGTAGTTATTTTCTAAAATTTTTCATATAATTCTACTTTGTCAAATGCAAATATTTCTACCTTTGCAGGCCTTTTCAAAGATTTTCAAAAGCGCGCCAGATGACTTAGATATGCATGTTATTTATGATGTTTCACATAATGTTGCAAAGGTTGAGGAGCATGTATCCTTTTATTCAGCTAAAAAAGGTTGCATTTATTGTATGTGCCTGTTTAGGCACTGGTTTCTTTTTAGACGTGCAAACAGCGTATATGCATTTCTTCATGTCCATTTCTTTATTTCTTTATTTAAAAACAAGTCAATTGACGAAATTCTCAAGTAATGATATTGTTGTGGATCTGTTTTATTTGCTCATCATCAAAAGTGATAAATATTTCTAAAAAAAGAATGTATAGAAGACATGTTACCAAAAACTGCTTAGTTCCAATTCTCAATTTTTCCTTCATTCAACAGAATATGAAATTAGCTGGCATTTCTTGTGTTCTCCCGCTCTTTTTTAAATTACTAAATTTTCGCAGGAGACGAGATCTAATTGCCCATACCTGACTGTTTACAAATACTGTATCGATCATGACGGTCAATGGTGGACACAGAAGGGCGTCTTGCATTTCGTTTGTAAGCAGTGCGCCCCTTAGTGTAGCTTCTAACGTAAGCCGAGTTTCAACTATGAACAAGAAATAAAGTACATTCTCAAACAAATGTATTGAGAATGTACTTTATTTCAGTCAATTGTTCTTCTTTTTTTCCTTGATTATCTTATTTGGTAATAGAATTAATTTCTTTTTTCGCAAACACTTTTTGTTTCATTTCATTTCTTATCCTTTTGATGCCATACCAATATAGCACGAAGGAGAGAGAACAACAACTTTTTACCATGTGATTTTATTCACCGTCGCCAAATTCAAGACTGATTTGTTGGTTCCTTAACGAGAATCCTAGCTTGTAGATGGAAAACTAAAGACGTTGTTGGTGCATCGGAAAGGTGCCACACGCGCATTCCCACCCCATCATCCTCTAATACCAGTAGACTACCAGGTTGGTTGGATTCTCTTTTCACCAGGCTGAATCGATCTGAAATGACCCATCTAGCTAAGGACATGTGATAGACTGGTTGTATGGCATTTCTCGTTGGCACTTTTTTCAGAAGCTAAGTCTTAAGGCAAGACATTAAATAATGTGTCTGTGAAACACTCCTATAAAAATGAGAAAGTTTTGCATTTTTTAGATTGTCGTTATTGCTTGACAGTCCTAATCCAATTAGTGCTTATTTGCTGCTTGTCTGAAGTCTTGAACTGTTGCTAGAACTCCTGATTGTACTACCCTAATTCAAAATCCCCCTTATCTGGCCCAAGCTTCATAATCCTATAGGATTCTCTCTATTACAGCTCACAGGGCAGCCTGTTCTTATTGGAGGAACTATGGGAACGTGTAGGTAAGGAAGTCAGTAGGAAGCGCACCAACATCAATGGTGGCATTCTTCAATTTTTTTTATATTTGCCGGCTACTAGCGAGGGTAGACCTTCAGCAAAGTATGATTTTCAAGAATTTTCTATTGGTACAATGATAGTATATAAAGATCGAAGGAACAGACCCTAGAAGTGTTGACATATGGTGATGGTGCTATACTGCAATAGCTTGCTTTGGGTTTTTTTAAGAACGATGGAACATGATATCAGATATAACAAATACACTTTAAAAAGCTTCCATTTCTATTTTCATACCCAACGCTAAGCACGAGGCAGCTTCTTTTCTTAACAAAATGAAACGAAAACGAGGTTATTTCATTTAAAATCACAATAGGATTAATAAGCATGTATAACATTTGTTCAGTCTCTTACAATGGCAGTATAATAAACATATATGGCTTCTTGAAATTCTGAAAGATTGAGGTTCTGTGCCTTGTTTCCTAGTTGGTAATTCATACTGTCATTCGTCAGTTTTAGGACTGTCATTGTGTCAGTGCAGATGGCATTCAGTTTAGATAAAATAAAAAGGACACTATTTTAAAAGCATTTGCCCTATGTTTTATGTATGAAAAAGCTTTTGTGCCTTAAATAAAATTGCTGTTTTTCGTTTGATCTTCCACAAAAGTTTAGTAAAATTTAATTTTCAGCTATGTTTTGACTGGCACAGAACGTGGAATGGAAGAAACCTTTGGAACAACGTGTCATGGAGCTGTATGTATCATCTGACAACCAGTGCTTATTTTCCTTATAGGTAGCAAATAGAGCAAAGCTAGATAGAAAGAGATACTCAAGGAATATGACTTTTTGCCTGAACCACCACGTGATTGATAGCCATCGTTCCTTTGTTTTAACAAACCCTTCTTTCCCGGAGTATCATTTTGGATTCTTAATTCTATTACTCTCTCTAGAATTATTATATTTATTTTGAAAAGCAAACCACTTAAAACATAATTAAGCTTTTCGTCTGAAGATGACCAGACAAAAACAGGTTATTGCAACATACATTAGGGTAAAAACATACTCTCGTTGGCCCTTTTCGGTCCTCAATTTGTTGTATGTATTTTGTAACTTAAAGTTTTCGATCATTATCCTGGTGTTTTGTATTCTGACTTTTTGCCACAAAGAAGTTTAAATGTGTTTTAAAATGCTTGCTTTTTTCCAAAACCTATTTTTAAATTTTCTAATGCAAAAATTTATTGTCATCTTCAGCTGTTTTCGGAATAAGATAATCTCAAAGATATGATACGGTCTTTTGGTATTGAATTTCGTATAATCTTTGCTAAATTTTCTGTTTATATTTCTTTACCGCGCTTTTTTAAGTAACCTTTTTGTATTATTTTTCATTGCTTGTTTGCACCTTTTAATTTCTAAAAGCTCAATGTTTTTTCCAGGGTCGCGCATTTTCAAGATCAAAATCCAGGCAAGTTACATTTACACGATCGTGCTTCGGTGATCTATCTGTTAATTGAGTTTATGGGAGAGGACCAATCTTTTGAATTAATGAAAATTATTGTTATCAAGTGCTATATATTGGCAGTTCTGTACACGTTGCCTGCTGATCGCGTTAAGCGTGAAACTCAGACCAGCAGCTTAGAATCCTCCTGTTCTATACACGAAAAGCGTATCTTCTGGGTTATATGTTTCAAATTCTCATCTAATCTGAATTTCTAATCTAAAATATAACTTTAAAATCTCTTATCACGACATCCGATGCATAGACGGGGATAGATATCCAACAAACATTTGTACTATCTCACGGCGTTTCTTTAAAATCACTTCAACAAATTTATTTTTTTAGGCGAAATCTAGATTATCATGAAGTCTTGCAAAATTTAGCAGAAAAGGGGATTTCAATTAGAGTGGCATCGCCAAAGCTAGTGATGGAAGAGGTATTTTTCATATTTTTTTCCTTTTAAATTCTTTATACACAAAAATCCCTTCAGGTTACAACTAAATACCAAATGAGAAAATATGTGGTTCATATGTTGACCATCGTTGTGTTAGGAGGGTTTTTCAAATAGGAAGATTACCTAGAATTTCGAGTTGGAAATGTGCTATGAACTTTATCATCTGTGTTCCCAAGAATGCGATAAAGTTTCGTTTTACTTCGTTTCCCAGACTCTTCGTTGGCATTTGTTCTTGTAGAAGCATATTACAGTTATGATAAATTTACAGAATATGCGATGTTTATTTTTCTAAAAGCCCAGATGGATTAGTTTGTAACCTCAGACGTATCTTTTTGGGTCCTTTCAAGCTCAGAAAATCAATCAGCATTTCTCTTCTATGGCCAGCTACATTTTTTCCTGTGTTTTGTCACTCTGCCCTCTCTCCTTGGTTGTTGCTTTTTATCCTGATACACTGACTATATGTCCCAATGTTAAGGCTTCTTTGACTTGATTCCTCCTCTCTTTCTGTCGCCCTTTCTCTATCTTCATTTCTGTTTCTTCCGTTTACATCACAAGCAGTCAGCTGCCCTTAAATCTCAGACTGTACAACACTCCTTGCTTGGCTTAAGTCAGTTACAGACACTCTTTTTCGAAGTTGATAGACATAGAAGTAAATCAGGGGATCTAGCAATGGCCTGAGTGCAATTAGGCCATAGAAAAGGTCTCGTAGATTTTGAAATTTGGGATAAAACAGGAAGGCAATTGCGTAAGGGTAGTTGCATGCAATGAAGGCAGCTGTAACCGCAAAGGAATGGAAAAATATTCGTTTGGTATGATTGCTGCGAGTGTGGGTCGATCTTTTGTGGACATTTTTTAGTCTTGTTCTGTAACTGATGTTGAAGTAAATGATGATGAGGGCAATGCCGACAATAAAGACTTGGTAGCACGAGACTTCAATGGCTGTATCGTCAAATGCGTATATAACTCCGTACAAGATAGCCACGAGCCATCCGTTAAGCAGAATCACCGAACACTTTGTTAAGCTTACAATGCGAGTGAAAGCATGCGGGAAGGCCACGGCACATAGTCGCTGAAGTGCAATCAAAACAATATGGATGAAGGAGACTGCGGTGCATGCAAAAATTAGCCTGTATGTTAATTGTATTGCCTGAGAAGAATCTCTATGTCCAGCGATTGTTATTACAGCGTATATAGCAAATAGCAACGAGGAGATGATGTCAGCCATGCAGAGACTCAAAAGAATTAACCCAAACGGTGTCATACGATTCCACTTGCGCAACATTATCGAAGTCTCTGTGACGTTGAATAAGATCCCCACAATTCCTAACACCAACCAAACAACGATAGCTGCATCCCGTAATGGCTGGCTACCGTCCAGCGTGTCTTGGTTCGATCGGTTGGTTACATTGCTGATGTTAGACACCTTGGTTCTATTAACCCAGTTCATTTTTACACCGAGAATGCTTTGTTTCTTACAGCCCCTATCATGGACAACAACCATCGACTTTTATACCAAAGTGCTTCCAATTCTAAATCGTTGCTTTAACAGTTAACATAGCCAATTTCATTGCTCTGTCGATAAACATTCTCAATATGTTTGACTGCCAATTATTTAGTTTTCTCGCCAATTGCTTTTATGAACATAACAGATGTTTTTGTTTACACAATATTCGATAGCACACCAATTGTTCCAATCATTAGTCATTAACTATTTTTATGAATCTGTGAATTTCAGGAAAATAACAATTTTCGGGAATAATGTAAAGAAAAATATGCTCAGCTGTTTTATTATCTTGTTTGAATTCGATTCTAAGATCCCTCGTTATTAAGCAAGAATGAAAACATACTGTTTGCCATGCGAGACAGGCAATGGATGTCGTTGCCTTTTCACAATATGTTTTTGTTTAAATGCCGTTGTATCGCCACTTCATTAACTTGAACAACCCCAGGAAAACAAAGTTTTAATTTCTTAAAAATCGAGAGAACATATTAATTTTCAACCAATTAAAGTAATACCTGCAAACCAGTTACAATTAGAAGTCTTTTGCTGCATGGGGTTGTGCAAAGAGCAAACGTTATTATTTTCATATCAGAGTATTTTATCCAAGAAAAAAATCCAATTTGCTTCTTATATTACGCTGTTATTTTTGAAGTACAAAAATGCAGCCATCTTGGCTAACGGCTTACCGTTTTTGTCTCTAATGATTCTTTGTCACAACAGGCTCCAGAATCGTACAAGAATGTCACAGATGTAGTTGACACCTGTAAGTTCTATTTCAAGCTTATCTGATCGCCCACCTCCTGATGACGTTTAAAAAAATCTGTCGAGCGGCCGTGACACTGTTAGACTGAACGAGTGTCCATTTGCTAGATTGTAACAGCATTTATTGCCTGCTCTGTCTGTTTCCTTTTTAGTCACAAAATATACAATTTATGAACCTTTTTCTTTTTTCTAATGGTGCTACGTACATTTGAAAAATATTTTTCACCCAGCTTTTCGGCTAGAATTGTTCACAGAAAAGCTCGATTTGTGCTCTAATGACATTTTCTAATCGTTTGGCCCTTTTCATTCACTTATTTTACCTCTAGCATACCGAATATACCTCTTGGTTTTAAATTTATTGCAATCAATACATCGGAAAGTTTTTTCGAGTCATTGCCTCTAATAACACTAGGCATGCTTTTCATGACAGAAAGGTAACAGGCTAAAATGTTTCTTGGTTTCGTAATCACTAAGTTCCTACTTGCCTAAAACAAGGCACAATCTATGAGAATACTGGCATGAATTTGACGATCGTATGGAATAGATTTTGCTTTGACTGAAAGTTGTTTAAGAATATTTTTTTTTAGTTTATTTGATTCGTTGGACTTGACAATTTCTCTATAGACGTTTAAAAAGGTTACTTTACGATTTTTCGAATATTTTACAGGTCATGCTGTTGGAATTAGTAAGAAGTGCATAAAACTAAAGCCTGTTGCTGTGATCAAAGGCTGAAGCTGCAAGATTGGAAGGGAAAATTATTCAAAAATATCAAAGTAGAGGATACACCCAGAATGTAGCTTGCTTTATTGCAGTATTTTGTATTGCACTAAATATAAGTTAAGAAGTAATTTATCCAGGGAACAATTTCAGACCGAATATCTACGTCGTAAAACAATTTGCATTTGTACCATTCAATTGGTAGGCTTAATTGAATTTGATTTATTCATATTTTTAGGGGAAAATGTCCTACGAATTTATGTAAAGGCATTATACAAATAATTTTTGCTGAATTTTAGTTCTTGATTTATTGAAGAGCTAAATTCCCTCAAATTGAATGTATAAACTACACATTTTGAAATTTGACAGTCCGGTCAATACTTTTTTGCTGAATTCTAATTCTTGATTTGTTAAAGAAAAGTTTTCTCTAAAATGGCATATAAATTTATAATGAAAAGTACTGTATTTCTGTATGTGAATGGAGATTTCATGATAACCAGAGGTTATTGTACGTTTTACCAGTTGTTTTAAAAGTGTTTTTTTTGTCGGGAAATGAAGAGTTGTGGTTCACGCTTTATTCGCTGCTTCTACGTTCCAACTGTTTAATTATTATCATAGTATTATTGGCAGAGTGTTTTTTTATCAAGAATATCAAATTTGCTTTGCCAAGTGACAGATAAACACATGAATAAACCCCTTGCTCATTTATCAGCTTGAAGTTAACAAGTTTACTCTAAGTTACTTCTCATGACCGTGAATTTGATAACCTTATTATACAATTTGACAGCCGGATGAATTCTCCTTTGAAGAATTTATTGGATAAGATAAATGAGGAATTTAATATGTTTAAACAAAAGATTATACTACAGAAGATAATGAAGGTGCCGAATGGGGCAAAAGTTTAACTTTGTCATTAATATGTTCTCATTTTGCTGATCACTTTTTGTCTGTTAAGAGCCATTGGTGACTCCACTTTCTATTATTGTGAAACCCTTATACAAGATTTTGAATGATAGAATATATAGCTAGGTAATATATAGCCACTCGTGCTGCAAAACATTCTCGGGGGGGGGGGGGTATCTTATCATATTTGAAGGTATGGGGACGTGCCATTATTTAGGGCTACCTTTTTTCTGAAAAGTGCGGAAATATCGGTATCAGTTTTTGAAATATGTGCGGAACTATGGGTACCATTTGAAGAAACATGCAGAATGATAGGTACCATTTTGAGAAAATATTGCAAAATTACTAGGAGGGGTATTTAGCATTCACAAAATGAATGATCAGTTAGAAATAAAACTATGAAATCTGTTTAATATTGAGATTTTGGAGCAAAGGACATACAAAAGTGGTTTAATGGATCAGGCATTTGCGGAATTTTGCGCCCAAATTTTTAACCAAAATGGCACGTCCCCGTCAAAAATTAGGCTTAGTTTCACCCTGAGAAAACATTGCACGCCCTGTATACAGTTTTCCCTACTTCTAGATAAATGAGACCCCAAATAAGTAGGATTTTTGCTCTTTGGTACATTCGCTTAGTGGGACAGATTTTCTGTGAAACGGAGGTTCTGCTAAACGGGAGTATGGTGTATACTGAATTTATTGATTCTATAGTTTCCAGAGTAGCATGGCTTATGGTATACCAGCCTGAGGGAGTTTCCAGGGTAGCATACCAGACTGAGGGAAAAACTTGATTTTTACAATGAATTATAGTTCTAAGTTAACATAATGGAATGTCTGAACTTTGGTTCAAACGTATTTTAGGATAAACCAACGCTGAAACTGTAAAATAAAATAGCGAAGCACTTCATCAACTCTTGGAAGCAAGTCCATTGCTGTGAGTGTCGACCAGGGTTGCCATTTGGTATTATACAATCCCAGATTTCGCGAAACTGGGACTGCGGAAAAGCTGTTGGGATCAGAAATTGTTATCTGGGATTCAAAAAGAAAATTTGGTTTTTTTGGGATTATCAGACGAGAATGGATAATTTGTTATAATTATTCCTTTTGTTATTGGCTCCCGTTCAAATACTTTTGGGAGGGGAGTGTACATTTTATTTGATTCCATATGAGTTTTTACATCGAATGTTACACTTACTGAAAATTTGGAAGTTATCTGCTGTTCAAATTTGAAAATTTGAAAGTTACCTGCAGTTGTTCTGGTTCACCATACTTCATACGCAATGCCCAAGTTTGAGGCTTCATACTTATATTTCAAATCTTGTGGCAACTAACTCGACTATTTATATCAAATTAAGCAACCGTAACATTGAATAATGCGTAATTCATTGCTCAGGAAATATAGAAGGCAAAGCTGCAGAGGAATATCTATCCCTTTCTATAACCTCTGCGAAGGAATCTACTTTTGAAAAAATTGGGATTAATTTGGGATTGAGTTTCAGAAATTTTGGGATGGAGGACCACTGATCTATAAAAAAATCAGTGTGGAGGACTTTTTTATAGATCAGTGTGGAGGACTTGCCAACATTTGGCAACCCTGGTGTCGACTTGTTGACCCCCTTTACTTGCGCATGCGTAGAATGTACTATGATAACGGAAGATGGCAGCCATGAATGCAAGGAGATGTCTGAAAGGCCTGCTGCTGCAAGTCAGTCGCAAGGTAAGCATACGTTTTGTCTTAAGGTATTTGTAAAGCACGCTTCTTAAAGATAAATCTGCGCTGAAAATAGATTTTGCTTGCCATACCTATGAAAATTATCTCCATGGCCTAGGATATTGCTACAGTAGTACTATTAGAGAGATAGACCTAATCCCTTCTTGTTTAAAAAGCACATCGTCTTTATTGAGTTGGTCTCAGAGATTATGTTAAGGAAGCCATCAATTGCCCTAGGCACGTTTTTGGGATCTGTCCATGTTCCCTTTCCTATATGGAGAAAATTATGAATAATGCCAATTATGTAAAAACAGTAGTTGATTACGTTAAAAGGGGACATATTCATATGTCTGTATAGATACATATTTTGGTAGACATTACATTTGCTAGCATTAAATGGCATGCAAAGATTTTCATGGTCTTAAGATGCAATCAAACTGCACTTTTCGATAATTTTTATAGAATTTATTAGGTGTTCACATTGCCAACTATAAAAGACATTTGTTAATACAATTTTTCTGGTTAGTTAAGTGTATGCTAGTTACAATCGCATGCAGGTAAGAAGCCTCTTTTGACTTCATTTAGTCATTGGTTTATTGGTTTTCTGCTTACATGAGTGTGCACCTAATTTCCCAATTCATATAATGTCAAAATCTGACCTTCAAAAAACCTGAACACATTTTAGCAATAAGAATTCCTATGAACAATTAGTTACTACAAGCTTTTTAATAGCCTCAATTTTGAACACCATGCAAGGAAGCAACATAAATTCAGTCTGATTGTAGCCTTAGATTGGTGTTAGAGAGATTGTTGGCATGCATAACTTCAGTTGAATGCTTTTGGTTAGAACAGGACAGATACAGTACTAAGTTGCTAATCTAAGTACCCTACTTAATGATAGCGTCAGGTAAATGCAATGATTGCATAAAAACATGTTTCATGAAACTACTTTATTTATCTACTCTTGCCCTTCCTTTATCATATTATCTCCCTTTTGATAATCCATTCTCTTGGCAAAATTGCTATGGTCAGTGTGGAGAAAAAATGCACATGGCACATGGAGTAACCAGTTTGAGGTATGGCATGATAAACCAAACCTTTGATGATAGTTTCAATGAACACCAAATCCAAAAATAGTGCACTTTTGTTTTTAAGGCCCTGTTCTCATGATACCGGCTTCATTTCATATCAGATTCACTGATCCAAACCGATACGAATGTTAAGCTCTGTTCACACAGTACCCGATTCATTTCGTATCAGATTCACTCCTGTTCACACGATGACGCTACGCTTCAACACTGCTCTGGAAAATCCATTGTCTTGAAGCAGTTGCATAGCAACGTGGAATTTTGTTCCTTGTTTTCCTCTTTTTCTGATTAAATGCATTCTTTGATGTGATGGAACTGATACGCTGTTTTGAAGAAGAAGTATTTTGAAATCAATTTTCAAACAATCTAACTTTCCTTTGCATTAATCTTGTGAAACTCATCATCATCATAAGGAGCATATTTGTTGTTTAACTCTGATCTACTTTTCTCATTAAGGGGTAAGCTATTACTTTCAAAAAGACCCTAACTCTTTAGAGCCCCCTTAGAGTGATATAAAATGGTAACACAGTGGGGATGAACTACCTCCGTGGATTTTGGGATTTCCCTAAGATATATACTTGATAAGGAAATCATTGATTTTGAGTACCTGTTCCTGGGAGCTTGTATTTGTAATTCAACAAAGTTCTGCACTATCATGATTCAGTACAATTCGGAAACATGACCTCTGTGGATGTTGAATATATCGTTAGTAGCCGTATTTATACTGTATTGACTGATCTATTCTTCTATTCTTTTTGTTATTATGATGTATTTTAGTTTTAGAAATCATTTTAAACAAGTATTAACCAATTTATTGAATCAAATTAAGTTCTTTGGTAATTGAGAGGTGTGAAGTTTTTTGTTTTGCCACCTGTGTGCATGTTTTCCCCTAAGTTTTATGGTTAAAAAATGCACAGCAAATTTTCATTCTTAAAAAAATTGCTTTATGAATGGCTGGTCATTTATGGTTGTTAATGGACCATATCTGGGCTACTTTCTAATTATACAAAAAAAAATTCCAAAAAGTGTGAATTGTGCCATAAGATGAAGGGTAAATTTTTAAAAAATGCGCATTTTTTCCCCTCACTGACCATATATCTGTTTCCAATTTGAAAACTGAATTCATTATTCTGCAATTGAAGTTCTTTTCCTCCACTTAATTCAACACTATTTACAATTCATTTCCTGTTTGTTACATTTTTTCTTAGAAGATATTTGATGCAAAGCTTCCCACAAGATTCTTCTCAATCACACCAAATGCAGCAAGAAAGGTACTGACAGTTTTTCTTGCCTTTTAGCATTACCTCTTGCATCTTTTCCTGGTGTGGCAGTAGAATTTGTTATTAACATAATGGCATTACCTCTAGACTGACTTTTTTAATAGGGATTCATTTTTTTTCTATTTATTATTTAAGGAGCTGTTGCAAAAATTCTTGAGGTTTACTTTTGTTTCTAACCATATGACCAAAGTTTCATTAACAAGCTTCAAATAAATAGAATGCTAATGACAATCAAGTATGAAAAATTTGATTTGGTGTACCAATATTGGTCCAAATCTGTGCAAATTAAAGTGATTATATACTCAACCATTTGTATAAAGCACCAATACCTTTGCAGAAATATAACTTGGATGGTCTTTTGTGTAATCTGAAAACAACAGCAAATTTTTAGTTAAGTATTTCAAGCATTATCTAATATCAAAATAAGTTATAATTTCAGGAAGAAATACAAACTACTTTTATCACCCTGCATTCATTATGCCACAGATAAGATGGGTTTTATTATTATTTCAACAGGGTCTGCACATATTTTCCCATTTGAATTTAAACTTTCACCTTGCGGGACATTACTCAAAATATGCAATGATTTTCAGAAGCTTGATTCTTATTTTTTGGATATCCTTTGATTAGCCTTGACATTCAAGTCAGAAATTTTTCGCAGGTAACAGTTAGAGATGCCTTGAACATGGCCTTGGATGAAGAGCTGTCAAGAGATGAGAATGTTTTTCTTATAGGAGAAGAGGTTGCTCTTTATGATGGGGCATATAAGGTGAGTAAAGAATCATTTCAATATATCATTACTGTCTTAGCTGGAGCTTTTAATATGTGGCATTTATTGAAGTTTGATATTCCATTTATTCCTTATTTTATGTGTTTCTTGCTGATTGCAACATTTCATGACTGATTGTTCATTTTAATGTTGAAGTTCCATAGTTTTGATTTGTAAAACACCCCCTTGCAGGTCAGCAAAGGTCTTTTCAACAAGTATGGAGAAAAGCGAATCATTGATACACCTATCAGTGAGGTAAACACAGATGTAAACTCGTCTTATTTTCTATTTGTTTTTTCTAGCTTTTCATTTGCTATCTTTCTTGCCTTCCCTTTTTGTTGTTGTTGATTGCTACCTTTTCATTAGTTCTTTGTACTCTCCCATATTCTTTCATTCTCCCTTCTCTTCTTTCAGATTTTTATTTTGCCTTCTTCCTCCTCTCCCAAATTTGTCCTGTTTTAACTCTATACCATGTTTTCCCTGTTAATTCTCTTTTTGTTTTGTTTTCCTTTTTTTTTGAATCATTCTATTTGCCATACCTTCTGACTTTGGTACACATTTTCTAACTTTTTCTAATCTATTCTTCCCACTTTTATATATTCCCCCTTCCATTGTATCCCTTTTTGTCCTTTGCCTTCCCTCTTCTCATTTTCTACCACATTTTCCCTCACTCTTTCTTTTTGCAACTCAGCTTTTGCATTCTGTTTATTATTTTCAAGGCAAATTTTTCTCTTAGATTAGGAAAATAAAGCTATACATGTGTGTGTTAAAAGTCAACTGAATCAAACTTTACATATCACATATATCTGTTCGCTGATATCATCTTCTCAAGTTCCCCCATCTAGACACTTGCCCATCTTCCAACCGAGAACCTTGTCAGTCCAACCCCACTGTAATCGGCCACTCTGCTAATGGCAGTTCCCCATCCAGACACCCAGGCATCCTCTGATCTGAATCATGCTTCAGAAGCACTCAAGCTAACATCCCATCTCTAAAATGCTATAAAGCATTACCCTTTATTTTGTCTCTTTTTAGATGGGCTTTGCAGGCATTGCAACTGGGGCTGCAATGGTGAGTTTTTTTGTATCTTGAACTTTTTGTTGATGAGGAATTTTTTTGGACTGCTTCCAGTACTTTTATAGTGAGGTATAAAAATAGTATACAATGTTATTTGCCATCTTTCGTGAAATCTCCTTGGTTTCAAATCGTTTTGGGTATAATAAAGATTGGATTCCTACATTATTGTCACTTTTTAATCAAAAAAAATTATTTTGTGATGTTATCATGCAACGGTAGAATACCATAAAGCCACAAATCAATGCAGGATACCAATTTATGTTTGAAGGATGAAAGCTTGTTCTTGTATTAGAGACAGGTTTATTGAAACATCATTCAAAAGGCTTTTAAATGTAGGATAAACAAGAAAAGACTGAGACAAGACTTCTAGAGTACAACATCTACAATGTATATACTGGTAAACATCTGAATACTGACTCAGTAGAATGACTTACAATCAGGTGAGGATGCTGTGTAGGCGCACTCAAAAATAGCAACTGCATCAAAAGTGTATAACAGAATAGAGCCAAACAAAAACAGAACAAAATGACTATGTCAAATGCCTTTTTAAGTTTTTATCGGTCACTGATGAACAGTGCAGTTGTCTAGAGCGATACTGACAGGGACAAATATCTAAGATTATACTGGCTAGTAAGGCACATATCAATCTTATTTAGATCTTGAAAAGCATTAAGCACAAATAATTTCTACAGATAAATGTGTATTGGTATTGTCATATATGCTGGGGCGAAATATTAGTATTTATTGAATTTACCTTATTTTAAAATTCTTTTTCATTACATTGTATTCTTGTTGTCGTGTTGTTTTGTTCCTGACTAATTTTCAAGTTGGTATTACTTTTGTTAATTTGCAAGTTTCTGGAATTCAATATAATTTTGATATTTTTATAGGCTTTTTTGTTTTTGGGATGCATTGTTGATGGATGTTTTAATTAGTCTGTAATCTTTCACAGTTTTGATAATGTTGTATCAACAATGTTGTATTGGTGAAATTTCAATCTGAAGATAAAAGTTGCTTGAGTAAAGAAATGATTTTTTATGCAATACCAGACCATTAATTGATTAGTTCATGGGACTTTTTTGTTATTGCTGTCACTTCTAAGCTGGTCTTAATTCCTGAAAACTGTTGTGGTTTTTATTCTAGTTGAATTAGAGACAGGCGTACACGTGCGAATAAGGAGCTCTATGTTAAGCCTTGTGTTTTGAGGAATTTTTAATCAATCCAATTAGATTCAATTGACAGGAAAAGTTTTAATTTTTGTTTTTCGTCATCGCAGTCCAAATATGTCTTGTTAAATAGCGAAATGTTATTGGCGGTTAATATTTCTTTTCCAGGCGGGTTTAAGGCCAATTTGCGAATTCATGACATTCAATTTTGCCATGCAAGCGATCGATCAGGTTTGGGACTCGCTTCTTTGCTCCCTGTTTTTACTGGCTCGTTTTTACAATTTGTACAAATACAGTAAATTTAATTGAAAATTAGGTTAATACGTAGCGCATTTAACATCATTTAACATAAGAGTCACCGACATGAGAGCTCGATATAATACTTTTTGGAATTGCGTGGTAATTTCTTCTCACCCGTTATTATTGATCTAAAGAATAATTTTGTGTGTTAGCAAAATATTAAATGGCGTTTCTGCCTATTTCTTTTTTTGAAGATCATTAACTCTGCTGGTAAAAGTCATTATATGTCAGCAGGAGAGGTGAGTCTCTATTTCTGTCTTATACTCATGTTTAAATTGCAGTTAGAGTCATCAGTTTTCGCTTTGGTGTTTACAACAGGACAATTCTAAGTTGCAGCTTCGAGTTTCACGCTTAATGCGATCATCAGACAACTTGTGCTATCATTGTTATACATTTATGTTGGTGTTTCATCTGATGTTTTTGTTTTTGATTTTTCACGTCTTTTAATCTAGGTTAAAGTTCCAATAGTGTTCAGAGGACCAAACGGTGCCGCAGCTGGTGTTGCTGCGCAGCACTCCCAGTGCTACGCCGCATGGTATGGCCACATTCCCGGATTAAAGGTCAGTCTTTTAAATTATGCATCTGTATTAATACTTGCAGCCAGTACATTTTCATAGAAGACAAACAAATTTATTTCCCGGAAGCTAGCCAATGACCACCTTAAACATCCTTTGAAAATAGAAGCCAGTCATAAAACCGTACATTATGAAGTGACCCACCAATCAGTGACCACCGATTTACACGATGAAATAAATCGGTTAATATCGAATAGATCAATCAAAAAAGTTTAAAATTTCCCTAGTTTATGATGTAAGAAAAGGAACTTCTTTCTATTTCTTCAAAAGGGTTTTGAACGCTTCTCCTAGAAGCTACTGCCCTACAATGAAAAAAGTTTGAGCTGTAATTTTTGACTTGTTCATACCTTTGTAACATCGAAGGTAAAGTTAATGGATCCAGTTATAATGTAATGTAAATTACTTGAAGCGAATATCAGGAAATCATCTTTAAAGATAAAATTTGTTTTCTTTAGTTATTATCTTTGTCTCAAAGTTTTGGTCGATTCTTAATTTGCAAAAAAGAATCCTAATTCTGAATGACTGAATTTGTCGTCACCAGGATTTTCACCATTTTCTCTTCTTTTTCCTCGGAAAATTCTTGAAATTTTTGCAGCAAGAACATCACTTGACAAGTAGATTATTCGGCATATGAAGCCAGATTGCCCTGCCGGATTTCAGTAAGAATCAGTAGAATCCAGTCCCGGCCAGATCCTGAAGCTCATGATATCGTTTTGATTTTGTCTATCTAATGCCCTTTTTACTGTTACAATTTCTTTCTTCCTTATTTTTCTCTAGAATAATTTCCAAATTCAATGCCTTTCCCTTCCTCTTCTTGTTTCTTTTTTCTGGTTCCCTACTTTTTCCTTTTCTTCTTCCTTTTTTCCTTTCTCCCTTTTCCTTCCTGGGAAACTAAAGCATTTAAGTTACCTTGCGGGCTGCGCCGCTGCCACCATACTTCATTTTATTAGCCCAGTCTCGATACTGTTTCAATGACGAGAATGCAAAAAGCATAATAAGTAAACCTGTGACGTCATTTTGCTGGCCAACTAGCTCAGCTTTTCAGGATGGAGCATGGCTGCTGATTCGATGTTTCATTCCTTGACAGGTCGTGTCCCCGTACAGCGCTGAAGATGCCAAAGGACTGCTCAAATCAGCAATTAGAGATGACGATCCGGGTAGGACTTCCTTACCTTTGTTGTAATGTCATTTAAAAAACATTTCCTGAATTGTAGAAGACAGCCCATTTAAAACGTAAACTTTTGTTATTCTTGTTTAGGTGAGGAACCATAAAATCTGCTTGATTCAAGAGCTTTGTTATTGTGACAAAAAGTATGACTAAATTATGACAAAACCTTGCTAAAAGATTTCTTGATAAACAAGCTGTCTGAATAATTGAGATGGTTGTGGTTAACTGATACGCTCTTTAATATTGACAAATTGTTTTAAATTAACATTTGCCGCTTTATCCTTGTTGAAGTACCAGGTGCATCACAATGGTAAAATCCCTTCTTCTGCGCCAAAATTAGCATATTCGTTGTTTTTCGATCGTTTAAGTTAAACCAAAAAATGTTGTTTTGTGAAGCTAGAGAGCAAAAAAAACCATATCGTTCTACATATACCGTCAATAATTCATTGTACGATATGCTGGTCCCTTTTTCGTGCTCCACCTAATAGAACTTTAAAATTGCAAACGTCATAATTTAATAAAGTAGCTGACCTCATTTTCATTTATCGAGGCCGCTTTCTCCTACAAAACTTTTCTCGGGAGTGAAAGGTTCCCAATACAATTTTAGAATACACGTTTATTTTCAAAGCCTTAAATGTTCATTCAATTAAGCGTTGAGATAACTCCATTTTTTATTTGTTATATTTATATGTTGATTATTATATTTTCCTACTCTTTTGTTTCAACTTCTTTTGTACGGTCAAATGCTAGTAACAATTTTTTTTCAATTTGTTTTAACTTCTTTGTTTCCTATTTTCAGTTATTGTGTTGGAAAACGAATTAATGTATGGTGTGGCATTCGACATGTCGGAAGAAGCACTTAGCTCAGAATTTCTTGTTCCCATCGGAAAAGCGAAAGTGGAACGGCAGGGTAGGTCAAGCAGATATTAAAGCATTTTTTTGAAATTATCTCATGTATTAATGATATAAAACTTGCTATCTCCAGGAAAACTGATCATTGGATGTGCCTATCTTTTTCTAGCAAAAAATCGGATATTGGATCACCACCCTGAAGGTCCGATTTAATGGGATTCAATTGTCTATTGCTAATAATTTTTTATCTTCAAGTCTCCAATCGAAATCCAATATCCAAACACTTAGATCTAGGCTGAACTTTTTTGTGTTGATTGATCATTTTTGGAAAGTAAAATAAGTACGTCTTAAAGTTTCCTTCCAGCAAAAAGACCCAAACCCTTAAGTTAGCGTTCCTCTTCTCGAATTCGTAGGTCGTCACGTGACTATTGTCGCCCACTCAAAAGCCGTGCAAACGGCGCTCGATGCTGCGTCAGAATTAGAAAAAGAAGACATAGAATGCGAGGTTCGTTTGAAGATCCTCTACTTTTCTTCTTCGATCAAAACAATTTCTAAAGCTGCTATTTCTAAGGCCAATTTTAATCTAATTCTTTAGATAGATAAATTTAATCACTAGCAAATTGTTAAAAACAGTTCCAACCCTCTTTATTTTAAATCTCTGGTAAAAAACGTTGATTTTGGTGTGCTATTTTCTTTTCAGGTAGTAAATCTTCGGACAATCCGGCCATTGGACGTCGATACAATTATAAACTCAGTTAAAAAGACGAATCGCTTAATTACGGTTGAAGGGGGATACCCTCAGTTCGGTGTTGGGGCAGAAATTTGTGCGCAAGTCATGGAAAGTAAGTATTCCCTTTCTTTGTATGCAAAATATTTCCGGTGTTCTACTCAGCAAATATTAGATATAGCAGTGTTCTACTCATGGCCATGAAAAGTTTTCTATGAAGAAGAATTGAGCTTAAAGATTCTAAATAAGCAAGGGTTGGAAAACATGCACGCTTCTCGGGAGAGATGTGAATTTTTGTGTGTACATTTTTTTGAAATAGATATTGTGTTGTGTTTAACTTCGGAAAGCATTAAAATCGTTATATTGTCAATGCTCGCCAATCTTACACAGTATGGTCAATGATCGCGGGTGTTGATTTGCACGATAGTCTCTCGAAAAGAATTCGTGCAGGCATTGGTGGAAATTGAACACATTAATCAGGATATGTTTTATTCAGTGCGTCCTCAATCAGATATGTTGCTGATAAATGATGCACTTGTGTAGTTATTAACCAAATGAACAAATTATCAATTGGACCTTTGAATGCTGAAGAATAATTGTATAATAGAGCTTTGTGCGATATCAAATTAGCTTGCATTTTTTGTTTATCAAGACTTATTTAACGATGTCCTTTCGTGAAATCAGTTGTGGAGTGCTTTTTATCTCCTTCAAGATAATGTCCAAATCAGTTTTTTAGCGATTTGTTAGCAAGATAAAGTCCCTTTACCATCATCTATGTAAACTGTCTTGTGTTTGTGAATTTTCTAAAGGGAATGAAAAAGGTCCATCTTATGAGCAATGTGTTTGCTGATTTTTCGATAGTCAGATTAATTGTTGCAGATGGTGGTGTTGTAGTAAATATGTGTCTTTTTTTGTTATTCATTAAAAAGAGAATAACAAGCAGATAAATGAATGAATTAATTGATTAATTAATTAAAATTAGTTCCGAACGGACGAACGGACGGACGGACGAAAGAAAGAAAGAAAGAAAGAAAGAAAGAAAGAAAGAAAGAAAGAAAGAAAGAAAGAAAGAAAGAAAGAAAGAAAGAAAGAAAGAAAGAAAGAAAGAAAGAAAGAAAGAAAAAACGAACGAATGAACGAATGAACGAATGAATAAATGATTGAATGAAAACAAATTACTGTTTTTCTGGTCTGTCATAAGATGCTCGATGCTGTGTAGGCAGAGCATATAGAACAGGACGATTCTAAGTTGCAATTCCGAGTTTCACTTTTAATGCGATTATCAGACTACGTAGAATGAAATGGTGGATAAAGAAATGTGTAAAGTCATTCCTGGTCAACTCTTAAACATGCTAAACACATTCCGAAGTCTACAGCCATAATTGAACATGCGTTGTTTGTGCCTATTTGGAACATGATTAACCATGTATACACATTAGTTGGCATTGCGCACATGCCCCTGCATATACAGTCACATCTAAACTCTCTATGTACATAAGAGGCGTCGCTATATTAAAACTATATTATTCATATACATCTACATTTTTAATTTCAGTTTTTTTGGTTTCTAATCTATTACGCTCGTCTTATTTTAAGTTTTGTGATATATAATTCTGCAATTTTGTAAATAGATTTTGCAGGACCAATTGTAAAACAATATCTATATTGAATTTGTACCCTGGGTAAATAATTTAAAATTAAAAGAATATTAACGTAAATGACAGTTGCAAATCTATGCATTTTATGATAAATTCATTGCAAATTGTTTGCATACCGTCTGAAAATGAAGTATGCCAGATTTTTCTATTCCGGTAAAATCCCAGTCTCGTATTTGCGCCGCTTTTGTCTATGTACTGTGTAAAGAAGTGGATATAATACAAGGAAAGGAGATTCCTCTTACAAGATTATGCAATTATGACATACAAATAGAATAGAATGTCGCATGTCGTCCGCAAAATGATTTCAGCATTTGTTATATTTGTCTACAAACAAAAAGTCTGTATTCTCAGAAGCGGTTCCAATCGGTAACACCGGACTTGTTGATTTTAAATATAGTACATGATTGAAAGCATTTATGGGCCACCCAATTCTGGTGCATGTCTGAATGTTCTCTATGCTTTTCTTTCAGCTGAAGCTTTCGACTACCTCGATGCGCCTGTGTTGCGAGTAACTGGTGCCGATGTGCCAATGCCGTATGCAGCAGTGCTGGAACAGAACTCTTTGCCTCAAGTACACAATATCGTAAGAACTGTGAAGAAATGTCTCAATATTGAGTAATATTTTCATTGAATCGTGTAAGTTATTCCTAATTCCTTTTTTAATTGTAAGATTGCGAATCCTCTTTCCTCTGAATTAAATCAGTGCCAAAAAATTGATGTCGGAAACTTTTCGTATTGATTGCTTATTTTTTCTGTTTTAAAATTGATGTTTTGGCTTTTATTCATCTGTGTCTATTGTGTTCCATCAATTCTTACGAAGAAATATGTTGCTCTGCTTTTTTATCTAGAACATCGTGAATATTTTCTATCAATATTGTACGAAATGATTATCTTTTTAAAGCAGTTAAGTTATATTTTCCAACGTTGATCTTATGTCAGAATATTTATGGAAATGAACATCTCTAACCGAGGTTAATTTTGATGTTTTTCTGTATTTTTTCTTGCCATGCTAGACAGTTTAATCAACAAAGTTGTTCTCCGTCGCAAAATATACTCTTATTTTTTTTAAATTTACACAACTACGTGCTCTTGATCATTTTCATAAACAAATAATATCGTAGCTTAGAACAAAGATCATGCCAATTGTGGAATATCAGCAAAGTTTTCATGCCTTTTTCGAATCTTGCTAGATTCTAGTCTTATATTGCTTTTTATCGCCCATATAAAGTGATTATAGTTTCCTCTCCTTTATGAACGGAGAACTATGAACTTTAAGATCGTAGGAAAATTGCATGATTCTTAAAAAATCATTGTTACATCTATAGATCACAAAATCTAAGCTTGTATTTTGCGCATTATGTCAAAATTATCATATCAAAATTAATTTGTGATATGATAATTGGTTGAAGGTAAATTGCAAGTTTGAAAGGATGCCCTTAGTTTGGAAGGAAGCCCCTCAGAGTTGAGATATTAGTAGGCTGACTCTCGCAAAATTGGCCTAGTGATGGTTTTAGGGGTCTTGCGCAACCGGCATGCTTTGCGGCTATATTACCAAAACCGGCCTAATATCGTACTGCATGAAAATACAAAACTAAGCCGATTTCTCCCCACGTAGAAAGACAACTACGGCAAGCATTCCGGTTGATCAGAGCCTTTAAGGGTTTCTTATCTATTTCTCTTTTTCTTGAAAATTGCACGAGGACGCCAGTGTATTCGGGGATGGGGCAGTATTGATATAGATTCGGAAAAAGAAGTTAAAAAATATCATTAAAACAAGACGGAAGCGGTTTTGTGATCCAATATTTCTCGTAGATGTTGCAATGAAAGCTAAAATTAAAAATTCAACAAACTGTCAAATAAAAAGGTTGATGCATAGAAAATTTCAGGTAGGTAAGAAAAGCCTTCATGAAAGACAAGCAAAGTTTTAAGGTTCCCAAATGACAATATTGTACAAACTGTTAATCTCAATGATCCACGTGTTTTCTTGACAAATGTTCCACAGGGGCTCGGCGTGCAGCTTGAAAAAAGCTGGATCGATTGTGTTTGCATTTTTGCATTCTCATTGTGAGGCTTTTTTACTGTTTGTTTTTATTGTTGCCAAGTAAGCAAAGTTCATCCCTTTGGGGACTGCTTCGAGTTTTATGCGTTTTACAATCGCCATTGTACGTGCTGCTCTCACCCCGTTTTTCACCCCATTGTGTGAAATTTCGACCCATTTCCATTCACAGTACTATCCCCTTGCTGCCACGAAAGCAACTCATTTCAGTAAAGCCAAGCCTTAAATTTAGGAAACTTGTCCGCACTTGATTCCTGGAATGCTTTTATTTGGAGCAAAGCCCGCACTGCATTGGTGAACAGCTTTGCTTTTGGCATTTTTGTCAACGTTGTGGCATTTCATGCTTCGGTTGTGACAGTTTCTTCAAAAACATGTTATTACCAACCAATGTATTAATTAGATCGTTTTAAAGGATGCAAAGAAAGAAATGCATGTAAGTTGTAGCCTAAATCGTCTTCCATATATTTAGTTTCTTTGTTGTTTGTTTTGGTTATGCAGTCCCTTGAAAGCTTTTATATTTTTGTTCTTCATGATTTGAGCGTGGTACAGTTTCATGTTTGTAAGATGTGTTTGGTTTTCTTTGAAATAATAGATAAGCCTCTTAAAAAACACTGTTAGTTTGAACATAATTTTTTCCTCCAAATAAAGTCATTTTTCTTAGAGGATATTCCATGTTTTTCGTGTAGATTAACGTCTTTCCAATCAAACATTATCTTAATGTCAATAAGTGTGGACGCATATAAACATACTGTAAACTGCAGAGTGACGTGATATCTCTGCAGAAATTGCTCTAGCGGGTCCTCTGATTTTCAATTCTCTAGAAGACTAAGGAGTTCTTCAACTATAAACTATCTCGGCGTTGTAGCAACAAAATTTTCTTTCGATTTGGGTGATGCGTAAAGTTGTACTGTGTCACAATTTCCTTAGGTCAAAGGCTACTCTTTTGAAACTGCTGGCTAAGATGAAACTGCTGACTTTGATGTGCTGTTGACCATTAAACGGGAACAAAGGCCTTTTTATCTCTGGAACAAGTTTCAAAACGCGACGACAATTTCTTTTACGTTGAATATGCCATTTTCCCATCTCTTCAACCGAGTGAATGAAATACTACCAGAAGTTACTAGATGTGATTTGTATCCAACTTTGCAAAGGTCAAAGAAATGAATTTGACATGACAAGAGGTAAGTCCCATGCATGTCAATAAGCTTTTCCGTTACATCTTTACCAAATCATTTGCAATTAAAAGCGATGGATTTTCCAATATTTTCCTCAGCATCAGCTTGATACTAACATTGTATTTCAATTTTCCACATAATCCCTAGGACCTAGGATTTTGCACATTTAATACCCTTTCTCAGTGAATGGACACGGGTGGTGTAACATTTTACATAAGACTGTACCCGCCGGGCTTTGGTACCGTGAAATATGAAAATAGCACGGAAAAGCGGAAACATACTAAAGTAATTTTCGTCCGACATTCGTCATAGCCCATGTATAAACGTTGCGATATAAACGTTAATTTATGTCCTGATGTTGATCAAAAGTAACGTGAGCGGGAGAATAGCACGTTTGATTGGTTCTTTGCAATTTAGAAGGTGATAAAACAAAAGCTTTTGGCATGTTACCTCTTTTGACGCTAGCATCCATGTCTGTGTTTGTTTATAATGCATCAGAAAAGGGGGTTCCATGTGAACTGTTGCGATAAAGGCCAGTGTGACTGCATTTACAACCAATGCATTGCACTCGAGTTGCTTGATGACGTGAGTTTGGGAAATACCTGCTGGCGTGCCTGGAGAAAACTAAAGAATAAGCTTAAGTTTTACATAAGATTTTGTACAAGAGGGTTCCATGTGTGTGATTAACTTGCACCATTTCTAAATGCGTAGATCCCTGTTCTTTGGATATAAATGCGTATGTACTGCGTTTATTTACCAAGTTCACCTTCCATAGATTCTCCAGTTTATCCACCACCTCTAGTGATCTTTCTATGCATAAAAATCAAGCGCCATTGTTAAAATCAAATAACGTTCAAATAGTAAGTTCATTGACTGAATTTCCTTGGTCCTGAGCTAAATCTTATTTTTGCATTAATTCTGGTGAGAGACTTTGTTCTGAAATAACGATTTTCATTTAGGAAACTATTGTCCTCATCATTACTATTTTTTCATTTGCTATTGTCCTCAGCTTGGTTTCACGTCTGTTATTTCTCTTCCCTGAAATTCATTAGTTCTATATGCAAGAAATGGTAGCCGTTCTTTTTGCTTTATCTTAAGTGCAGATTTAGATAGTAAGATTATTTTTCAGTGTACTGAGTTTTCCCAATAAAGGTTTTAGAGGTTAAAGGAACCTTCTTGCATAGAAACGCTAGTGGAAGGGGTAGTTTTTGGGAGAGCACTTCCTAAAGACTTTGAGGGCCACCGTGTTCTGTTAACCACTGGTACACTGATTAATCAGCTTAATCAGAGACATGATCCCAGGTCCCCTGAGACGCAAATCTAGACACTCCTACTGCTCACCCATTCCAAGTCTCTTTGCCAAACTCATTAACTCTATCCCGCCACTCTTCGTTCCTCCCTTGATCTTGTAAACGTTGGACTGCTTTACCCTCTTCCTGCTTCCCAGACTCTTAAAACCTGTCTTATTCAAAACAAAATAAACAAACTTTATATTTATCTCTCTCTTCCTGATTTCTCCCCCCTTTCTCTCGTTATAGGCTCTTAAGCCTTTCCCTAGCATTATCAACTAAATAGAAATATTCAAGTCTACACTTTGCTTTAACAACGACACGTATGTTTTCAGAACAGAATAGAAGTGTAGCATTTATCTTCTTTGATTTATAATCTGAAAAACCTTTTTGTATTTGATACCTACATTAGAATTTGTGGCCCCTTTTTCATAGTAAAAAATCCTTATGTGAGGGTATCAGCGAAATCTAGCCATAATATAAACCAAAATAGATATGGAGGCTTGGCGGGTAGTGCAGTTAGATTAAATGATTCGTCCATTACAATGACTTTTTCATTAAATAGAATACACATCTAATTATGATTTGCTTAATGACTAACTATTACTTGCTTGATAGAAGATTATTTCTAACAACGAATGTCGTGTGGTACATATTACATAGAGAGCATAAACTTAACGTGATAAATTTTATAAATGAGAACATGTTGATGTTTTTTTTCATTTCCAATGACAACAATGAAGTCGTTTCCATCGGCCTACGTAGAAATTCATACAACAACAAAAACACATTAATGCATTATGTACCAAATTATTTTGTGAAAAATTTGAAGAAACTATAGTCCCACATATCTATATAAAGTTTTTAGCCTCTTGCCTACTTTAAAATTATAAGCTGTCAAAACCATTATGTAATCAATATTATGCCAGCACAATGTTCATTGTGGTTACAACCTTTAATGTGAGAGATATTTTTTAGATTTGTTGCCAACAGTGACCAAAAAGAGAAATAACACCAGGTACATATAATTTTGTTTTGGTTTGGTAAGATTTTCTAGAGTAGAAAGAATAAAAATGTGAATATATGGTTTTGAAAACTCATCATTGTTGATTGGTGATGAGATGTAAATCATTGTTTTTGTTACTGGCTATGCTTCAGCTCACTGGAAAATGTTTAGCAATTATTCACAATGCACTTGTTTCAAATAGAAAGCATTCAGATACTATGTTCTTTCCATCTGAATACACTCTGGAATCAATTCTCTAGGGCGATATATAGTGGCATATTCTTATTAAGGTACATCACAGTTAACAGATGTTGGGATGGGGTGGAACCTTTTTTGAAGAGTTGTAGCCATTGTTGTAGCCATGTTGTGGCCATGTTGTGGCCATGTTGTAGCCATGTTGTAGCCATCAACGAGTCATGAAAATAGAACTTCCCATAACAGACATTATTA